CTTTTCGAGATATTCCCACTTAAGTTTCCAAATCACCATCAGTAGATAGCTACTTATACACTTTCAAAAAAATAGGTACATAGGTACCTATGATAGGTATACATATATACATATATATATACTTAGGATCACATTTTTAGCTACTTAGGTCAAGGTTTTCTCAAAAAATGGGTCGCCACAACCACTATACAAAGAAACTGCATTGAATTACCTATTCATTTATGTAAACACAAATACCAATAAGTGCACACCAAATTCTTTAAAAAAAACTAAACACGCCTTGTAAGTACCGAGTTATTGTAGATATGTGTCATTTTGTGGAATTACTTGCAGATTAAAGTATTTATCAGCAAACTAACTAGAAAAGGTGACTAATAATTACTTAATTATAACTAGGTAAAGTCTATGTGAATGTAAGACGTATAATGGGTACACCCACTGTCCCACACCGAAGGTTCTCTTGATACTAAATTTGAATTTCTGATTCAACTAAACGGGAGAAGTGAAGCAAGGCTAACAAGTATGACCAATAGAAGTCACATAGGTAACGCTTGACAAGAAAGGTAGTATAAAGGAGATAAATTACTATAATATGAATTAAGTGAATTGTAGGAGAAAGTGTAAAAGAGAAACTTTCTTCAATTTTGTGAGTGAAGAAGTGTTACATAAAATGTATTACAACGAATAAACAAGTTCGTAGCTATTTGAATTTGTCCAGTTGTAAAAATGTGGCTGTTTAATACTTTAGTTATTGGGAATATCCTTTTTCACGCCGTATTAGGGCAAGGGTAAGTACATATTACAAATTAAACAAGCTTCTATAATGATGATATCATCAGTTTATTTATAATAGGTACTTAGCTGGATGTCGATACTTAAATACCCCTATATTTTAAAAATTAGCCACCATATGCAGAACAATTTAAATTCAAATTGAAACAAGCAAAACATTAATTCATTACCTACGCAATCGCAACAATAAGTAGGATATACTTCCTATTAATTAGCTATTGAAGGTTACTTTCGTAATCTATCATTGATATTTCCAAGTGGAATGTATGGTATTTAAGAAGAAAGGGTAAAAAACGACTCAAAAAACGAACTAGGTATACCAAAACCCACTCAAAGGTTAACAACTTCTGTTTTCGTTCAGACATCATATAGGTATAATACCTATATAGTATATACGAGAGTTCTATTTCGTTCGTTTGGTACCTCTTGCTACCCACATACATTAAGTAGGTACATTACATACTTACTTATATGTAGGTATTGATCGTATTATACTTTATAGAGATGAGCTATATATGGTATGGGGAATGCAATCCCGCAGCAAAATCTCAATCCCGGTATTTGCTGGATTGCTAGATGTTAATCCCGCGGGATCCCGGTGTTTGCGGGATCCCGCAAAACTTTAAATAAATTGGCAACTAACCAATTCTGTGCGGTTAACTTCTGCATTAAAATAAGTCGCTAATTATCACAATATTTAACAAAAAAGTACCTTCGGCCTAACTTAGAACTCAAAAAACCTCACCTGTAAAAAAATAACTTCTCCGTTATGCGTTTCATTAACAAAGTAAACAGAGTCGTCCACTTGGTCTACAAATTCCTCAGTCCCGCAAATCCCGCGGGATCCCGCTCCATTTATGTGCGGGATTAATCTCGCAAAAATGCTGCGGGGTCCCGGTATTGCATTCCCTAAATGTGACCTGTAAAATCCATAATTTCAAACAGCCTTTTTTTGAGCCCCGTCTCAGATCGATCCGGAAAAAAATTTTCTGATAGAATGTGGCCTGTAGAATCCATAATTTCAAACAGTTCCAAGATTGGGCTACTAGTTCAAAAAGTTACAGCCCTTTGAATTTTTTTTCGAAATTGGTTTCTAGTCTATAACTTTTGATTGAGAAGTCTAATCAAAAAAGTACGAATTGTTTTGGATTCTACGCACCAAAATTAATAAGAAAAAGTGTTTTCCCGAGAAATGTTGGTGCAGTCGATTTTTGGTAAAAAAGGAAGGTTATACACTGCCTTTTTTTGAGCCCCGAAAAAAAATTGTCTCAGATCGATCCGGAAAAAAAATTTTCTTATAGAATGTGACTAGGGAATGCAATCCCGCAGCAAAATCTCAATCCCGGTATTTGCGGGATTGCTAGATGTTAATCCCGCGGGATCCCGATTCCCGGTATTCGCGGGATCCCGCAAAACTTTAAATAAATTGGCAACTAAGCAATTCTGTGCGGTTAACTTCTGCATTAAAATAAGTCGCTAATTATCACAATATTTAACAAAAAAGTACCTTCGGCCTAACTTAGAACTCAAAAAAACCTCACCTGTAAAGCACAAAAAGGTGAACTTCTAAAGTGCCTCAAAAATCATAGTAAATTTTTAACGAAAAAAGTTTAACAATTATATAAAAAATAACTTCTCCGTTATGCGTTTCATTAACAAAGTAAACAGGGTCGTCCACTTGGTCGACAAATTCCTCAGTCCCGCAAATCCCGCGGAATCCCGCTCCATTTATGTGCGGGATTAATCCCGCAAAAATGCTGCGGGATCCCGGTATTTCGGGATCCCGCGATCCCGGTATTGATGAGTATAATCTCGAATATCACATCGCAGAATCTCAAATAAATAAACATTATTGTAACATTTTGTATGTCTATGAGTGATTTTAATAATATAGGTATGAAATGAGAGCGCATATTATCTTTATTTTTCCTCCATGATGATTTTTGTATTTGGTTTCTCTTAAACTTTTTGATAGGTTCACTGTGCAGATAATGCTTCCTCTGGAAGTAGGTACGATTTGCCTTGTAAACAAAAATTCTAAGGGTGACTCGACAGCAACTCATTTTTGATCGCATAGTACCTATAGTAGGTACATCGCACATAGTACATTTGGAATCCTTTTTCGCATTTACGATTTTTATAAAATATGACACCTAGTGCACTTCAGTTAAAATTCATGTAGACTATTAGCTTCACTGCCAATATCATGCGGTTTAGTGCATTTTTGCAAATTTATTTGTAAAAAGGTAGCTTTTAATTTCATACTTTGGCTGCCCGGCTGGCTAACTGCCAGCATATGCGAGCCTGTAGAAGAATGATTGTAGAAAGACAAGGAGTGTAGGTATACGTAATCAAAAAAAGTGGGCCAGCGTTTTTGAGGTTTAACCCCAAGTTGGTATTTTTACACCCTGTATATATCTGAACATCAATTGTTCTGAATTCTTTTTCTTGGTGTATCACAATCTATATTTTATTAGCTATGCTTCATACTATAGCTTTGCTCCCGCGACTTCGTACCTATACGCGCATAACATTACCGGCACCCTCTGTCTGAATTCAGTTTTTTTCGGAGTACTTACGCCTTAACGCTCTCAAAGAAACCTACGTTCTAAATATCAATCTTCTGCAATTTCAACTGTAAAACGTAAAATTTCGCTTTTTTCCCGTTCCTGTAGGTATTTCGGGAAACCCTCTCTTAGTGCTCCGCTTACAATCCCTAAGGAACCTACATGTCTGGCAATTTCGGCTCTGCGTTATCTATCAGTAACGGAAGTGTGTCCAAGATAAGGTGTCTATCATGGGAATCTCTGAAACCATAGAAGATACAACGATGGTCAAATTGGGGTAAAATTGCCCAATTAAACATTTATTATCATGCTTTAAAGAAAACCAGAAAATGCCGATTTCTTCCGAAGATATGCCAGAAAAACCGAGGTTTCCAGATTTCGTTTGTATTTTCTTCTGATGTTATTTGAACAGGTACAAAAAATAATAAAAACACTTTCTCTTATTGTCACTTTTTGAACTCTTACACGACATCGTTGAAAGATCTTCAATACAACGTTTCGTTTCGGAGAAATCATCATCAACTTTGATAAAACTTAGTGTTGCCTTTCCCAAAACTGAGTTTTGTTAGTACGCATTCACATCCCAATTCGAGAAGATAGAATTCTTAACGTATAATCAACTTTAGTTTTTTATGTGGGCCGCAAAAAATATTGTCTTAAGTAGCATTTTTTATTACGACTAGGTAATGTACCATGTACCACACACAACAAATTTTGTTTTTTCCTAGTGGCGAAATTAACCACCTTTTGCAAGGCGCGCGTCTTCAAGAGGTAGTCGACTTTGGGAGCCCAACAGTTTCTAGCTCCAAGCGCGGTCTCTCTTTCTCGTATCATCAATAGAAGCTCTCGAGCTATGAGAAATCGGGCGTTGGTACCGACAAAATCTTACTGAGTCAAACTTCAAACGCGAATTGCGAGTGAACGAGACGTCGGAAGCGTCGAAAGTGGGTGCTGACAAAGGGAATGTTAGTACCCCTGGCAAGATCTTTACTCACAAATCACGATTTGTGATCTTACTGATGGAGTCAAAATTTCAAACGCGAATTGCCTGTGAACAGGACGTCGAAAGCGGGGAAAGGGAAAATATATGTGGTAGCCTCCGACAAGATCTCATTGGTGGTGGAGGCAAAACTGCATGGCTAATAATAGAATACCTATACTGATCTCTCACACAAAAATGCACTGAAGTCCCTTTGATCTCACACGAGGACTTTGACAATTTTTACATATACCTAAATTTGCAAATGCGTTATTTCAGAAATTTGTATTTGTTAATTGTTATCATAATCATTTAAATCGGAAAATGTTTAAATAGTTTAATAAAGATTTAAGCTACAATTTTCTGCTGTAACTGATCAGATCATTGTTTCTTTTGGGTGTTAGAGGGATTCCCCGATCGTTGGCCTATCCGCGAGTGGCCACTGGCCTTGGGTCTTTGGGTGGTATGTGCAGAAAACTGAAAAGGTAAAAATAGCAACTTATCCCGCGCGACGCGTCGACCTCGATTTCTTGAATGTAACTTCGGAGTTTGGAAGCGAATGTCTTAGCTTTAACCTTCCCTTTAATGATCGATTTGAGTCACAGCTGTTTATTATTATTGTTGTGTTTTGCTTGGTGCATTCTGATTGGTGCATTTTCCGTACCGGTGTAACATGATCACAAGAGCGTTTGCCATAAAAAAATACATTGTTCTGTGTATTTTATGTAAAAATAAGTTATACCATAATATAACACATACTATGGTTATATGAAACAAGTGAAGTATTAATTTATAAACAAAATTTGTTATAACCTATTGTTTAAAATTCAAATGTGTACTTAATATGACCTGTAGGTGTAGCCTAGACGTCTGGCCAGGTGTATCCTTTTAAATTTATGCAGCTCTACTTTATCGTCTAGTAAAGATGATACCTATGTGACTTTTACTCACATACTTGTAACATAGTTCAATGCTTTTACTATCATAGTGTTTTATTTGTTTTACGATAAATGAGTGTGCCAGACTGGATAGTCTCCTTAAGAGACAAACTCACACTTTTTATTCAAAATTACAAGTCCAATGCTGTGTGGAAAAAAACAGTGGGTATATTGCTTGTATGTGTTGCACTTTTCATATTTTTGCTTCGAAATATAAACATTGAGGATGAATTTACCGATGGGTAATTCCTTTATCAATTGTCGTTGCTAACTTTTCTAATACGTTAATTTTGTATAGGTACTACAAAGTTATTGGACCGAGACTGGTTCGCCCAAACAGCGAGTATAATGTTGCCGTAACGATCCAAGCGACGTCAGCTCCTACTGCTGTTGATGTCACTCTCCTAGGACTGTCTGACACTGGTAGGCCTTTCAGCGCCTCTGAAAGTCTTACAGTTCTACCATACACTTCGAAAATAGCTCGAATACAGGTAGGTACAGTGAACTGAGTTTTTGGAGTTTTTTAAAATAAAGGAAAGAAATTGTGGTGTCAGTTTAGTAGCACTAATAGATAGTGCAGTGGGCTCTAAGCTTCTGGTAGATTCATCAAGGAACTTTCCTTCATGAGTCAATTACGGATTTTACGTTTCCTTTTTGTGTGAGGATGGAACCTTTTCATTAATGTTTAGTTTAACAATGTTGCGTGGCTAGGCTGAGGCAGCAGAAGGCCTATTCGTCAAATATTCAAGATTCGGATATATTTGAATCTGCTTATCCAAATATTCAAAACTACTCAAACACCAGGGGAAGGACAATGGGTGAAGATTTGACTTTGCTTACATTTGATCTGCCATCTACTGACAGGAATTTTTATTAAAATAACCCATCTCACAATAATGTACCTTTGGAGATCACGTTGCTAATGCTTATTTTCAATTATCTACATTAGTTTGCTTTTAGGTGGGCGAGATAGAACCAGGCAACTACAGGCTATCAGCTCGTGGTAGCGGAGGGATGCAATTTCAGACAACAACACCTCTTTTATATCTACGTAAAAGTTACTCAGTATTCATACAAACAGATAAGGCAGTTTATAAACCTGGGCACAAATTGTTGTTTAGAGCACTTGTGTTAAACTCACAATTGCGGCCTGCATTTGATATTAGAAACCAACCTTTTACTATACACATTACAGTAAGTACATGTTTTCAGTCTAATTTATCGCATTAGCGGAATGTTAACTCGGAACATACAAATCTCTTGTTCAATTTTTAAATATACAACTCAAATACTCCTTAAGATATGCAACCAATCTTACCAACTGTCATCTTTTTCAAATGTTTTGCAATAAACGTTAATATCCGAATTATTTATTAAGTTAAGATTATTAATTATATTCTTCATAAAATGTACCTATACAAAAGAAGAAAAACTGGAAAAGTTACAGATGTATTTCACTAATCACAGGATTTATTTGCTGCTAAATATCCTGATAAGCAAATTCCATCAATTGGCACAATTCACAACAGCATTAAAAAATTTCATGTGAATGGTTGAATTGTTAATGAACATTACACCAGAAACGAAATTGCTGTGTTTGAATTGTGGAAATGAAATTAAATATTTTAGTGTAGTAGAAGAAAATTTGGCTACAAGTTTTAAACAATTCATAGCCGAGGAGATTTGTATGTTCTGTATAAACGATTGTTTGTCCAGAATTTGAATTTTTTGATCATACAATTTTGTGGAATTGATTTTTTCCCTGCCGAGAATTGAATATACCTCAGTACCATTGTTCTGAGGAATTTTAATTTGTGTAAATTTTAGGATGGAGATCATAACATTGTTAAAAAATTCAAGGATATAACAGCACCTCGTGGCGTTTTTACAGGAGAATTACAACTGGGCAAACGATTAGTGCTGGGCGATTGGAATATTGTAGTAACAATTAACGGTGAAGAGTATAATAAGACCATACAAGTGGCTCATTATGTTTTGCCAAAATTTGTAATCGATATACAAGCACCCAAGCATATCACATTTAAGGAAAATATACTTAAAACTCACATTTTGGCATTGTAAGTTTTGTTCTTTAAATACTGTTAGGGAATTGATCGTGTTTCAGGTACGATTACGGTAAAAAGGTTAAAGGTGATGCCACGGTTACTGTTTATCCAACAATTCATTCTGGTGTTATCCAGCCAATCTTTCAGACGCCTATTCGTAAAGTAATTCCGATTGAAGGTTCCGCTACTGTTGACTTTGACATCGCCGACGAGCTCAAGTTAGGAGATGAGTATGAACGCACTGTTATTATTGATGTTACAATCGAAGAAGCGCTAACAGGAAGACGACAAAACAATAGCATAGAAGTCTATTTGCATAAATACGAATATAGCATGGAAATAATAAAGACTGCAGATTATTACAAACCGGGGTTGAAGTATATAGCTTATGTAGGTATTCGAACCACTTCACCCTAAAACTCATTTGATCGTATTTCAGGTGAAAGTCTCCAACCAAGATGGGTCAGCATTGCGAGCGGATCGCAATGCAGTTAAAGTTCGTCATGGGTTTTCGCGAGTGAACGAAGTGTACCAGGAAACCAGTTACCAGCTAGACAAAAATGGCGTAATTAAATTGGAATTATTTACTCCATCGCAATATAGTAATGAAACCGCACTACGGATTGAAGCAGAGTATATGGATTTGAAAGAGGTGATGCCTCCAGTTCCCGCCGCGACTTCGCCATCAAACACTTTCTTGCAAGTCAATCTAGTGTCTGATAGAACGCCAGTTGCCAACGAATTGGTGGAGTTCGTCGTCAATTGCTCGCAGCCTATGAAATACCTTAGCTATCAGGTGATCGGACGTGGAAACGTCTTGTTGGCTAACAGTGTTCAACTGGAAAATAAAAAGGTAAGTTGCTCGCTTAATATGACTGTGCTTATGATTTTTTTAGGAATTTAAATTCCATTTCACCACTACAAGTACTATGGCACCCATGGCACATTTATTGGTTAACTATGTTCAGCCAGATGGAGAAGTAATTGCGGATTCTATCAACTTTGAGATTGATGGCGTTATCCAAAATTCAGTAAGTATTTTCTCAAAAGTAAAAAAGGTCTACTACGTATCAAAAATTTTGCAAAGCACCTATACCTGTTTGAATGTGAGACCAGTTAGTTAGCAAGATAACCTCTTATTAGAAACAGTACCTATATTTGAGGTGTTTGGACGCAAAACGAGTTACCTATACCCTCGCCTATACCTATCAATTTTCAGAAATTTTTCAACAGAAGAGTGTCCCCTACCTACCATCGTCATTTCGCATGCGTAGTTCCGAGTAACTATAATGTTTAACTTCATGTAGTAACTAGTCAGAGCCGTTCTTAGGGTGGAGCGAGTGGAGCGGGCGCTGCAGGCCTCGCGCGATTCAATGAAAATAATATAATATTTTTTTTTTACTACTAGCGTCTGATGACATGATTATTAACCTTTTTTCCACTTGTAAAGTAGGCTTTCTCGGCATTTGTTCAAAGTGGTTAATAATGTGGACATTATTAACTAGTAGTCAATAATGAGAACTGTCACGCTGTCACTTTTAGAAAACACAACCCGAAATTTCGCTCAATAAACGTTTGGACAAGTTCTCTAAAATGAATAATAGCCACCATCCGCCATTTCCAGATAAATTACATACCTAAAATTATCACATTTTGAAAAAATTCGAACGAAATTACTCTTTGAAAGTATCTCAATGACAAAACAAAATACGGCCTGTTTGACTTGTACTTCTACGTACTTGATTGACATGCATGTTAAATTAATAAACAAAAAATTCTGTCCAACCGTTCACTTTCTTATCAATATAATATGTTAATTTAGAGGATTTCAAGTGCTAGTAGTGAAAAAAATAGTATACATACCACGGTAGAGAAGTTTATTATTGCCTTCGCACCTTACACCCCTCGGCGCAACCGCCTCGAGATGTAATCTTGTTGCTCAGGCAATAATACTGTACTTCTCTACCTTGATATATAATGTACTATTATTTCGGTAAAGATCATATGTATACAAATTTTTTTTATATGAAAGTTGTTTAACATTTTATTTTCCATAATACGGCAGCATTCCATTGCTTTTATTCCAGAAAACAAATGAATAACGGAAATAATTGAATTTTTTTAAATAGCAACGCACATTTTCATTAGGCTCATTTGATAGAGATTTTTTTTCTCTTTTCAATGACATAACACGTTAGCACCCGTGTAGAAGAAATTAATTTTTATTTCAAGTTCTTTGGGGTAGGTTATGCCACTGCCGTGAAGTTAATGATGAACATTTTGAACATCCATTGCGATGAAAACCATTTCACTTTACACTTTACACGTTCATTTGTTCTATTTTTATGTAGGATATCTGGATTAATGTTATTCATTTAATTATGATACATTTTTTGAAAAATTTTCTTGAATAAGAGTATTAACATGTTATATCATCGAAAAGGGAAAAAAATCTCTATCAAATGAGCCTAATGAAAAGGTGCATTTCCATTTAAAAAATTCAATTGTTTTTCGCTACTTACTCTAAATGCTGGCATTTATGGGAATAATTTCATGTATATTCGATATTTATCGAGATATATACTACATTCCCTACATAATGGGCACCTTGTATATATATAAAATATCTGTCTGATTACCGGCGCAATATGTTCAATTCTCATTCGTACGAGATAGTTATTAGTCGCGAACAAACCCTCGCGCTCACCGGTGAGTGAGTCATTCTTGCATGATCTCCTCTCCCTTTCGCCGCGTGACAGTCATTCAAAGTGCTTAAAATGATGACTTTGCATGTATAATTTTGCAAAAATTTCCGGAGTACTTCCCACTCCTCCCGGTATTCAATAACCCCCCCCCCCTCGGTAATCATTGTTAAAAAAAGGCCCCGCAAAAATATTTCGCTCCAGGCCTCGCATTTGCTAAGGACGGCTCTGTGACTAGTGATGCATCAGACGTCTGCTTCCGTTTCCGTGCGGAAGTTCTGCTTATTTGTTCACTTCCGCTATTCTATAACGCATACACCAGAATTTTTCAGATATGGCAAGGTGCGTTGTGCGCTCTGATTGGCCGCATGGGACGGCGCGTGACGTGAGCCGCGGGCCAGATGTGTCATGTGAGCCGGCTGTCAGACGTATCGCGACTTGGTTGTCTTTGTGTACTTTCATTTCATTAGTTCCTCACAAGTCGGGCGTTTTATCGCATAGTTCAATAGACTAAATTTATATGACCAGTTCTAGTTTTTATCAAATTTATAATCCTTCCACTTTCGTAAAAATATATTTTGTCTTTTGTTTCAACTTTCGTTATAACACTTCCGTTGCATCACTAGTAGTGACTAATGTTGTGCAAAAGAACGGCTGATAAATTTTTAAAAAAATTATCCATTAATCGATAAATTATCGATTAATCGATAAATTATCGATTAATCGATAATTAGTCATTTAAATGTAGTGCTTTGCAAAAAACGATTAACCGATAACTTATCGATAATTATCGATTAGTAGATAGTCGATAAATTTTAAAAAAATGGTCGATTAATCTCACAACTAAACTAAGAAGGTACCCTAGATAATTACAAGAGTTTGTTTTACGGCATAAACTTGAAAAGTCCATTTTCAATGCTTATACCAGTTTACTTGAAACAGCGATCAAGTAAGATCATTGTGGAGTTGCCATGATCAATTGATCACAATTCACAACCCACTTCTCTACTAATTTTTGAGGATTACCGTCCACTTGATCACCTTTGATTTCAGAAAACTTCAGCATACCTTCCTACAGTTGTTTTAATATTTTTCAAAGGGTCCTGTTTTTATTTAAATTAGCTCTCGCAATACCAATACCAAAAAAGCAAAAATGTTAGCGAGTGTACGCATGGATGATGTAATTATACCGATTGAGAATATATTTATATCGATAAGATTTATGAAAAAGTATCGATAGTATTCTCTTGATAATTACCGCTACTTATCTATTAATCAATAATCATCAGAGATGGACAATTTTTGACGTCAATAATAATCGATTATTATCTATAGCTAACAATCATTATTGATTATTTTCAAAAGTTACGATTTATCGATTATTATCGATAATTGTCGATTATTATAGAAATTTATCGATAATTATCTAAAGTTGTCGATAATTATCGATAGTGATCGATTAACGATTAATTGAGTGAGAAGAGTAGCAAATTGCTAACACTTTGCCCACTGTAAAATGAAGGCAATAAAAAAAATTGTTAATTATCAGACTAAACAGACTTATCGATAAATCGATAATAATTTCATTTATCGCCCACCACTAGTAGTGACCTTAGTAAAGTGTGGCATACCTTAATCTTAATGAATATGTAAAAACACTTTTGGTTTATTGTAAAATAAGACAAATTTGTTAATATCAACATTCCGCTGGCACAACATGTGTAAAATATTCGAGAAACATGAAAAATAAACCTTCACATCTAACATATGTGTAGTAAAACAAGATCTTACGATTTTTCACGTGACTGTTAACTCTATCTGACAGTTTCCATGGAAACAAGTGCATTTTTTCAGGCTCCAGTTTCACTATAACATAAGGACTGTGAGATGTTGAGATATTCATTCAAGCGGTCGCATTTGTCGCATTTTCCGATCGCGAAATAGCAACATTGTTGAGGCAGTTTATCACATTTTTTGCAACAAAGATAAATGAATAACGATGACTCAAGTGAAAAAAAAACATACAAAGGCACAGAAATGAGTAACTTATACATTTAATAAGTAAATGACTTTTGCTGTTCTCTAAGAGCCTATAGCATTTTTGCTAATTTTAATTTAATTAATTAATTTTTTACCACCCCCGGCCTACGTGAGCAGTTGAAGCGAGCGAAAAGAACGAAAAGTGTTTATCAAAACATGATAAACCGAATTTTGAAGTGGCTTGACCGTTCAAATCATTAGATCTAATCAGATTGAATATATATGCTACTTGCAAATAATCTTGTCTTGTAAATAAATATGAAACCCAATCCGCAAGTTGGTCTTTAAGTTAAATGCCCAATTTTATGTTAGGTTAGAAGAAACTTTGTCTGGATTGCCTCTCCAATGTAATCAAAAGTACTGCTTATCTTTCGTGCATTGATGAAATACCCGGTTTCTGCTGTGACGAACGTCGGTAGTAGGTCCGTGCACAGATGGCATGAAATAAATAAGTAAATAGTCAGAAATGACCTATCGCGCAAAAATAATATAATTAGCGGATTACAATTTAATTACAAGAAAAATAAATAAATTTACAAATTATTGTAAATAAATCACATCAGCGGAAACCAGCGGCAGTCGGCGTCAACCTGGATGTGATGTCGGCGGAACTGATGGATGGACGAACTCGAGCGCCACCAAGGGATACGACCTTGCCTCGAAGTCGGCGGTAGTAGCGGATTGCGGAACAATTCTTCATGAGAAAATTACGTAGGCGCTATCGATTGCAAATAAAAATTAATTATAAGTTCGGTCACTTCCTCAACTGTTAACTTATTTTACTAACCTTGCCCAATGCCTTGCAAATTCATATTTATAAATCAAACACCCTAATAAATCGACAAGCAAGTAATACAAAACAATTACCCTACGTCCTACGGTAATTACAAAGGAAAAAATAAAGGATGCAGTTACCCATATTTCTGAATCAAACGTATACCACCAAAAGCTATCTACTTTCTGTCGCCTTAGCTAGAACTGTGCTACCTTCTGTTTCTTGCTTGAGTAAAAGCACCAACTCATGAGCCTTCATCCTTTTGTAATTTGAATTGTTAACATTCGCGGTAAAACATTTCCAGTGGCGTAGCAGATGCGTTTTCTGAAATGCATAAAAGCGCGGGAACGATACAAATTAAATATCATATGGTACATCACAAACACAAACTTCCTTTTAGAAACTTTTGCAAATGTTATTGTCCTTTCACTTTTCAATAAACTTCTAGATGCATTATATTACATTCGATTTGCGCATGTGCGACTACTGTCAGGCGAGATGAGGGTAGCTAATCTACTGTGCGAAGGTTTTTTTTCATGTTTAAATTGCCAGCTTGCTTAGTACAGTTGCGTGGAAGCTTGACTGCGGTGGTGAGGATCCCTGGTTCGAGTCCGGGTTCAGGTATGGATAATTTGTAAAGGTTAGGTTGGTAGAGCAGGCTGTGCTGAAACGTAAAAAAATAAAGGCAAAATAAAAAAACACAGCAGTACACTCATCAATTGTTTTACAGATTGATCTACAGCTGAGTACCGTTGAAAGTCAACCTGATGCCGATATAAACCTAGGAATAACTTCCCAATCGAATTCGTACGTCGGTTTATTGGGAGTAGATCAGAATGTGGGAAAATTAAGAGGGGGATATGATCTAACGTACCCGAAAATAGTAGAAGAACTGCAAAAGTACGACATCGCCGACACATCACCTTACTCTTCGGTAATGAAAGATGCGAACTCCCACTTCTTCTGGAAACCGGGAGTTAGTAATACGCATGACGTTTTCCACGTGAGTTGTCCGACAAAGTCAATAAGGGGTTTTAATTTTCTTCTAGGATTCTGGTACAGTTGTGATGACAAATGGTCTTATTTCAAGATTTAGGCCTACTCGTAAGTATTAACTTTTACTTCCGGTGGTTCTGATTTTTGTTATTGCCAGTGGAGGATATTTATTTGCGTCCAGTCTCTTACGGTAGCAGCACAGTAAAGCCGGATCGCGGTGTAGGCTTAGCCTTTCACACCATTACTAGACCCCCGTTAGCCGGACCATACGCTTTCAGTAGAATTCCTAAACCTGTTTGGGATAAACCCAAAGTTTATCTATCACAAAACATTGCGGACACGTGGCTTTTCACCAATTTCTCTTTGAAGTAGGTTAGCTCTTTTAACAAACTATCAAGTAACAATAACTGTTTATAGTATTGAGGGGAAGACATCGCTGGGAAGGAAACTGCCGAAATCGTTGACTACATGGGTAGTAACTGCATTCTCCTTAGATCCAAGGTATGGGTTGGGATTGATGCAATCGCCGAAGAAAGTGCAAGTCTCAAAACAGTTCGTTGTTACCATTGATTTACCGTATTCGATCAAGCGAGAAGAAACTTTGGGCGTTCCAATTGTGGTCTACAATAACTTTAACAAGGAAATCACTGCCGAAGTGACCATTCACAATTCCGAACAAAAGTTTAAGTTCGCCGATGCTGCAAATGACAACAATGGTACCAACAAAATCGAGCTGTATCGGAGAAAAAAAATTTCGATTAAGCCAAACAGTGGAAATTCCCTAACGTTCTTCATTACACCAATGAAATTGGGGCAGACAGAGATAAGAGTTAGCGCACTTGCATCGGGTTTGGGTCAAGAGACGGTTACAAAAGATCTTCTCGTTGTGGTAACTTTAAATTTGTATCAATTCAGATTGCAATGCTTAACGCTCATTTTTAGCCTGCAGGTGAGACGCAGTATTACTCCAAATCATTATTGATTGATTTACGCAAGGCATCTTCGTACACTGGCAACATAAGCTTCGAATTACCTACAAATCTGGTAACGGGTTCCGAAAATATTGAGGTGTCCGCGATAGGGGACTTAATATGGCCGGCGATTATCAATTTGGATAATCTAATAAGGCTACCTACAGCTTCTGGCGAACAAAATCTGATACATTTCATACCAAATATAATCATTTTAAATTATTTGTTGAACAATCGGCAACTGTCGCCGACCATTTTAGAAAAGACCATTACCAGTTTAGAAAGCGCCTATCAAGAACAGTTGATGTACAAGAAGAGTGATGGATCATTCGGCGTTTTTGGCAGAAGGGATACCAACAGCAGTCTTTGGTAAGTTTGGAGCGTTTTGCTCAGATAATGCGCCAATTTCAAATATCCCGTCAAGATCAAAATCGATACGTTACCTGAATTATACCTTTAAATCAATACTGTCAAATGCAGGTAATGCATCGCCTGCTTTATTTATGATGCAAACGTTATAGGTTACAATTTAAACAATATAAACAATTCCATGTATGTTTCGTAACTGTTTCATAAACATCTACATTTTAACAACAAAAGCTTTCTCTGTAATGGCGGTCCTCTTCGTACATGAAATGGAAGTAGATCAACATACATCTTCTAATCTGCTCGATTGCCGTTGAATAATTGTTCCTACTCATTGATAAATGTGTATGTAAAAGCACTTGTGGAACAATATTTAGCACTTTTTCCACTAAATATAACTAATTAAAATGTATATGTAAAAAATTCGTTAAGCTCCTGTTGCGTCCTCGGCGCGTTTTTTTCATTGAATGAATGGGCGCATACGTTTCATTTTCACCGGGAAATCGAGTCGCGCGCCGATTTCGTTTAAATTGAAATTACAAAATGAAAAAATATACGTATTCTGTAACGTTTGATATTGTAAATTTTCATATACAGGGTAATTCAAAAATTCATGAACCATCTCAAATCTTGCTACTATACAAACCACCTTTGAAATTCTAGAAATTTTCTTGAACGTTTAGTTAGGAGTTTTGTGTGCAGACGGAACAATTTTTAAGATAAAAGCGATAAAATGTAGAAAGAACATTTATCTGGCGTTCATTGGTCCCCTACACATACTACAAAAGTGGAACTATACCACTTAATGCCTGGCAAATTTATTTCTACTAAGCGGTTTGCTTTTTCCTCCACTAATTGATGTCTGAATCACTTTAATTTTCATGGTACCATAACGATAATGAGATTTTGGGCACTTGGATGATGGAAGTAAGTCTTATTATTGATCTAATTTTAGGATTACGGCATATGTAGCGTTTGCCTTTAAACAAGCAAAACCTTTTATTTACGTTGATGACAAAATAATTACGGACGCGCTCAAATGGCTAGAAAACAACCAAGCACAAAATGGAAGTTTCGTTGAGGTTGGCAAGATCATACACCACAATGTGCAAAGTAACGATCGAAGTTTGGCTTTAACCGCATTCACGTTAATCGCATTCATTGAGAACCAAGTGAGTCGCTTTATTCGTCACGCGCTGTGTTTAATCCCATTTTTTTAGAGAACGAGAAACGAGTACACAAACGTAATAAATAAAGGTTTAGATTATATCGGCAGGACACTAAATGAGAGTGACAGTATCTATACAATTTCAATTTGCTCCTACGTCTTTCATCTCGCCAATCATCCAGGGAAGCAAGGCACTTTAAATCTGCTGGATACAAAGGCGCGAACGGGCGATCGTTTGAAGTGGTGGGCCGAACCTATTTCGAAGAACGACGAGAAAAATCCTTGGAACTCTCTTCCCAGATCTATAGATATCGAGGCGACATCTTACGTTCTGCTATCGCTACTAGAAGCGAATTTACTCGACGATGCCATGCCTGTCCTAAACTGGTTGGTGCAACAGCAAAATAGTCTCGGCGGATTTACATCGACACACGACACTGTTATTGGAATGATCGGGTTTAATAAACTTGTAGCGAAGATGAGCGGCGGTTCCGATCTTGAAGTCAACATTAAGTTTAAAGGGGGAGACGATAAGTTCCGCATTAATTCCGATAATGCCATGATAGAGCAGAAACTGCAGGTAATGTAAAGCTTGCTACTTATCTTTACATTCACTTGATTTAAAAACGGCCATACTGTTTGGTATATTAAGATTTTTCTTAGTTTGCGAGCACGTCATTGGTGTATTATGATGTCATCACTAAGCGTGTTTACATAGCATCATGCAATCAATGGAAGAGAATACGTATGTAGGCAGCCCATTACCCTTTACATCAACGACTTCTATTGATCAATTACTAAAAAAAATGTTTGGGCAGTTATTTGTAACAGGTTCTCTATCAGTGATGGTTCTTTTAAATTTGGTCGCAGATGAACCAGTTAGGAAAACTGCCTTTGTTCATTGCCCCATGGTAATCTGGATCATTTGTAACAGTGGATCACCATTATCTCTTTCTCGTTCAAAATTACGAATAAAATTAGAAATAAATTGCTTACTTTTTCTTGGTAAACCTGATGGCATTTTTGAGTTATACAACGTTTGGCGCAGATTATTGCAATGAAACTGACGGAAGTTATGCTTCTATAATTGTTCATTAGGAAAGTAACGGATTTTTTATTGGATAATGTAGTAAAATGCAATAAAAGAATACAGTTCTCAAATTTGACGTGTCGCAATGTAAACGTAAACTACGACAATTAACAGGTAATTTTATTGTGGTTTAGAATATTTTGTTAATAAGTTGGCATTACAATATTCCCCAAAAACAAAATTGATGACGTGCGCGCAAACCAATCCTACTTTCCTTACATAACCGCCATCAACAACGAATAAAATAAAAGAAGGAACCATTTATCGGACTAATGTAAAGACGCTTAACTCAAGGCGCCACCATGGAGGTGCTCGAACAAATTCCTTTTTTGAAAGATTACTCTTAGGCACTCTTAAAATGAACAGACAAATACATTAACACGTATTTTTTATTGTTAAATTTTCAGATTAGTAATGATGTCAGGCAAATAAACGTAACAGCGCAAGGTCGAGGACTAGCGATCATAAGAGTCAATTATCGTTACAATACAAATGTTACTGGTCCATGGCCTATGTTCACACTAGATCCGCAAGTTGATAAGAACACCAATCAACATCACCTGCAACTATCAATTTGTACAGCGTAAGTTTCCATAAAAATTGTTGCTTCATTATTTCCCTTCATCTTTTGGTTCGCACCCACCCAAAGTCAAAACGTAAGTATTGAAAGTAGTAATAACCAACCAACAATAAACCTTATAGTAGGGGGAGAAAATACTCAAATGCGTCAGATATTGATAGTGTATATGCCCCACGTGTCTCTGAGATTGGAGGTATCTTAATCTGCCGGTTTGCATAGTGGTGAAGGGTAGAAAACTGGTTTTATTCGAGTTGTACGTATAATTTATGACACGAACGCCTCGCCTTTATGATATCAGTCAGCTGACATAATAAAATGTCAAGGTAACGTTTCTTTTTTTTGTCATCTTCCCATCTCCCTTTAAATTTTCAGATTATTGAAATGCACACTTTTTAACATGTAGTTAGCCCACCTTACTTTAATCTGACTCACTGGAGTAAATCTCAAAAATTTCTTTTGGAGATATTCTCAGAAAATACTCAACAAACAACAAAATTCCTGAAAGATCTGGATCTGGATAAGAATGTTTTCGTTTTGGTGTGTTTTTTGTTTTAAATTACCTTTTATTACTTCCATAATGGTGTAGATGTATTTTTTTTTACTATCTATTAGTATTTCCTTTAATTACTGATTATATTCTAACAGATTTGTGAGTAAAAATTTGACAACTCAACCGGAAAGCAACATGGCTGTAATGGAGGTGAATCTGCCTTCCGGTTTCACCGCAGACATCGACGCCCTTCCAAGTTTGGAAGTCTCACAGCACGTGCAAAAAGTCGAAACTAAGAATGATCACACAACCGTGGTACTGTACTTCAATAACCTCACTGTTACCGAATACTGTCCTACCGTTTCGGCTTTTCGTACTCATAGAGTCGCCAGGCAAAAACCTGTTCCGGTGATAGTATACGATTACTATGACAGCTGTAAGTATTGGTACTTTGGTTCACTCGTAACTTTGAGTTTGTAGCAAGAAGAGCCAGAATATTTTATAAGACTAAAAACGTTGAGATCTGTGATATCTGTGATGAGGAGGAGTGTGGAAATCAATGCACCTCTGCCAAACCGCAGACCGGTGATGGTGGTAAAACTGGCGGAGGTTCAAGTAGCATAAGTAGTGACTGGATATGTTTCATTTTAATGATCACGTTTGTGTGGCAGCATCAGTAATTTTTTGTACTTTTAGATTTGACAATTTTTCACTAGTGCCTATATTAAGATAATGATCTACAGATTTTCTAGCACGTTTACTATGTGCCCTTAACAAATACTAAATGTGATATTAAAAATGTAATATTTTTTAAGTAATAAAAATTAATAAATTAACATCGTCAAACTGTTTGAACAATTATGACTGATCATCCCTTAAATAATAAAGTCAATTTTATGAAATATAATAATACGTTTAATTTGAGAAAATGTAGCTTGATTTATTCTCTATCTGATGCGACAAAATCGATAGAAATAAAAGGATTATGGAATTGTTTGTGAAAGAAGTTCGCTGCACTTGCCAACACACTGTAGGTAATAGGTAAACAAATATGGCGGCGTAAAAGGAGTGACGTCACAACCAATGACATTTTTCGTTTCAGTCCCCTCTTTAAATTGGTTTATTTCTTTGCAAAGTTCCTTTGAAATTGTTTATTAACACGATTTACACGTCAATTATGACTTAAAGCCTAGTCGTCACTATAATTTGTTCCTTTTAATAGTGCAGATTGTAATGTTTTTTTTTAAAAATACATAGGCATTTTTCTGAAGGGTGTATTTATATTTTAGTGTTCCCGCATTTTAAAATCACATTATCTTCTTGATGATTTTGGTTTAACATTTTAGAATCGCTTATAACGTGAGAAATTGACAATGGTACAGTGTTGCACCCTACTAAAAACGCAGCCTATTTCACTACCGTCGCAAATTACATAATTTCGTGTGGATACTCAAAACCAGAGTAAATTGCATCATTTACGAATTCACAACTTTGTGATGATTTCCAAAAGCCCCCCCGAGTGTGAATAATATGCAGGTCACTACCTTTGTACGCCACTGACTTCATTTGATTTTAGTTTTATTTATAGGGAATTTACGTGACTATTAGGTACTACTGAAATCACTACTGTCAAGTGTCAATGTGAATATAACCTAGTTTTTATTATTTTTCAGTTATTTACGTATTAATGAAATAGTGTATGGCTATTTAGTTTAAACACCAATTATGTTTTCTCAAAATCAGTCAGAAGTAAAATTAGAATGGATGTACAAGGTATTCCAATGTCAAAATCGTCATTCTCTAAATAATGGATTGCAGGGCCCCCATTCAAATGTTGAGCGTGAGGACTACCTCTTGGGTAAATCAGTTGATAAAAGTTTAGAGCAATTAAATGCTCAAGAAAAACAGCAGCAGTTAGGAGTACAGCTACCTAAGAATCATGTTGAACATGAATGCATACCTCCATCCATACGAGACTACAAAGAACAGCTCGGCGAACAGGTTAGTACCCACATCATAGTTGCCACCTTTTCTTACGTCTAAGTTTTAGGTGGATATTAATGCGAAGCTGCAAGAAGATCCCTTGATAGCGATTAAAAAACGTGAAGAAGAAAATAGGCGGCAGTTTTTAAACAATCCTATTCAAATCAAGAAACTGCAGGAAGCCCTTCAGTTTCAAAAAAGTAAAAAAAAGAAAAAGCATAAACATTCCGATAGCAATTCTGAAGATGAATTAGATAGAAAGTTAGCAAAGAAATTGAAGTCGCTAGGAAGCACCAATCCGATTAAAGACAAAATAGAGAAAAACGCAAAGAAAGATATGTTAGATACGATTTTAATGCATAAGTACAACCAGTTGAAAAATCAACTGTCGAATACCGATATAAGAGATATACTGGAGGGCAAGAAAAGTGAAAGCAGCTCCAGCAGTGACGCCGAATCAGAAGAGGAAAATCCAATGCGAAAAAGTGGTAAGCGTGCACCATATACCAAAAGGATGCCCGGGAGAAGTTCTAGTACCGAAGATGGTAGTCAAAAACATAAAATGAAACATAGCTACAGGTCAAAACGAAGCAAGAGCAGTGACAGCGATAACAATTATAAAAAGAAGTACAATCAGAAAAACACCTATACGTCGGACAAAGCAAAATCAGGTGATGGTCAAGGAAAGTACCGTCGATCTCAACGCACCAGTTCTGATTCGCAAAGTGATTCAGATACACATTCAAAGCCCAAAAAGAATTGGGGTTTAGTTAGAGCAGACGGTACAAAAATACCGCTTTCCAAAAGTAAAAACCCTCAACAATCTTCCAAAGAAGATAAACCACAGCAAGTCAGTAAGGATGCCAATGTCAACAGACGTCGCGCACTGACTGAAGAAGAGAAAGAGAAGAAACGAAGGGAGATGATGGTCAACGCATCTTGGAGAGACAAGGAGAGAGCTAACAATATGAGGTTACACAGAGAGAGAAATTCTAAGGAAGATTTAGATCGGAAGGAGTATAAACCTGAATTTCTAAAAAAGGAGTTATTGAAGTCGGCAAACAGTAGCAGTGTCGAGAGTAGAATCAAGGCTAATATTAATAATATTCAACGATCGGGTAGCGATATGAGTAAGCACTTTTCGAAAAGGTACTAAGTTTGTAAATAGGAAAATGTTTTTGTTCGTGATTTAAAATGTAATAATGAAATATTGAATACATCCACATACCTAGTTGATTTGGCCTCAGTTTATCTAAATGTCTCTATTTTACTCGATGATATATGCACAGAGCACTCTCAATCTCTAGAGAAATGTAGCGGCATTGAAATATGTGTTCTCTACTTTATATTATGAAACCAACTTCTACATTTAAAAGTAGCATGGTAGGAATGGAATGGTGACACGTGTTTTTGTTGTGTCAAATGATTACAGTTGAAGTACCATGTGTCTTATTTTGGTTGAGACTGGTGTATCTTAGCCATTTTTAAAGATAGAGACACGGTTTCCATGAGCCTATACTGTATTCATTTTAAGAAGGTAGCGGTAAAAACCATAGGCAAGATTTGACCTTCAGTGTGATTGGTTAAAACACAAGTCAGTATTACGCTGAAACATAAAACGAGTGGCGAATTTTGCAAGCTCGTAGTTTCTGTTGGCATCTAAACTATTGAAGTGGCATTAACTGTAATGTTAAAGATTGATTTGTGTTTGCAGTGCTAGATATTTCTACTTTACAATAATTTGGTGCCGTTTTATATTTTTCCTGTGTGTGCTTATCTTCAAACCCAGCACCATCTACCTTAGAGAAGGAAAGAATAGTCTAAGCCATCTACTACCTTCTTATCTCGCTTCTTATAATGAATGAAGTGTAGGCCATTTTTTTTGGTGAAACTTATAGCGTTTTCGATTGGCAAAACTCGTACTGCACAAGTGTTGCATGAGAAACTGAAGAAATCCATATGAAAATTGCTCTCAATGGAACATAAATATTCGTAAATATTTGTTGACATTTGTCCATAACCTCATTTTAGATTTAGGTAATCGACAAATCTCTATTCTAAAAAATGACAAACGATTTCAATATTATTTATGATAAACGATGAGGAATATAAATTTGAAATTCCTGTAAAGGACCAATTTTTGGCGTTCAGTTTAATGAGTAAGTGCAACTTTTTGTAAAATAGAAGTTATGGCTAGTTCATCATCTTCGCTATCGCTAGATGACGACAAAAAACTCTCCCAACGCAAGAAACAAATTCAAATTATCGCACGTTTGTTTTGAAAATTTGTTAACTAGCAGCTCCACGAGCTCTCGGACCTCATGCGTCGAAATTTGCACTGAGTGCGTAATTGTTGCATCACATTTGCCAATGGAACACAGAAAATTGCCCTAAAATTACCAATAGAACGTAAAAATTGCACTCTGCAGCACGAGTTTTGCCAATCGAAAACACTATTAGAGACCTAGAAACCTGAGATACAGGGTGAAAACGAACAATTTGACTTTTTGGGATGTTAATCACCATTCAAGATAGAAAGAAGGTAAAAACTACCTTTAGATATTTTTACCTAGAATCCAGTGGCGTAATTAAAAAAAATTTTGCCCCACATTTTCTGAGATTCGACCCAAAGTTGGTTATTTTCAAATGCAACACCCTGTGTGTTCTTAACTATGATGTAAATACAGAAGGGGCTAATTTTTTGGCTTATTTTATGACTAAAAGTGCATATAAAATAGGTCTGCAAAGTTTTTGTTACCGATCTACAGGGTGTTATAGTTCTACCATACCCTTTACAATTTAAACCTTTAATTTATAAACATATGCAAACTCAAGAGACTATTTTCAATGCCAACTGTCAAAACTAATAAAAGATATTATCCAAATAAATTCAGGGCCTACTAGACCATTTTGAAAATTTTACTTCATTTAGCTAACTACCGAAAATTGATTTTTATTTCTTGATAACCGTCACAGATATGAAAAAATTACAAGAGACCAAAAGGTTATTAAACAAATCAGGTTCAGGGGTAGCAAATGGAACATGACCCTTAAAAAAACAATATCCTGTAGATTCTCACTACCATTAACATGACCAATGATGTATCTCCAAAACTGCCGGAGATACATATATAAAGCAAAACCTTAAAAATTCTTGAAATTTCAACACTCTGTAGATCGATAACGAAGCGTTTGCGGACCTATGTTTGTATGAACTTTTAGTCATAAAATTAGCCAACGAATTCGCCCCTACCTATTTACATTCTATTTAGGAACACCCTGTATATTAACGTCAAATTTTTGCATCCTTTTTCCTGAATATCGGCTGCCTTAGTTACCATGGATACAATAAAGAAAACAAGATCTTCTTGAATCCATGGCCTACTATTCAAAAACTTTTAAGAAATAAGGTTTTTTATTTTTGGTTCATGGAAAAATTTTAAAAAAATATATAATGTAATCAAGAAAAGGAATGCAAAAATTGACCGCGCGCTCGGATCTCTGTTAAAGCGCTCCCTTGACGGGACGCCTGAACAGGGGGAAACAGAGGATGATTTGGAGACCTTACTTAAACGCACAAACGCGGTTGAAAAGGGAGTACGGGGGGGGGGGTTACCTTTTTCTATGTTGCATGGGTAGTGAGATATACTAACATCCACAAAGGTGAAACTTTTCGCTTTCACCCTATATCTTGGAAACAAATGTATTATACCTAAACGTCGTGTAGTATAAAAACAGTCGTAGGTGGCCGCCCACTGCAAAACATATCTTTTCCTTCGCGGGGCAAAGAATACGTTATTATTAGTTACTCTTTGGCATGGGGTAGATAGAGATGAAAATGTAATAGCACAAGCTCGTATAGTATAGTAATGAGCAGTATATTGATTTTGACTAGAGCTACTATAGCAACTCACTTTGTGTTTGATCTATGACAAGCGCCGTCATTTACACTTACTTTTTACACATATACCTTAATTCTACTAATATTTCTTCTGTGTCCCAACTATGTCGGGACTACCAAAGTTACCAGGATATAACTTTTTTGATCCCACAGTAAGTTCCATAGTAATTTGAAAGTAAATGTAATATCTGACACTTCCAGCTAACCAAGTATCACCTGTCACACACTTTTGATTATATAAACGGTTACAAAATTCCAAAACTTGGAGGTCCAGGAATCGGTGGACGGGAGCTGGATATAAACTCTGTCGCGCACATCGAGTCAAATGATCCGGTGCGGTATGATCCGTCGCTCACTTACGGTCGGACACGTTCCGCGGCTCTTCCACAGTATCTACCTCATTTTGCTTTGTATGATCAAAAGTGTCTGACATTCAAGGCGTTTTTCAAGCAGTCTGTCGTTGAATCACCCTTAGAGTATTATAGAGTGCGTAAAGTCAACATAATTTACTTCTTGGAGGATGACACGATCACAATCATGGAACCGCGAATTAGAGTATGCCTTCGAAATGTTTTTATTACGTGTTGTTACATTGTTCTGCATAGAATAGTGGCTTGGAGCAAGGACGTCTTGTCCGACGAGGTAAAATACCCAAAAATAATCTCGGGAATTACTGGCACTGGAAAGATCTGCAGGTAGGCAAAGACATAGCCATTAATGGAGTTGTGTATCACACAACTGATTGCGATTTGTTTACGAGGGTGAGCCATTGGTGTCCATTATTGGTTGGAGTTTAAAGATGTAGTTATAGGAGTTTATGAGAAGCCAAGGGCTGATAATGGGCGATCCTGAAGAGATCCCGCCTGACCCCTACACTCAGGTGAGAGAGTGGAGTGTTCAAGTTCACGAAACCACCACTCCTGCAGCCGATGATAAATTAAGGCGCTTTCTTGAATATGATGGTAAAGTGCTTAAGTACGTATACCTGCGAGACATAGTGTGGTAGGTTCTCATGTGATCTTGTAGTTTCAATGCAGTGTGGGATACACGAGATGAAGAGTTTGGGGAACTTCGGCCATATAATATTTTGTACTTTTTGGCTGATGATACTATCTCTGTGAAGGAAGTGAATGATAAAAACAGCGGAAGAGATCCGTTTCCGTTACTATTACGTAAAATGAAGGTTCCAAAGGTAACTAGTGGTATAGTCTATAGTGAAGTCTGATTACGGCTCATTACAACCAAGAATAGAATCAAGTTTGGCAAATTTGTAATTTCAATGGGAACCCACATTATTCCATATTTCGATTCTACTCAAAAAAGTGTAAAGATTTTATACGGTATGGTAATAGGTGGCGCTGCACTTGGGGGGGGGGGGCTAATTTTAATTTTGCTAATGTTTATGTTTGTATAAAATAACATTTTACGTAATTGCAATTTTTAAAAATACCATTAAACATCATGGAAAAAATTCTAAACCTCAGTTACACAGTTCATGGCAATAAAAAATATTGAAATTTAAAAAAATTGTAATTTAATTCACACAAATTTACTGCAATTAGTTTATGTGATTACAGCGCCTCATGTTACTAGGACAAAAAAATGTTTCTAAAAAAATCTTCATACTTTTTTTGGTAGAATCGAAATGTGGAATAAAAAAAAACAAGGGGTGATCAATTTGGCGTTACAAAAATTTGGTTTTGAATTTGTATTTTGGTCAACATAGGGAAATTTAGACATGTACCGCTTCATAGTGAACGTGAACGAACGTAATGTCTAGAAATAAGGGCGATAAACGGGCACGCTCCAGGAGGACGCAGTCGGGTTTAGTAGGTGAAACGTTGCTTAAGTCGTAGTGCGGGCAGTCTGAGTTTGACCGTCAGAGCGAGCACGTACCCTTTCTTTGGTACGCTAAAATTATTCTTCGTTTTGGCTTCACGTAAAAATATTAGCGTTCGCGTAAAAATATTAGTGCGTGAAAATTAAGACGAGGTTAGAGTTTCAAAGAGTTAACACAACACGTACACTGTTTATGCGGGAATGAAAGAAACAAAACAAATTAATTAGCTGTGTCTACGGGAAAGCAAACGCGGGAAAGCGAAACTATATCCCACCTTATAATTTATTGGGACAGAAAGTAGCAAACAGTTTACCTTGCAATTAAACGGACCGATAGGAATTACCTATACTGTGCAAGAAAAAGGAAAAGCTGTAAATACAGTGCTGTCGACTTAATGTACAAGCAAAAATCAAACGGCATGAATGCAAAATAAATTTATGTAAAGTATAAAAAATTAATACGGTACTTACAAATGTAACTAGCAAATCACCATAGGCAAAAAGATCCTATTTTTCGCTTAAAACACCAAAGGCAGAACGATCGATTATTTAAATACGGTACGGTTGCCAAAGTAAATTTACGGAAACGAGCGTAACTTGAAAAGATGGAAAAGGTAAAAAGATCGCCTCTAAAAAACGGCTTTACTTTTTAAACAATTCGGTCATGTCCTGGAGGCGGAATGGGACATTTCATTGCCGCCACTTCATTGCCGCCATTTCTACACCGCCACATCATTGCCGTGCCAACTCTCTGCAGACCCATCTCTGCCGATCCAACTAATTGCCGGCCATATCACTGCCGTGCCATTTCAAGGCCTCGTAAGAAAATTATGTATATTACGGTCACAATTTTAAAAATCTTAAATAACATGAAAACCATAACATGGGGAATTGATTGACGTAGAATTTTCTTCCACATTTGAAAGTGCAAAAAAAATAAAGCAGGTTTCATTTGAAAAAATCAACTTTTTAAGGTTTGAAGTTATTAAACTTCACCATTAATTTCAAATTCAAGTCATCGGAGACATTGGTACAGGGCGTGAGGGCGCTAAAGAAAAGCATTCAAACGTCAAAAATTTTGAATAACTTGAAAACCTTTGATGCTGGGTATAGGGAAATGCAGTATGAAACGACGTAGATTTTCGTGTAGATTTTGAAAATGCAATAGGTAAACTATAGGGTGTTCTATTTAAAATAAGAAAGTTGCTATCCACATCATGATAATATTTTCTTTCGATAAATCATGAGAAACTATGTTGGTATGCAAATTTTCAGATTTACATTATAATGGAAGCCTAAATACTTTTAGGTAACGGATTGCGTGAAACAACCTGTATATGCGAATTTACCGCGCAAACCATTATTGGATTGTTTACCTAAGATTAGATGCCTTCATCTAAAACAGGACTGCACAACTGGTCTTAAATTTCATTCTATAACCAATTCTTAATGGCGATGAGTTGGCACGGCAATGATATGGCCGACAATTAGTTGGATCGGCAATGAGATGGGTCTGCAGAGAGTTGGCACGGCAATGATGTGGCGGTGTAGAAATGGCGGCAATGAAATGTCCTAGACCGGTCCTGGAGGAAACGCTGGTTTTCTCAACCAGCCTAATATGTATTCGGATAAGAACGTCCAAAAATTAAAACTATTTTAATTAATTGTGTGACGCGCTCTATAAATCTGTAATTGCTCTCAACATTTCTAAATTCATACTTCTAATTAACCCCTATTGTCTCTTTCAATTTCTCAGGTCGGCAAAAGATCTCTTATCGAACTGATACCGGCGCTATACATGGCCTCGCAGTTTTAATGCTTGTTTTAAATGAACATAAGAAACCAAATTCATCTAATAATTACTTAACGGCACTGAAATTCTAAAGTATTAATTTTTTCCTCATCCTCTAAACTAAATGACAATAGCTTTCAGACGCAACAAAGATATGATATGAAATATCTTAACGGGAACGGTTCCAAACGGCGAATTTACATCTTTTGTTTATGGTAACGGCGGCTGAAACACAATTCTAGAAATTAAATCATGTACCTTCTATCTTCAACTCGTAGAACCAACACAAATACTTTCGGTACGACACTTCATAACAAAGCACCTCCAGATACAGTGACTTTTATAGCTGGATAGTGCTGTCGGACAGCCACTTGCCGGCTATTCGCCCCTTTATCCCTTTTAGAAAGATCTCGCACTAATTCAAGACACCGCTCACGTTGCATTTGTAATGAATTAAACCTTTTCCTTAAGGTATATACGGACATACCTGTAACATACCCTTCCGTCTACATGGAGAAGTCCGACGCAGAAGTAACCGAATACTACCAACCGAAGGACTTACAAGTAGGCGAAACTATCTACATCTTAGGTCGCCGAATGCTTCTTGTGGACTGTGATCGATTCACTCGAGATTACTACCAAAAGGCGTTATGTATACAACAAAAACCTGCCATACCGTACAAACCGAAACCGAAAGAGCCTCCACCACGACCGGTTCCACCGCACGATGGCCTGGGAACTTTGGAGGATTCGATTCAAAATACTAAATACTTCCTACCACAACCGCCCAGAAAGGACGTTGTGCGTCAACTGCTCAATGCTAACAAGTATTTAAGATACATTATGAAAATAGATGTCGTACATCCTGAAGACGAAGTCAGACGGTTCATTTTGAGATACTCCCTATCCGAGGGAACTTGCTACATATACGAACCAGTGATTAGAAATTCGGGCATATGGGGTACACCTAAATTCTCTATGTTAGCCGCATTAATAACATCAGATCAATTTTCCAGGGGGAAAATATTTGCGAGATTCTTTTCTTGTAAAACCGGGATCAGACCCGTTGAATCCAGTCTATTACACTCCAGTAGATTTCTATATCGGCGCGACGATTATCGTGCACCATCAGCGATTTATTATCATAGACGCAGATCTGTATGTTTACCGATACATGCAGGCCAATCCAGAAAAGTTCCCATGCGATGTGATCGACAACATTCGAAATCACATGTTCAAAAGTGGATTTCTTACTGAGGACATTAGGGATGAAGTGGAAAAGGAATCTCAGGCTCAGAAGAAAGCCGCGAGAGACGCCATTGGTAACTAACTAATTAATGAACACTAATCAGCTTATTTTTTTTGTAACTGTAGGTGAAAAAGTGGAATATCCCGAGCCTGAGATGGATAAATGTCTGATGAAATTAAGGGGTAGTAGTGCTGATACAGATCCGGAATATGCTACGTTAAAGAGAGCGCAATTATTGCAAGAATATGAAGATTCGCTTATCCATAAAAATGTGGTTCCCGAGCACGGTATCATGGATACCAATCTAACCTGCGCTTATCCAGTTGTAATTGGTGAAAAACCAGATATTGTTTGTAGGGGAACTGATGGTAAGCCCAGATTCCTTTTTTACAGTCGAAATTTGCATTTCACTCGGAAGTGAAGTGGAAGTGCTAATGCCAGCTTGTTTCAGTTGGTCCTGACGCATTTACACCAAAGCACATTGATACACCCGAAGAAATTCAACAGAAGCATTATGCAGATGTGCTGCGAAAAGAGCGCGATCTATGTAAATACGGTAAACCGATTGTCTGCCAAAGTCCGGAAGACATAAACAGGCCCCCCGCCGATAAAAAACCACTTGAGGAGTCTGTACCGATTATGGTTTCCCCCGTAGATCGTCCTAAAGACGCTTGCAAAGTTAAAAGTGTGCACTTTGAGGACGACGATAAAAGATGTCAAACGTATCAAGATGATCTTTGTGATTTGAAACGTGAGAGAATTTTTTCCGAATGTACGCCTTATAAAAAATGTTAACATTTTTTATTGTACCTACCAAATATATCTATACCCGAGTCTATACCTTTTTTTGAATGCCGACTGATAAGTCTGATCCTGAACCGATATGGCGCTCATTTGAAAGAGCTTGGAGCAAGGATCCCGTGCATACCTTTTGTTTTGCTCGATTGTTTAATTTATGTCCCTGGGATTCTTCTCAAAATCTGTATTTTGGCAGGCGAAAATGCGCAATTCTTATTTATGAAATTACTTCAATTAAATTCTATATGCTGGCAAAAAAGTAAATCTAATAATTTCAAAATAGGTTTTGCGCATGCGCAATGCTAACTTTTTTATTTATGAAGTTATTTAACAATGAAATTTTATATGTAAACACTACGAATATCTGGAAAAACAAGTAAAACTAACAATGTTTTCAAAATATTGTTTTGTGCATGAGCAATACCAACTTTCTTATTTACGAAAGCTTTACATATAGACATGCTTCGGGTTCGAGTTGTCCCAATTTTTCTGGTTCTTCCATTTTTTTTAATTCTTCCATTTCTTCTCTAAACTGCAGCTTTCTGAGATGCTTCAGACTCTTTGACATTCTTTTTTGATGTCCTCGATTTGGGGGTTGTGTATTTAAGGGTCCGAGAGAGTGCAGCATGTAAGTATGGGACTATTTTTAGATCGGCGGCGTCAGCACGTATCGGTTGAAACCCATATGAAATATAGATTCCGCTTCTGCACTGCTTATGTTGGTTCCGGTACCGGTTTCTGTTATGTGGTTTCAGTAATTTTTGGTTCCGGCTCCAGTTTTTCACGTTTTTAGGTTCCAACATAAATAAACTTAGAAAATATATACATTCATAAAGAATATGCTCGCCGCGTGCATTTCGGCGGGTGGGTTTAATTTTTGCGTTTCTGTACAATAGCGTACGACTATCCACGAATTGGTTGGCTACAGAGACACTTTCTACTGCTTTCAAAAAATTGGTGTTGAGGTTATGTTGAATAATTCAGTTTAACCGTTTGTGCAAATTATTTTTTATAACAAATTATGTCATTCAACGTTAATTACGATTCGTATTCAATTGCAAAAGTGACCCCGTTACCTGCCTTACCACCGCCGACGATCATAGATGATACTGAGAATGAAAACAAACCATTTTTCTGTAAGGACGATTTTCAGGGAAGCTCTGCACTTATATCGCTTGATTACAGGCGAGAAAACGATAGGGGGCATATTGGAGGGTTCAAAATACGTTTGGAAAGCGAATGGATCGCAATTCCGTTTGTTCGATTCGGGAGGCGGAATTAAAATTGCCTCTTGGAATTTCGCCGTGGCAAATCTAACACAAGAGTCTAGGGTGACGTGCGTTGCCGAATTTAAAAGGTGCAAGAATAAGCTTCCCTTTTTAATAATTGGGTTGGAGAATGGCTGCCGTGGACAGATTTGTATCTTTGATTTGGTAGGATCGAGAGTTTTAAAAACCATCGATTTAGATTACATGGTGAGCACTTGTGAATTATAATATTTTGCGTCTGTGTCTGATTAAGTAAACCTTGCATAATTTACGGTAGTAACACTTACATTTATTATAGGTTACTTGTATATGTGTTATCGACAGAAGTGGTCATATTTCTTTATTAACAGAAGCTCTAGATGCTTTCGATGGGATAGTCGCAGTAGGGACTGTGAAAGGAAATGTGTATCTACTTGACTTATGCCAAAGTGAATATGAAGAAGGTAACATTATCGAATTGGAATGCTCGCAACTGGTTATAAATGTGTTTGTAGCATTGCAGAATGTGGCATACGTTACGGACGAGGTTAATATTAGTGAGGTCGAAATTTTGTACCCCCTTGAAATACATTCAGTGGACGTGGACAGTTATCGATGCTCTACCAACAATAGACATTTATTGCTTCATTTAAATGGTACGCACGTTGATTTACCAGCCCAAATTTGTACCTGAGTTGATTTTAGCTGTTACGGACAATGTGGAGCATTTTGTTTTGAAAGGACCCAAAGGTGTCAATCGCCTTTTTGCTGCAAAGGAAGAGGTGCAAGTGAGTGCACTCCATTACTGCTCGCAGCTGGGATCTTTGCTTGTCGGATATAATTTTGGTGCGTGGCAGTTGTGGGATTTTGCCAATTTAGAACTTGTATACACTTCATCCGTTCATGAAGAGAATATTCCTGTATCTCATTTTGCAGTCCAGGTAGTCACTCCCCGTGTAGGTGCATTTAAATCGTTCATTCTCCACAGGAGCCTTGCGATGATCCACGAGCTTTTTGCTATATGTGGGCTGTATACAGTCACACAGAACCGTATCAACATGCAACACCAGTTGCTGTTTTGTACGCATTAAATTATGAAAGTAAGTCGGTTCATTCCAAGTATGGAGTCCTGTATAAGGTAAGCAAGATTGTACTCTTATCAGTTTTAAATCAAATTTAATTCCATAGAATCTACAATCCTGTACAGTTCGGTTTCAAATTACTCCCACAACTGATAACGAGAATGGAATGAATCCCACTCAAATTGCTGCCAACTGTATTCGTTTGCAGGTGGTTAATAAAACCGTATCAAAACACTCTCTAAATGGACAGGATGAGATTATTACAGTGTGCTTTATCATTTGGAACATATCTGGTGGACGAAAACCGGAAGAATGTAAAACGTACTTGAATTTATTTGATTTGAATCAATGGTACAAGGAACATATGCCAAGTAAGTTATACTGCATTCATTATAAGAAGGTAGTAGATGGCGCTGTGTTTGAAGATAAATACACACAGGAAAAATATAAAACGGCACCAATTTATTGTAAAGTTCAGCACTGCGAACAGAAATAAACCTTTGACAATAACAGCTAATGACACTTCGGCAGTTTAGTTGGCAACATAAACTACCACCTTACAAAATTCACCAGTCATTTTATGTTTCATTGTAATACTGACTCATGTTTTAACCAATCACAGTGAAGGTCAAAGCTTCCCTATGCTTTCTACCGCCACCTTAAAATGAATGGAGTATAGGTCGAAATTGACAGCCGTTTTTAAAAACACTTGTATGCTATTTAGGTTGTTTGAATCAGAGAGCTTTTATGTGATTCGTCCAGCAATACAAGTATGTAACAACAGGAGTTGTCAAATTTATGTGCACGCTCTGTAAATAAAATACTTGTAAAATGTATCTTCTCTATTACATAGAACTCATTTTTATTGTTTCACAGTACTTTTACTTGTCGGAGAACCCCTGTATCATCTAAATAGTAAGATTTGCTCATGCATTGTATCCGCGCAGGCTCTTCGGCGCAGATAATGGTTTCAATTTGGAATAACCAATTTTCTATTGGAGAGCAAACTGTTGTTTTCTCAGGTCGGTTTCTTTAGGAATATTAAAATTACGTTAAACAAAATTGCTATTCAAAGTTATACAGATCAAAAATTTAAAGTATTGGTGTTATTGGTGAGGATGAGGTTTTCTTCAGATTACGATTGATATCATCTTTCCTTGGGAAATGTAACTTCAACTTAGAAATATGAAAAACGGATCGCTTCGTGATAGTACAGCTGAATTTTGTGGTCAAGCTTCTTGTTGAATGGAAATTTTAGTAGTTGTAGCTAGTTCTTGTGAACACAGGCAAATCTGCTTCAAGTTTTGAAGAGTCTGGATCGTCATATTGTTTATGCACAGGAATAAAAAGCTATACACTCAACAGCGGTTTTTAGAACTGGCAACACGGTCGAGCTCGCGCTTATCTACTACACATCGCCAGCGTTTTATTCGAAATGCACGTCGTTATCGCTCTTATCTCTAGACATACTTTCATGCAAGTTTACTATGAAGCGGTATATGTATAAATTTATGAATTTACTAGGAACATCACCCCATTCTATGGCCTGACAAAACTTTTGTCCCTGAAGCTGCCTGAAGCTAATCTTGGCATTGGTTGAGTCACTCATGAGAAGGAATATTTCTTCAGAACCTGGTCGTATAACTTCCGAGCGCGTGTTCTGGCTAATAGGTTCTGCTTCATCATCCTGTTTGGTTACTTGGAGGCACGGAATGAATGGTAACCTGTTCGCAGACGCATCCTCAGGAACGTACTACAATTGACAGTATAGTTTTGGTGACATCCCGACCCGAGAGGCCTGGGTTTCCCTTGATTGACTTTAACACCTTCTCGTTCAGCGGCCGATTCAAAATGCCAGCACCGCGTTTGCTTTGAACTTTCTATTGCGATCACGGGACCACTTGAGATCATCTCCCACAATGGAAACAGCCATTTTCAATTGTTTCGAGATATTTTGAATTAACCACATCGAGACCAAACTCCCACCTCTGACACACGTGTACTTTCAAAACAAATCGCTGTCAAAACATTCCAAGTCCGACCACTAGAGGCGCTGCTATAAAATAAATAAAGTGTGCAGAGGCTAAATAAACCAGCCTTAAGGTGCGTATACATATGCGAGCCGAACCGTTCGCGAACCGCTCGCGAACAACTGGTTCGTTAGATTGGGATGGGATTTGTTAGCGCGAACCGTGACGAACCGTTCCCTGTCGGTTTTTTCGACGAACACAAAGGGATTCGCAGTTCACATTGGGACGTGTTTGTGCGAGGTTCGTCGTTTTTATTCCGGTCGCGAGGTAATTTATAAATATGGAGTGGCCCGAGGAAAATATATTGCGGTTAATAAACATCTATAAATGTAGACCTTTATTGTGGGACCCCAAAAATGTTAACCATTTTAAAAAAAATTTAAAAGAAGATGCTTGGCGCGAAATAGGCGTGGAAATGGAGGTGTCTGCCACCAACGCCTTTGCTTCCTCTTTTTTTTAGCCAAACTACCCATCACGAGAGCTGCACTGCTCATAACCATAATAGTGTAAATTTCCTCGCGCGAAGACATGTTCAATATATAGAAGTACACAGCCGACTGCTGGTGGTTTGCGGCTGGTTCGGCTTTTCCATGGATCGTTGGAAGTTCGTTGTAAAATTAATTTCAAAGAACAGTTTTTGAGCGGTTCGCGAGCGGTTCGCGAACGGTTCGGCTCGCATATGTATACGCACCTTTTGATCATATATATTCCATATATATAGCCTTCAGCCACAGAATATACAGTACGCTACACTATACAGTAGTTTGCCTTCACAGCCACTAAATCTGTGCCAACATATGTGATATGTACCGGGTGACCCAATAAGACTGTTCCTCGGCCATATCTCGAGAACCGTTCGTCATATGACTTAGGGGTAAAAAAATTATTGGGTAAATCGGTCATGAAGAATCCCTGGAAAATATTTTCAAGTTCTTAAAATGACCAACAGAGGGCGTAACTGCCATCTTAAATTTTAAAATTGCATTTTGTTTCAATTTCGCGTAATAAACAAAACATTTTTTTTACATTTTTAAAGAGAACCATTAAAAACAAAAACTCAGTTATTTCAAAAACAAAGATGGTGTGGGGCGTTCAATTGTTTTTGCAATATCCTGCTTTAGCTTCAAATTTGGTATGGTTGAAAAGAGCATTCCTTGGGCATTGAGAATCAAAATATAGTTAATTTAGTTGAATCCTTCTCCGCCAGGGGGCTAGTTTTGACACTATGACCTAAAATCCAAAAAAAATCAAAAAAATCAAATTGAATTATATTACTTTTTCTTTATGAAAAAATAACATCCAAAGAGGCCAGTGAAAACCGTTTTTCAAAATCTCGTTCCTAACTTCAAATATTGAGACAATGAAATTAATTATTTAATAAATTGTTTCATTTGTTTAATTTTCCAATGCCTACCTAAAAGTGTAGGGTCCTTTTCCAAACAATCTTTCGCGCCATCGACAAATACCGGAAATACGTCAAATAAGATTTTTCATTAATTAATTAATCTAATTTTCCCAATATTTGAGGTTAGGAACAATATTTTGAAAAACGGTTTTCACTGGCCTCTTTGGGTGTTATTTGGCTACTTTTGCATAAAGAAAAAGTCATATAATTCCATTTGATTTTTTTAGGATTTTGGATCATAGTGTCAAAACTAGCCCCCTGTCGGAGAAGGATTCAACTAAATTAACTATATTTTGTTTCTTGTTGCCCAAGGAATTCTCTTTGCAACGATACCAAATTTGTTACAATCAGTCAAACGGTTAAGATGTTAAAGTGAGTTTTTGTTTTTACGAAAATGATAGATAAACTGGTTCTCTTTAAAAATGTGAAAAAAGAATGTTTAGTTTATTATGCGAAATTTAAAGAAAATGCAATTGTAAAATTTAAGATGGCAGTTACGCCCTCTGATGGTCATTTTTAGAACTTTTAGAACTCATAACGTATTTACCCAATAATTTTTTTTACCCCTAAGTCATACGACAAATGGTTCCTGAGCTACGGCCGAGGAACAGTCTTATTGGGTCACCTGATACAATATATATTTACTGATACACACCTAAACAGATTTTTTATTCACATTTTGATAAGACAAACTCGGCAGTCAATGAACCTTTGAATTTGTCTGGTTGAACTATTGAGATTATGAAATAAAAAAATTAAATTCTTCATACTCTATTAAACATTCATCCCGTTGTTGTTTCTAAAGCTTTTGATATCGATTCAATTGACCCATATTTTAGTGCTTTTTTCAATACACTTGGTTTTTTTTCTTTCGCCCATCATTTTTGCAATGGGTTAAAAAAACTGAAATGAGGCGGGTAGGATCATGGACAAAGAAGATGGACACCTCCTATCTTCCAAAAAAAAAGTACTTGGCGTATATAAGGTGCTCAGTAAAATCTCCTTTTTTAAGGGTTCTTAACCATTTGTTTTGGGTCGGAACACAAAAATCTGCTTTAAGTTTTTTGCTCTATTAATGTAATATAATGTCAAAAAACACTTCCAGATTCCTCCCACTCGAACAATGCTGAACCTTTTACCAGTCGCATCTGTTTAACTAACATATTGACGAAATCCAACAATCACCATTCTCCGCTTTTGGACGTAAGAATTGGAGAAGAAGGTTTACATCAATTTCTTGGTTCGCAAAAGTTGGAGGAACATTACTATCCGTCCTCTCTGGCATTCCGTAATGATATCCTAATACAAAAGCACAATGAAACTGAATCTTTTAGAAATCACAAGCTTGAGCGACGACGCAGTTACTGTTGTAAATAATAAAGGCAGTCAACAAGCGATGATCACCAGGTTGGAATCTCTGGGACCGTCTGTTCTATTAAACCCCACGGATACTTTCGCAGTCGTCGCCGGTATGGGTTTGACACCGTTGTTTGTTGAAACCCCTACTAAAAATGCCCCACTGGTATAGTTGCACTTTTCCAATTGCGATGATTTTTAAAGCAACCTTTTAGGATGACCAACGCGAGTTTCTATTAAGTGCCGCTTTAGAACAACAAATGCTGAGTTGGTTGTGCAAGTGTGTAACTGCATGGAGCAGCGGTATTTGCGACACTGACGGCTGCAATTTAAACTTCTTACTAAAATGGGCTTGGCATCGAGCACAGGTTTTAAAAGAGAATGCGGACAGGCTTGGTAAGTTAACTAGAGATACTTTCAGTACTAATGCAATAATTTTTAGCTGTTTCTCTCTTTGACTATTCCGGTGTGGTATTGGACGGTAACTCTCAGCAACTTGTAAACCACTGTTTAAAACAAATCCGAAATTTGTCCGCGTTATTCAAGTTTGTGATCGACAAATATTTGGGTTTCGTACTAGATCCTGGTAATTTAACGTGTATCTTTTATGGCTGATTGCGACCGTCAATTTTAGATGAGATTTTAATTCAGTTCGAGTGTTTGGAGGTCGCCTACATTTACTTGGAGGTTTTACACTGGTTTCAGAATGTGGGTCTATTGCCGGAATGCGCCTTATCAAATTATCCGAAAGTGGACGAGTTTGATCGCATATACGCGCCATATCCGGTCGATGATTTAGTAAAATATTATAGCAAAAGGTTTGAATATTAGTTTCTAGTTGCAAAATGCAATTGCATGTTCTTTGCAGGAGAACTGAACTAAATTCGTGCAGTATGAAAAAATTTGGGGCAAAAGAAAGTCTTCTGTTTATTGATAATCTCATTGAGAAGGAGTGTGGGGCACACCATTTGCAAAAGTAAATTCTTAGTTGCTCGGACGAATTTTAATTTTTGTTTCAGGCAGTGGGAGGACGACGGTGGCTCGGGGATATATCCTCCGTTATCGCTACAGGCGTTGATGCGTTCATATTTGGTGGAGAATATTAAGATTAAATTTAAGCATCATGTGGTGACATATTTTTTGCTTGATTTGGTGCTGACGTTACAGGATAAGAGGTGAATTTAAAAAGAAGGAGTGCTTTATATCCATCATTTCGTATCACAACAAATTTGCATAAGACACTGTCATTTGTCATCTACTTCTATCAGTTTGGAGTTTGCATTCAGGCAACCTGTATGAAAATTGTAAACTCTGAATTTTGTTCAGCGAGTCACTTATACCTACCACCCATGAGATGGGGTCTCGCTGAGGCGTGATTTTGGCGTAAGTGGAGACGCGTTCTTTCGAAGCTGGCGGTATCAAGCCCAATTGTGATTAGCTGTTTTTGAAAATCTTGAAGAAGGACATCATTGTATGGGTGAAGTGGCGTTTCCTTATACAGGGTGTTCTTTAAAGACATGCTCATATTTAAGGGGGTGATTCTTGGACCCATTTTAAGAAAAAAGCTTTCTATGGACGTATGTCCTAAACGTTTTAATTTTTTAGGTACAGAGTGGTAAAGTTTAAAAAAAAAATCAGTTTTTTAATAATAACAGAGATAATATTGTAGACATCTCTATGATATTTGGTACATGTCTTTTATGCATTCAGATGCATTTTCTGATGTGCAAAAGCTTTTATTTTCAGTGGCGTCCGTACGACTTTTGCATACTATGCCACTACTTTCTCTTAAAATAAAATATTTTCAAATCCTTATTCATTTTTGAGCAAATTTGATCTACTGGTTTTGCTTTGTCCGACGCATGGTTTTCGCGTAAAAAAAATAAAAATCGTTTATTTACGAGTTTTATTTTTTTAAGCGAAAACCATGCGTAGTAAACCTAATATTTTGAAATTGTGCGCGTTTATTCAGTTTTTCATTCTGAACAAATTTTCTTAAAAAGATTTGTGCGTATCTCGTCCCCAAAGAGCACTTGACTGGTATGCAAAATACGTAAATTTACTACTAAAATTTTGTCACAAATTAGTTTACAATCAAGCAGGGTTGATCCTCAGAAGCTCAAAATTCAATTCGAAATTTTTTTGTCTTACAAGATCCAACCACACAATCGGCGGAGGGGGGAGGGGGCACCGTATATGGAGTCCGGGCCCGCATTACCCACATTATAATGTTAATGGTAGGAACAGTGAGGATCTCCAACATGTTTTTTTATGAAAATTTGTTTTTGTGGTAAGAACATACGTTGGACGGGTAAAAGAGTATGGAAGGGCCCTCAAATTAGCTTAGTACTGTGATAGGTGCTGTCACTGGACTGTAGGTTTGGTGTTGAACGTGCTGTGCTAAGAATAATTGGATTGCTATCTAAATTAGCGAACAGGCGCAAAAGGTTTCAAGTTTTGACTAAGTGGATTTATAAAGACACTAAACCTTCCCCATACTTCTTTTAATTGTTTCAGGTTTTAGATTCAAGGCATTAGGTGACAGCGAATATAGTTTCGACCCGAAGGTCATTATCAAGCTTAAGTTTAAAGGAACATATAAAGGTGGTTGAAAATTACATATTAAAATGTACATTTGGTTATCAATATGGGGAAAAAATTACTAATTAGAACATGGAAACAATTACAATATTAACAATTTAAAGACTATGTCCTCACATATTATAAAACAATTGTTTAAATTAAAATTAAAGGAGACGAGATGGACGCAGCCATCTTGACAGCTTGTCAAGTTTTGGCCCGCGGGCCGCCATTTCCCCATCCCTTGTATAGATCTTCAATAAATAAGTGTCGCTATCATCAAATTTTGTACAATAGTACTTCATACCTTCTAATTAGTCATTATTACATTTTTTTCCCTCTCCAAAACCAGGGTCAAAAATTAAATTTGGTTCCTATGTATATTTTTTAATAACTTCTGCAAACATTGGCCCATATGAATAAAAGGGAGCATATGCTTATACTTGCAAAATTCAAAGTTAATACTCGTAAGTGCCCCTTCACACTGGGCTGCTCAGTAGCGCGGCACTGCGTCCCGTCCTGCTGCGCTGCTAAGTCGCCAAGTGTGAAGGGGCACTTACGAGTATTTACTTTGAATTTTGCAAGTGTAAGCATATGCTCCCTTTTATTCATCTGGACTTTGTCGTGATGGGCAGGAATTACCTGTTTTGGTCCACGGAAAGTGCTGTAATATAATTAAGTGCTCATATTTAGTTTGGGCCGCAAATAGCGTTTTGTCACTCCATTCAAACAGATGTACGGCAGAAGTCAGAATCGTTAGTTAGGTGACATAATCTTGAAGCGATGCACTTTGCTTTATTGGAAATCTAATACACAATATGTTTTAGGTATCAATCCACCATAGCGCATTTAATAAAGTTCCCGTCCGTCTTCCATTTGAGTCCAAGTTCCATCAAAATTATTCAATCATTTTGGCAAATTGATCATGGAAACTTTGAGGTAGGTAACAATAGATATATGGTGTTTATGCAGGGCGTAACAAAAAAAATTTTTTCTTCCATCCATTTTATTTTTTGTTTCCACCAAAAACTCGAGATACAGAAATAAATAGGAATATAGTGATGTGATGATAGTGTGAATGTTTATCACTTGAACACTCTGTAGATGCTGATAATCGATTCACATTTTTCCAGGAAGGTATAAGACAGCTCTTAGATCCAATCATTTCGTCAACTGACCTGAAAGAGTGGCACCATCGGCTTGTGTTGAAAACTCTGCTCGCCCAAGAACAATACAATTTCGCCCTATTCTACTTGCAGGTCTACTTTATAACCACAATATACAAAAATAATACTTTTACTATAGGCTAGACGTCCTGCCGTAACGGATCTCAATGATTTGTGCACAATTATAAGTTTATACATTGCCAATAACATGGTAGACGAGGCGTTTCATTTTCAACGTCGACACCACCACACCGACGTCTCGTTAAAGTTGTTGCAGCATTTTTTCAAAGGTAGCCTACTGTTTTCGTCATGCGCTTCATCTTCATCTTACAGAATGTGACAAAAGTGGTAACATTGAATCCATTCTATTTCTCCCCTTGTGGCCAGAGGAGGAGGAGGCCTTTATGAAGTACTTAACGGATGTAAATCATTCTCAAAGATCTTACATTCAAATACTCTACTATACGCAACGTTCCCGATACGTCGAGGCGATGAAGGTCAATGACAGCACAAACCTGGTTCAGTTTCAAAATAAGGGATTGCAAGGAAAACAGCTAATTACAGATCAAGATCGAATTATGAATCATTTGGAATGTATTTCGAATCCTTTGAGTAAAACCATTTTAGACGAATGCAAGAAAATCGACGTCAATACAAAGAGAGGTGTGTTTGTGCGTGGGGGCGCACTGGTTAATTAATTTATGTTTTCAGGTACCGCTTGTACGCCATTGTCAGTCTTCGTGCACAATTCACAGGAACGTATCAAGTATAAATCATCCTTAATTGAGGCCGCACTCATAAAATCTAGGGAGATTTGGAGCATACCTACAGTAAACAAGAAGGCGATCAAAAATAATGATGACATTCCCTTTTTGTGTAAACTAAAAGCCGTACTATCACCCCCTAAGTAACTATCGCCGGTTTAACATATGAAAGAAAAATTGAAAGTGGTTTTTAGGATTTTAAGTCCCATGATTTATCCCAGATTGAAAGACTCACGTGAAGAGTCCGCGGAACCGCCTTTGAAAAGATTTAAACCGTCATCTAGGCTGTGCATGCCTTTACAAGATACTTCTAGGAGACGTTCTAGGGCAACCAGCACTCGGTTAAGTACTCCCATAGTTAAACGTAAAATAGCAAGTAGTGCAGTGTCGGCGACACAAGCTCGACAGAGTATTTTAAAGGTTGGTAAACAACACAAAATATTGTCAATTGTATGAAATCATTGTAGAGTCACAACTTCACACTGGACAATTCATTGGAGGTGCTGGAGAAAACTGATGATAGTTTAGCTGACAATGCCAGCAAGGATTTGCCATCTGTCCGAGTGAGTAATGGTGGAGGTTTTATTTTGTTGAAATCTTATTGGTTGTTTGACAACTTCATTTTTCTTGACTTCCTGTTTTTGAAGTCGTTTTGCTTTCACTCAGATGGGGTAGAAAATCTTCCCTAAATCATGTACTTTCAGTAAAAAAAGTGGGGGATCAGTTTTTACCACAACACCTCCTTACTAACGTGTTGTTGGTAAAAAGGCAAATGCTCTATGTAAGCTCCAAATGGCGCACACTCTCATTTATTAACGATTCAATACTTAATTGGGTAATAAAATTGTCCGGAATGGAGAAGTCTAGTCTTCCAAAATGGAATTATATTTTATCCAAGTGTTGCTCATCATACTATCCTTTACAAGTTGCGATTTGCGATATCAACAGGTAAGTAATTTTTTGTGGCAGAATTCTCGGGCACTTTAAATTATTCATGGAAATTTATTTGAATACTAGCAGCCCAGGCGAACTTGGTACCGCCTTTGGGAAATCCCGTTTTTTCCTGTGCTCTGTTCTCGCGGGAAGTTTTTTCAGAATACACCTTAACGTATTCAAAGAAACCTATTTTCTAAATGTCAGGTCTCTTTTCGATTGTAAGACAAAATCTTGTTTTTTCGTGTTCCCGTTCCCATGGGAATTTCGGAATAGTATTTTACGAACTCAGAAACTTTCGCCGGCATACGGCCAACTATTCCCCAAAGTTTTATCGCAATTGGATGACAGGTTTAAGTAGACATAAGAGCCAGACAGACAAACAATCATTTTTATTTATATTGCTGTGTGAAATGATATGCGGTTACTATACCACCCAATAGACACCTACTAAGCTAGCTCAAATTACACAATTGTTTCCTTTTTCCTTTTAAAATTTACATGAGTAAAAACTTCCTCAGAAAATCCAACTGTTTCCACATTGAAGACGACTACGTTTTTCTTCTGTTAAAATCACATATCCGGATAAACCACTAGTGCAAATTAACAGCACCGACTGTACGCTCTCGTTCAAAATATCCCGAGATGGCCCTGTTTATTCTTATTAAGAGGAAAACCACTTCCACTCATAAATTCAAAATCGTTGTTTCTCGACGACACTCGAGTCCCCGAACTGATCGACACCTGCGCTACTTATGTCTCACATCACACTGTTTATTGCAAAACCAATTATTGTCCGATAGCTTTTTATCAACGCCTGACCAAATAACTTTTAACAACATTGCAATTAAATGTTCCCTTATTTATACGTTTTAAATTTATTATACAAAGTAAATACAAGAAATAGAATTAAATGAATTAAACAATTACAGACTAAAAAATGACAATTCAACAAATTTTCCCATTCTGTGCCCATTTGAAATAAAAAATTCCCAGATGAAATAACTTGAATTACACTGTGTACAGGATGCCCTGACTATAATTCCGATATTCCCACCGAAATTACGTTAAAACATGTATTTTTGCACTACAAGGTGGCTCGCTCCCACCTTCGGCATTGTTTCCACCTAGAGAAATGACAATCCCATGTAGTTTACCCAAGAATATAGATAATAGTAGACTAGACGAATGTATCGGGTATCCCGGCGAACCTCTTATACAGGGTGGTGACTTGCGTAACGCATCATAGGGATTTCAATGTAAAATTCATAACATGCGATTATTGGCTCCCCAAATTATTTTAGAGTAAAAATGTATTAAGGTTTTTTGTAGGAAAAAAATTTTTTACGTCAATCAACCCTATTAGTTTTCAATTTTTTGCATAATAAAGACGGAAAATTGGAAAAATAAAACCCCCATCTTTTTCAATAATCTGTGATGCCATGGAATTTTATAATACAAAAACTACGCCAATATCCGTCATGCCATGGAATGTCTGCTATAAAACAAATCAAATTCTATCAAAAAGTATTATATTTAGAACAGTGAATTCAACATAAAGAAAGACCAAATTACTAAAAACGGTTTCCTAATATAACAATTTACAATAAATGTTCGAATAAGTTACCATTAACTGCAAGACAGTAACCAAGTCGATCATAAAAGCCATTTCGAACTGCTGTTAATTGATAACTGGATATCTTTTTGTTTTAAAAAATTCCATGGCATCGCAGATTATTGAAAAAGATGGGGGTTTTATTTTACAATTTTCCGTCTTTATTATGCAAAAAATTGAAAACTAATAGGGTTGATTGACGTAAAAAATTTTTTCCTACAAAAAACCTTAATACATTTTTGCTCTAAAATAATTTGGGGAGTCAATATTCGCATGTTATGAATTTTACATTGAAATCCCTATGATGCGTTACGCAAGTCACCACCCTGTATAGGGGTACATTGCCAATGCCATTACAGTGTGCACATTTTAAATCCTTTGAGGGTTGTGAGATGGTGGTGATGTGTTGCAAAACCACACAGTGCACATTTTAAATATGTGAAAGTATTGCGAGTTAACATATACCTACTTAACTTTGCTTTGTATAATCACATTGGACACAATTTAAATCCTTAGAGGGCTAGTATGACATGTCATTTCAACACAAGGTGGTGATTTGTTGCAAAAATCACACCGTGCACACTTTAAATATTTGGAAATATTGGGAGTTAGCAGATGTCAATTTAAAATTGATTCATTCGTTGCACAATTACACTGTGCACATTTTAAATCCTATAGAGAAAATGTTGCAGATTGTTGCAAAATTGTAATGTGCACACTTTAAATCTTTTGAAGTATTGCGTATTTTTAAGCGGCAAGCGTGTATTGGATACTATTACATCCTATGTGATTTGCCTACAGTTAATCGAAATCACGAATAACCTATACCTATCACTTTGAATGTTTTTAATTTGACTGTTGGTAAGATTGAAAAAAATTTGATTTGATGGTTGTAGTCATTAGTTCTCCTAAGGGAGAATTTCGTTACGCCCCTGCAACGTCCAGTCAACTGCTGATAGAGTTGTTGGCGTTCGCGTCCCGACATGTTTTTGAACAGTTGCCCCGTGGTGATCGATGGCGGGCCGCTCCGTCCACAGACCATCAACATGCTACCATTGGCTAGTAAAAAGTGTGAAAATGGGTTCATTGGTTTGGCTCATCTGGAAGATGCATAATTCACTTTTTACTAGCCAATGGTAGCATTGCATCATAGGTGAACATGCCCCGAAATCCAAGCTTTATTTACTTTTATAATAATTGTCTTTATATTTAAACTTTTCTACTAATCCCAACAATTCTTTTAGAACAATAAAATGCATAAAATCAGGGCGATCTTTTGTAAACAGATCAATGCAGTAAATACTTTCCTCTTAAAGCCGCTTTACATTAGGCAATTTTAGTGCAATGCAAGGCTTGTGCTATGCAATCTAAAATTGCCTTTCATTGCTTATTACGGTTTTACATTTATGCAATTGTGTTGCAACTTTTGTGCAAGTTCAGAAAAGTGTTGCAGTACTGACAACATATTTTTCAAAAATTGACACTTTTCAGTTTGTTTACACAGAAGGTTATTCTTGAAACTTAATAAAATTGACCATTAGGTATGAGCAAACAAAAGGAAATTAAGCTGGCTACAGCTTGTAGCTTGTTATGTGGTGGCTTTTTAGGTTATTAAAAATAACACACGCGAATAAATTGTGGTATTGACAAAATTACTAGAAAAGTTACTAGAACTTGCGCCAAACTTGCAAGTGAAATAGAACTTTCTCTATTTATTTTTCTTGCACCTGAATTGCGTATGAACATGCGCAGTAACGTATCTCTAACTTGCATTGCACGAAAATTGCCTAATGTAAAGCGGCTTTTACATACTTTTGACCAAGGCCTACGTTAGCTGCCATGAAGGAGGTGAACCAAGCGCAGCGAAATATCTATCCAGTATGGTCGCCAACTCCATTGTAGACACTTCCCTTGTCTGTCTATTGTTTTGGTATTTTTCTTTTCTGTTATGTATTTCATTGATAATGTTCACAGGCAAGCAATGAACAAGTGGTGTCTGCGAGAACGACGAGTAGCATAGTTTTATGAAAATATATTTTTAGTTATCAGTGTATGTGGGTGTCAAGTAGTACCTAGTCAGTTGTCAATTTTCTCATGATTAAAGGCTAAAAAGAAACAAAAGTTGCTTAAAAACGCCATAAAGACTACCGATTAATAAGAGTTTGTTTAGGGATCGAATCAAAAAAGTTATAGGACTGAAACCATGCTGATTTCAAAACAGAAACTCAGGCCAGTTACATTAGTCTATTGCGTTGCTGGACGTCAGTTTAATTGTAACTCTTGCAGTACCTTTGGCACAAAATTAAATAACCAAGTAATAAGCATAACCAACCTATTTTACAATCTTCTCTAGTTCACACTATTTTACTAAATGTCTCTTCTAGTCGCTATGCACTTGTGGGTTCCTACAATGAAGCCGATGCTGTCAATGGCAATATCATTGTTCGTACGTCATTCATATGTAGATTAGTTTTTTATGTATAAATAATTATACATAGATAGTAAGTATATCAACATTTGAAATCAATTCTTTCCCCAATTTTACTCCTATTTTCTGCGATTTTCATTTTTAATCAACGTATTATACAGAGTGGCCCAACGAGAAGTATACAGAGGGCTTTTAAGGTATTTAATTTAGAAATTTCGAAAAATCCTCGAACACATCAATTTTGTATTCGAGGGGGACATGGTTTTTTTCTAAAAAGACCAAAACAAATGCGATCTAAGTCACCTTTATTAAAATTTTATTTTGACGCTTCAATTTGTTTGTTAAACTTAAGTGAACCTGTCAGTTCTCCGAAACGAATCAATAGAATTTAAAAAGCAAAGCAGATTAGTAATCACGATTAAATTGGCTTTCAAATAATGTGCCATTTGCCATAGGATTCCATTTAAAATTTTAGGGGTTAAGCTCCCTACGTAGAGGGGTGAAGACTTGGGTTCGTGATTTGTATTCCAAAAGTTGTCCCCCTCGAATACAAAATTGACGTGTTCGAGGATTTTTCGAAATTTCTAAATTTAATACCCTAAAAGCCCTCTGTATACTTCTCGGGCCACTCTGTATACATTGACATATAATAAATGGACTGCGCGTGGCAATGATAACCGCGAATACTGCAGATGAGAGAGAAGGGAAAACTAAGAGGGCAAGCTGTCTCTTACGGTTACGCATCTGATTGGTTCATTCGCTTTCATTTGAATGCGATCGTGATCGCTTCTGTTAAAAGAACGAATCAGATGCGTAGCCGCAAGAGACAGCTTTAGGCTATTCCCTACGTACTGTCGAAATTTCAAGTTAATTGACTCATTTTGAAAAAATTGCCAGAGCAATTACTTGCATTTCCTGGACTCATAATGGGAATCTCATACATGCCGCAAAATTGAAAATCTCACATCTCGTTTTTGTGCAAATTGTGTGCTAATGATACAAGTTTGTGTATGATAATATTTTGGGAATTCGCGATCTTGTCCGAAAATGTTGTTAAGGGTCTATTGAACAACCTTGTCTAAAATGTGTAAAATTAATATATATTTTCAAATGATCTTTTAGTGATTCTCAAACCCCAATATATAATTCTTGAATTATCACAACAAGGTAGTGGGTGTAATTTTCAATTTCGAAGTGGGGTAGCTGGGGGACGAAGGGATGAAACCGAAAATTCTCTAGGTACCATTTTTGAACTTCCCCTCGATATATTGACTCAAAGCAAGCAATAATCACAGCTTGCCAAGAGTTATTAAGGGTGTATACTTTTGAACACAACACCCTGTATTTAAATCAGACTTTGAATATGTTTAAAAGTTTTGGATAAAACGGGCTTAATGAATAACCCATATGTTCAAATTTTCGGAAATTGATGCGCAATAAATACTAAATCGGCTTATCTGGCCCTTCCTGTATGAATATGAAGATACCCGTGCATTAAGGATTACTTGTCGCCACTGCACTTCGTACCTCGTCAAAAAGTGTCTTTTTAGCTGGTTTGCAGATAGTGTCTTCCATGCTGATAAACAATTACCGAGTGTAATTCAAATGTACCCACTCGCTACTACTCAAATAACTTCCAGATAAAACGGTGTCCTCGAATTCTACCAATGTGCTTGGATTTGCGTTTACTCTAAAACTTACCGACTACATTTCCACTTTAAAATAAAGTGGAAATTCACATACAGGGTGTCCAATCGTTATGGCAGGGATCGAAACCAAACAGAACATTCGCTTGACGTAGTTTACACAACAATATATTTTCACACTTCAACCCGTATGGCATCGCATATGCTTATAAAAGAGGGACTATTATAATTACGAGTCCGGCGGTTAACCAGAAATAAGGATTTTTCAAAATCTTAAAATTGTCATATTTTATTCCATGATCTTTGTACAATGCACGGTTTAGAAGATATACAGGAATTTTACACGAAAATAAAATCATACAAAAGCACAAGCTGACTCGACAAGAAACACAAAACTTCAAAGCCTCATCAGGTCCCATCCACTACAACAACCCAATTATAAATGTTATAAATTTGCACCATCGCCACGTTTCATATCAGCTCTCATTCTATCAACACAAATTGATGTTGGCAAGATCCTCAACCAAAACGGGTCAGTAATTCTGGAAACAGAAAACCCAGTAACGCGGGGGCTATTATAACCTTGCTACTATGTATTGATTGACCATTTACCTTGTTTTGTTTAAAAAATGAAAATTGCAATAAGGATAGTGTCACAAAAAAAGATAACGTTGAAATTAATGGCTCCGGTAACTAGCTCAGTCGGTTTGATTTTTATTTTTTACCTGTCTCACGTTGGCTTGCTCCAGGGATCTTCCATAGCTGAAATAATTACCAAAAATTGGAATCCTAGACTGTCCAATTTAATAACAACGATATAAATGATTGACTTTAGATATATTTATTATGCATCTCTTTAGACACAGTAATTTTTTATGAAATTCCTATCTAGTAGGGACATGAATATTTACTTCCTAAAGGAGAAATGGTCACATCTCTTTCTTAAAGTTAAATTTAATAGTCACAAAATCAGTGTTTTCTTTGCTCCTTCATTAGTCTTTTATTTCAATGCTGCACACGACCCGAGCCATGGCAACACAAAGCTGTCAGTGATGTGTCGATTTGTCATTTTACAGATTGTAGTGTAGTTTCCCAAATCTTGCTTATTGACATATTTGATTCAAAATTGATATGGAGTTTGATGAAAGTTGTGCCAAGTGCCAAAAATTTGTTAAATTTGATAGCGAAGCTTTGTGCTATTGTGAAACATGTTTTTATGTTTATCACGCCACTTGCGCTGGGCTCTCAAAGGAGGATGTCGAATTGATGACAACATTTGAACATTCTTCTTTCAACTGTGATAAATGTAAAAATGAAGAAAAACAGGTAGCCATAGTCAGTAGTTAGTGTACCGTGGATGCAAGTTGCTTAAATTGCTTAATTTGTGTGTGGTTATTGCGTGCAGTTGACTAACGTAATTTATAAGGGAGATGTAGTAAATAACCAATCTATTAATTTGAGCAACCAATATTCTGTGTTGTTATATATTATTTCCCAGTTACGCTGATGCATATTTTTCCTACCCAAATTATCATACTCGAATCAAATGTTGAATAAGTTGTTAATATACAGAGAGATTCATTAGAAGTTTTTAAGCTTGCAGTTGAAATAGAAATTTGAAATTTGGTTCACAGCCATAATCGATTATTGCGAATTGAAATAAAACAATTTCAAAATGGCGCCGCTTTCGTAAACACCGGAAGTTGGCGCCAACTTAGTTTTTTTAAATAGGAACATAAATTGACATGTCAAAAACTATGACAGATAGCTGATCTTATGGTAAATGCGTCTAAAGCTGGATTCACATGAATACGAAATCCGACGATACGGTCATCCGAAATGCTTATGATTGGTCAATAGTTTGAAATGTCATGACATTTCAAATTATTGACCAATCATAAGCATTTCGGATGAGAGTATCGTCGGATTTCGTATTCATGTGAATCCAGCTTAATTCAGAATAAAATGGCACATTTAGAAAAAAATAGAAAATGGTATTTTTCTATTTTAAAAAACAAAATGGCACCAACTTCCGGTATTTTACGGAAGCGTCACTATCTTAAAATTATTTCAAGTTTCCATTTTAACTGCAAGTTTGAAAAATTCTAACGAACGAGCAACGCGAATCTCCCTGTATAGATCAAATTGATCCTTGTATACCTAGTAGGCCCAAATGCAAATAGGCCTTAGACCATATAGTACATGGACTGCTAATTGTAACTAAAATATGGTCAAGGACATTGCCTGGGTATGTGCGTTTCAGGGTAAACGAGTCTGTCCGAAATTATCCGATGAGACACGATTTGAGGCTGTCAACCTATAAATTAACAAACGTCAATTAATTTATGGCCCAGATATGGCAAGAAAAGCAAACCTATTCTTATTTGTGGATGTATAGAAGATAATCAAGATTATTTAAAGCTCCTCGTACTACGCGGTTACCATAAAAGCTACTCTACGCGATCCGAGTGGTGTTCATACGACTTTAGTTTACCCTGAGATTCACATACCCACGACTACAGTGCCCCCTATCCGTGACCACCCATTTTGTATTGAAAGCATAGGGCTAATAGCAGTCCATGTACTATATAAAAGATGTATTTGCTTGTGCAGCAATCGAGCGGTCTGGGTTTAACACCAAGGCGACCATTAACGAAAAGTTCTAAGCCAGAGGTTCGCTTTACTCTCACAAGGTGTCCATCGGATTCCTCTGAAGTGAGTGAACAGGCCGGCACCGTTGTCGAAGAGAAGGTCATGGTGCATGCCGCACTGGATGGGTCTGTTGAGCACACGATCTCTCCACCCGTTTCGAAGAGAGTTACAAATTCAGGTAATAAATGGTTTGTATTTAGACCATAAACATATTGTCATTCGCAGACTCACGTAAACGAACCTATCATGAAATTACCAATGAAGAAATTATATCACTGTCAGACCTACCAAAGACGCCTAGATCAAGAAAAAGTTATAAAGGTATTTCACAGCAGAAACAATTTTTAACTTACTTCACATTTTCTAGAACACGTAACCGAGAGAATTCGATCAAGCCCTAGGCTTAATCCAGTTACAGAGCTATTTAAAAATGTCACAACCGATTTGAAGGAAGAATCGTATGTAGAATCCGATGTGAATGAGCCTGAACAAAATTTGGTTGTAACGACAACCAGAACGTTGAGATCACGAAGAAGTTATCAAGAATTCACAAAACCGTCACAGTCAAGCACAAATCTTAGGAAAACAAAATCGAAGACGCAGGAAACTAAGTCGTCTCTTTGTAGGGACGTACTTGAAAATAATGCTTTCAACAAGATGGTGGCTCTTTCGACCACTACTATTGAACAAGACATCTCCACACTTCCAAGCGAAGAAAACCAGAACATCGTCTCTACAACAGAAAATCATGCTAATGAAAGCTATCAATGTGAGCAGATGGACGTATCTGAAATCATTGAAAGTGATCCGGTTGTGGCTTCGGAAGTCGAAGTCCCTACGAATAACCAAGACAATGATGCGGAATCTGGTCTGAACGTTGAAATTAAACCTGACGTTGTCAGTGCAGATGTCGAAATTGGCGCGTCGGGCGAGGAAGCAGGCAAACAAGTGCCGGAAGTCAGTTCTTCTGTTGAAGTTGGTCCATTAACCGAAGAAAATTTCAATCTGTATGACGATTTGCAAGATGACATTTATGGATTGGCCGATCCGGACATGTATCCCTGTGATGTGCCCATCGAATTGAATGAAGAAGTTTGCTTATCTTCTATCGCCCAACAGGAAAGTGATGCTGATGTTTTAAATTTATCTGCTGGTGAACATTCACTCTGTTCTTCAAAAGTTGGTAAGTGTTGATTGTGCTATTTTCGCATATCTGTAGGTTTATAATATTGGGGTTAACGTAATATAAGATGCATATTCATTTCCATTAATGTCATCAATCTTATCTACTTTTCATTGATCCTAGGTTATGTTGTTGAGTGAAGGATTGCGGAAGAGGTGCAATTGCTGTCTGTTTAATCACAGAGTTACATATAGTAAATAGAGAGGCAGTACATAAGACCTGCGCGTGGAAAAATAACCCCAAGCACAGTGGCCACATACTTATATAATTTCAACGGCCAGGCCGTTCTGACACATGCGCGGTGCGTGAAAGGCGAATCTCCTGGTTTGCTTTGCTCGCAGCAACATTGTTGATTTGTCACTATATCTCCATCCTGTTAGTGCGCACACTCGCGTACGGCCTGCGCAAGGTTCAATTGGGGTCAATTATCCGCAACAACACTTGTCTCTCTATTTACTATATACAACTCTGTGGGTTTAATAAAGGTACTTTTAGATGTCAAATATCCGCAAATTACAGAATACAAGGCCGTTGATTTAACTTAACGTTCCTCCAACTGTTTCATTCCAAAAAAAATTGTGTTTTTAACCTGAGGCAAATCTACGGCCCCTGATGTATGTTAGCGCATTTTTGATTCTCAGAAAGGAGCTTATATTGTTTCACTATCGGCCGTTCGGGTAAATCAATCGAGATTTCAGCAACGTAGAACTTTCTTGTTTTCGGTATTATTATCCCTCTCTTTTTTTTGGGCCCTCAACAGGCATGCGCCCAATTACAGGGTGACATTATATTCGTATTATCGTGTTATTCCTGCATCGCTCAGTCTGAAAGTTGCAAGACATTCCTAAAGTTGATAATTTATGAATTTCCTTTAAATGTCTCCTTTTATAAATCGATCGAGATGCCAACAACGAAATACCGCAGTCTTGGGGTAACATAAACACTAAAAATAATGACGGGACGCCCTGTATGTGAGAATATTTCAAATTATTCAGTGTAAATGTGGGGGATTACCTACGTATAAGCACAAAGTATGTTTATTTTACTTGAATTTGTGTCTTAACTGGTAATTTTACTTTTAGAATATTTGAAATTGCGTATTATTTTTTGTTTTTCGCATTTAAATTGTTAATTTAGATTTGTGAAATTGCGTGTTAAGGACATCTGGTAAGTTTGCATACGTTATAAAAGGTTTTATCTGGTTGTTTTGCGATGAGGAGTCATCAGACGAAATTTAATTAGCGCATGTGCTTTTATCGCTGTTAAGAGATGTTTCGACGAATTCCGCGTTAGTTCCGGCAAAATGGCGACGCGTGACGCGTTCTTTGAAGCTGGCGTTACCAAGTCTAATTATGATTGGCGGTGTTTTTGAAAGCTCTTAAGGAAGGAGATTATTTTATTGTGAAAGTGGTGTTTTGTTAAATACGGGAATCAACGAAACAATGAGACTAGCTGTTTCGCGACGGTTGGAAAGTTTCAATTTTGATTTGTTTAAGCTTGCTGGACAAGTGTTTTGTGGGTGGGTCACTGCATACTATTGCACACAGCGATATGTACAGGGTGAGTCAACGATTGCGCGGAGTAACTTAATACCTTGAAGATAAGATTTTTCGATGGAGTGCTTTTGTATTATGATATGCTAGATGATATGGTTGAATATTTTCCACATTTTAAAAATATTTGGAATTATACAGGGTGCGCCCACAAAATAGGGCGCCAAAATGGTACATTTTTTTAAATAGAACCCCCTGTATTTGAATGCGTGTAATTGTACGTCTTTTTTATTATATGGTTAATATCCGAAATACAATAGTTTTAAAGATAATTCGATTTGTAAGAAAAATTGGGCATTTGCAAGCGTCAGTATATTGTCAAAATTATTACTTAATTTTTGTTTCCAGGTTTTATATCTTTTATCCGGGGTCCTATTTAAAAAAATGTTCCATTTTGGAGCCCTACTTTGTGGGCGCACCCTGTATAATTCCAAACATTTTTAAAATGTGAAGAATATTCAACCATATCCTAATACAAAAGCACTCTATCGAAAAATCTTATCTTCAAGGCATTAAGTTACTCCGCGCAATCGTTGACTCACCCTGTACAATTGAGGATTCTTGCGTCACAGCCTGAAAGCTACTGCTCTGCCACATCAAAAATGCGCCCAAATCTAGTAAATTAAGGAAAAAAAGTATGGGCAATGATTTAGAAGCTGTTTCAAATAAATGTGCGATTCTAGGCCTGGAACAACAGCAGCTGATGTTTAAAATTTAATGCTTTAAGACTAATCTGTTTCTGTCTAGCTCTAGATCTAGCAAGTTCAAAATATTATTGCTCTTGCTGTACCTTGAAATCCAAGGTTCGGGTCCACAACCGCTTATTTTTCGTTTTGTAAGCACAAAGCATGGTAACTGCTATCAACATAAAATCGTCGATTAGCAAAGCATAATAAATTTAAAATGTCAGGTGTGTGTAAATTTGATGCTAGAGGTTTGTCATTTGCCGTCCCAAAATTTTAACCAATCACAGAGTAGGTTTCATGTAACTAATTTTTAATACAAGAACTATGCAGGGTGAAAATGTTGTCGGGAACACTGAATATGAACTACAATTTTTTTTTTATGGTATCCTTTACTTTAAATTTGTAGTCAGTGACGTAGTTCCGCATGGTCAAGAGGGGCTTATTTTTTTAATGGCAACTACATATTACTTGTATTGACGAGTACACTTTTTTGGATATAGCAGCCAAAACAAAACTTAATTACATAAGCAAATTTAAGAGAAAAGTTCGCGTTGAAAAAACCGTTAATCTTGTGTTAAAGCAATTTAATGTATCAAAAGTTATTAAAAATTTGCAACAAATCTATAAACTTAAAAGCTACGAACAGTGGCATATTAATATTGTTGTGTAAACTACGTCATGCGGACGTTTTAATGGGCTTCAGCACCTATAATAATGATGCGAGGATGCGTCACCCTGTATATGCGAATTTCAATTTTCTTTAAGCGTTAAATGAGGTTATTGTTTTAGATTAAACGCAATTCCGATCGTATCATTTGAGATTAAAGATATTGTTCATTTTATTTAGATGTATTTTGTTTAAATAATCGCCTTTTAATTTGTTTATTTGATTAGTGCGTGAAATGTTTTGTTAAAGTTTATCTCATGTTATCTCCGGTCGTTGCGATATTGTTATTGCTGCGTCAGCTAGTTAGTTTCAAGATAAGAAAACACAGGTGCCGTTTATCGTTCGACGACGCATTAATATACAATGGAAGTGGACGCTGAAGATTTTTAGTAACAAAGAGAGCTATCGAAAAACGTTTCAAATAAAAGTTGCAAGATTCGGTGGGATAAATTAAATGGCGGTTTTAGAAATATTGACATCAACTTCCTTATTTTAAATGGGCGCCATATTAGATTTTTACTCACTTTGATAATTTTTTTTCTTCTGTATAACAAGTTATCATTCAAATAATAAACGTGGGTAAAATTACAATTTTCATTTTTTCTTCATAGTTGGCCATGGAAAGAGTAAGCAACTCACATTTTGCAATGTTGCAGTTGTCTGCCCGGTCAATAGTTTTATTAAAGGATTAATTAACATAAAAAATATAATACAGTAAATATTCACTAAGTACATTTGGCACTGTTTAGCTACTGCCGCAGTTACCTTGCGCAGTGTATTCCTGTTAATCTTTTGAAATGTTTCTATTTTTACGTTACGACGTTCTTTGTGGCCTTTGTACGGCGTAGTATTTACTAGCACTTACAGTTGACCTTGCATTATGGTAAATCTATAAATTAGCAGAAAAGATGAAGAAAGATTTATCTGAATGAGTTTATGATTTATTAGCTTACCTGTAGGGGGCAGCACTTAGCCCGTGGACGGTGGGATACGAGTATTTAAAAGAGTGAGAAAGCTTTACAGCTGCAATTTTTACATTACATTTACGCCTGTTTCCGAATCCTTCACTCAATTTCTGACATTGAAATTATTGCAAGTACGCTTTTGTGTGGCACGCCCCGCTTTATACTGGGCTTTTCACAATGTATTTTTGTATTTGTAGACGAAGAAGAGAGGTACAGTGATCTTGATCCGACTGGCTTAAAATCAGACTCCGAACATGATAGCGCACACCCATCGACTTCAAACGACGGCGAAGTCATCGAGCTTAGCAGTGACAGTGGCGAAAGGGATTTGGACTCTCCTTCGGAATCCGAATTGAACTCTTCGCTAAATGCGGACAGTTATAGCTCTCGTTCTCGTTCATCTGAAGAACTAAGTACGACCAGTGAAGCCGACTCGTCAAAGTCGGAAACCGACGTTTCAAGTGCGGATAGCAGTTTGGAAAAGTTGGTACATTCATCGGAAGCCATAACTGAGATAAATTTGCTAGACGTGTCCGAAGAAAATACAGTGACGAAGTCTGCTTTGAATGATAACGATGAAAACGTCGAGCGCGAGGAATCGAATAAAAATGCAGACGCTACAGTACCAAAAAGCGATTCTGTTGTTGACAGCAATGAGGAAATTGCTACAGCATCCAGAAGAGATACTCTTTCAGATGATCCCGGTGTTCAACCGGTAAATCAAGAATTAAACGAATCTGATATTTTTAACACACCAAGTCAAAATGCGAACGTAAATCAGGATGCAAGTTCTGTGGCTTGTGGAAGTAACGCAGATATCTTTAATGAAACTGTTGAAAGTGTCAAGTATGACATTATAGATGAAAGCAGCTTTCTAAAGACCCCCCCTGATTGTACTCCTTCAGATAATCGTGCAAGGAGTAGTGATACAAACAAGGATGAAGTTACAAAAAATTCGTCTATAAGTTACGATGGTCTGTTATCTCTGCAAACGGAACAACAAAGTACACCAGGTAAGAAATTTGTTTGTTTTGTTCCCGTTTCGTACATTTTTATACCTATTATAAACAATAAATTTGACATTAATTTTTTCAGTGCTTACAATTTGCTTAAAATTTTTATTTTGCAAAATTTTTGAAACAAATGACTGGAAGATTAGACATTTGCAGCAGAATATCTTGTTTGTGGAGATTCTAAAATGTTAATTGTGAATATTTACGGTAAAGGAAATATATAAGTACTATCATTGTACATCTTACAGTGCGCCCACGTAATGTTAAAATCATGCAACTCTTATTTGGGGGCAAGGAGATTAGTTCTGGAGGCCTACCAGAAAAGTACAGAATGCGCGCTGCGATCGCTCAGTTAGGTAACTGTATAACGACAGTAAATTTACAGAAACCTTTATCTAACTTCGTAAGCGATACTGCGACAGGGAATGACAAATATTATTTAAAAAAAAGTTAGCAAATGAAACTTGATGAAACTTAATACCCGTCCTTCACCTTCCTTTAAATAATGCACGGCAAGTAGCATTCCAGTCTAATAAGATGAAATATATCTGATTCGTATAAATTCTTCTAAAATGATCATGGGATGGGGTTTTAAAAACAGATATATTTGTTTCTTTTTTTGTTAGTGTCCTTTTTCTGGCGGACCCCACGACTACTAATGGATTTTCTAATTCACGCAGGAAACAGCATTAATAAGTAGGTACACATTGATAATGTAGGAATATCACTGAATAAAATTCTAAACTTGCATAAAAAGAAATGTTTGACCTTTGTTGCCGTGGCCGATTTGTCTTTTTATTAGTCTCAATATTAAATTACACAATTATGCATTAAGTACACGGCGATTGCTACTATTGCCATCCACATGATTATGTATGTCATATGTGCAACAAATCGGTGACACTATCTGGACTATAAGCTTTCATTGATTATTTATTTTTGACCTACGCAAGTGGGCATTAAGGGAGGCGAGAATAAGGTCATTGTCACTTTATGTTTGAAATTTTAAGATAAACAGAACGTAACTTATCTTCTGTTATATTCCCATGCAATAAAACCATGAATAAGTACCAAAAAAATGCTAGTAGGTACCAAGGTTAAGTAGAGGTACGGCTTGAACTCCTTGATCCTCTTGCTGTTTTAAGCGCTATCTTTTGTTTAGGTTTTACAACTCCTGAAAAATTTGTGAAAAGAACATCGAAAAACAACGGCCGCTAAACGTGCATTTAGTGTGTTGGTTTATGATTTTAGTGTTCCGTTTATCTACTGTGCCCCAATATTGCATTTAGTGCTTCGATGGTGCTTTGCCTTTTTGGTGTTGGAGATAATTGGAAAACTCAACAACCCCCCCCCCCCGCGCCACGCACATTAAACTGTTTAAACAACGGTGTGGCATAGTACTATTATGCTTTTATGCTGAAGGTTTGCATCTTTTTGGTTTCGAAAATTGAACTTATGCATAAGTAAACTAAGCTCTTTCATAATATTTCACTTGCCTCTTTTCTAACCCAAATATTTTGAAAAAGAAAATAATCCACACGTATTCTCTGCAATTTTTCCTCCATGGTTAAAGGGAAAATTTTAAATTGTTCAGCAATTAACTTGTGTTCAGTGAATAAAATGGTTGTACACAAAATTGTGTAACTTTGGGTATAAAAAAGTTTAATTTTTGAGGGCAACGCTTAGGCCTCATTTGATTTTTCCAAATATCTCTGAAACCAAAAAGACAGATTGTAACAATAAAACCACAATTAAGCACAATCGAAGTGCTATACTATAAATGGTTTAATTTTAAGAGGCTAAGCGTTCACTTAGAATCTATTTGAATTTCCCAAATATTTCTAAATCCAACAACGCACAAACCGTGGATGTAAATACACAATAAAGCACATCTGACGCGCAGTAGTTCCATTGATGTCCTATAATGAGGGGAGAAGTGAACGGACCCACATACTATAGGTAGATCAGAGTGTGGGGTAAGATTCACTTTCAAATGACCTGGTTCACCATGGTCTATGTGCCATCTTCAATTTAATTAAGAAATTAAAATTAAGTTTTTAGTTTTTTTAATTTCATTTTTTAGTTAGTATCGTGGACACTGGACATATCCAGTCTCGAATTCATTGATAACATTCAAAAGGTTAGGGTAGATTCTATGGGTAAATTTAATTGTAAGATGATTCACTATTGCAGATTTTCTTATACATCCAACATTTATCATATTATTTTGTATTGGCATTGTAGATACATATAGAGGAAGAGGGTGTAGCATCCAAGACCCCCTCGGATCATATTTCCTTTACTATAAAAGATACCGAAAAAAGTCTTAGAGCCAAATTGTATACAATTACCGTCACCATGTTTCTAAAATATTTTTGATCACCAGAGGCGTGCTGTATTCCAGTGACGTATCAAACGTGCGTTTTTTTTAGCGTACACAACAAAGTTGAGGTAACGCTTATGTGCTCGATTTTCCGTCTTCTGTCTGTCTGTTCCAAATTGATAGCTGCTATGGTCTATATTTGCCTGTTACTTATTATTTACAGTAGTGTTACGCGGCAATATCCACGAGTGGATTTGAAACATTTGTAAATTGAACATTTCATAGTTTATAAGTTATAACATATTTGGAAAGTACTTATTTTTTTATGTAACATGTTATATCCTTAACCTCGCCCTGATCTTTAACGATTTAGTTATTAAATGCCCTTTTTTCCTCAAAATTTGACATTTTTCGAATTTTTTTTTGTGGAGCTGAATTGCCTCATCTAAATTTACAAAATGAGATATGCTTGAATTTACTAGAAACATATCTGGTTAAATGTCTAAAAAACATTTCCATAAGTAAGGGTGTTGAAATTGCGCAACGTGCGCATGCGGACATTAATCGTTAAGGTTTTTCTTGGTTGAGGTGCCAAAGCTATAACTAGGTACCGAATGCAAAAAAAAACGAAATCAACGAATTGTTATATTTAATTTGTTATTTTTGTTTCTTGGGGTACTACGTTTCTGTTTCACTATATATGTGGGGGGTACGTTTTAATTATTTATAAAAAAGTGGTAGTGGTACATAATCAAAAATGACCAGCAATTTATTTTGACCATTAAATTACATCCCTTGCCATTAAAAACTTTCAAGAGAGCATAGTTATGCTTATAATGCAAATTTCTTGTAGCCATACTAAGTCACCGGATCCCGTTCACTTCGTGTACGTTAAATACTACACAATGTGTACGTAGCAAAAGAAAAAGATTAAATAGTCTGCTCACAGAGACGTCTGTGGGTGAATATTGATAATAATAATAATATATTTGATCCTTGTGACATATATATCTACATGTATAGGATAACGTCGATGTTCTTACCTAATAATAAATTATCATTGTTAGTTCGGAGGAGTGCCAGAATCATTAAGAAATTCGTCTACGCTGTAGTATATATTTTGTAAAAGAAACCTATTAAGCTCGCGCTTGAGGATGTTTACGTGTTTAGCGTTTTTAATATTGTATGGAAGTTTATTAAAAAATTTTTATTCCAGTCACATAAGGACTGTCTGTATGAAGTTTTGATTTGCCGATAGGTATCCTTAGATCAGTGTTCTTCCGGGTATTGTGTCTATGTATATCGCAGTTTTGCAGAAACTCTTTTTTATTGCAGAAAACATATTTACTTACTTCTAACATATACAAGCTCGGAAGAGGCAGAATTTGTATGTGTGAGAACATTGGTCTGCAAGACTGTGTAGGTTTTGCTTTAAACATGCATCTTATGATACGTTTTTGTATTATAAAGGCGTGTTTCATTGTGGACGAGGAACCCCAGAAACACAGCCCGTACCTTAGTCACGATTCAACGCATGCGTGATAGAACGTTTTTAGTTGCCTCAATTCGAGATAAGAACGAAGATACCGAATTTGGTAACAACAGGAGCTTAATATCTTTATTAAGTGTTCATTCTGTTGTTTCCAACTCAGTGTGTCATCAAAAATAATTCCAAGAAACTTGACGTTGTTGGATTTTTGTAGAGCTAGACCGGGAATAGAAATATTCGTATCTAGAATATTTCTATTTTGGTAGTTATGAAATTGTACAACTTTGGTTTTACTCTGATTTAGAAACAAAACATTATCAGTAAACCATTTCGACAAACTTTGTACGGTTATAATACATTTTCTTAGTAATTCATTCTTATCTCGATGTGAGACGACCGCAGTGGTATCGTCGGCATATAGAGTAAGGGTTGCGTCGCCTTTTATACAGTTAACGATGTCGTTTGTGTATAGCGTGAAAAGAATAGGTGCCAATACGGTACCTTGTGGAGTGCCAATGTCTAAGTCAATCGTATCAGATGTAAGATTGATCGTATTGTTGTCAATGTTATGATTTAGGGACACAAACTGCTTTCGGTTTTCCAGAAAACTTTTTAGCCACATAAGAGAGGTTCCTCGAATTCCATAACTGGATAATTTTTGAAAAAGCCTTTCATGGTTGATGCAGTCGAATGCTTTCGTAACGTCACAAAAAATCCCAAGTGGTGCCTCTTTATTTTGAATATGATGAAGTATTTTCCGATAGTAGAAATGTATGGCATCGGATGTGGACATGTTGGGTCTAAAACCAAATTGATTTGGTACTAGTATCTCCGATTTTTTTATAAAACGCTCTAACCTATCTAAAAAACAGTACTCGAATATTTTTGAAAACACTGATGTAATCGAAATAGGTCTATAATTGTTGGGGTCGTTTAGATCACCTTTCTTGTGTACTGGCACCACTTTAGATAATTTCAGGGTTTCTGGGAAGCGACCAGTTAAGAGTGATAAATTAATTAAGTAAGTTAAGGGAATAATTATGGCTGGAGTGACTTGTCTGATCAGAAAACAGGGAAAACTATCTGGACCTGAAGACCTCTTGCTCTTAATTTTTTTGTGCACTATTTCTAGAACCTCTGATTCACAGAATGGTAAAAGATACATCGTTCTATGATTAGAAGAGATACCAGAGATGGATGGACAGTTTGCGTCCCGCACTAGATTATTAATAATCTCCAGAGGAGCACGTTTGAGTTTAAGTGAGGAAATTGCTTTTGAATCGCGAATAACGATTTTAGGTTGGAGCTCGATCTTTTTACATCCCGGTTAACCCAAGGCTTACCTTTTTCAGCACATTTAATAGTGCGGAGCGGAAAGTAGTGGTTAAAGTGGCGTTTAAGAATGTCGCTAAACAGGTCATATGCTATATCCATGTCCTTTACTGTCATTATCTATGACCAATTTTCTTTATTTAATTTTGTGTAGAACTCGTCAATACGTTCACTAATGATGATTCTGGTACTCCTTCGAGCGTGGCAATTTTTGGGTAACCTATAAAGATTTGAGTTAAAAAGTATACTACGGTGATCAGAAATACAATTATCTTCTACAGTTACAATTATCTTCTACAGTATACTGCATATGGTTTGCTTTTATGCTAAATTAATCTTTGCAGTGCGTTTTATCGCCATCTATGTAGCTTTTTAGGGCGTCACACTTTTTGCTATGCCGTGGCATTACTGTAAGATGTATATGCAACAGCAGAACCACCTTTTTTCGTTCTTTCTCTAGGAAAGATAAACATTAAACTGTACTGCAATACAATTTTTGTCTGCTTAGGGATAGTTTGGTACTTCTTTTTGTATAACTGACATTGTTTAGCAGTACAACGAAACTTATACCACAGATTTAAACTTTACAGATATATGGTTGGTTAAATTTTCTGCGCTTTCTTTTAATCAGCACATACTATCGCAAAGCATCGCCCTAATTGAGCTATATTTTAGGATTTAAATAAAATTTAAATCTTTGTTTCCTCTCAAGTTTAACAACAATAGGCTATTCATATGAGCAATGGGCGTCGAGCAATCGAGTTTGATCTCTCCCAAGAAAATTGATGCATAAATATCGATTTTGACCGATTTTTGCACATCTGGAACTCATTACTTACGATTTCTGTTATTGGCTTGTGCGATGGGTCATGACTGTTATAGGATGGATTTCGAAACCCTCAAACACAACTCTATATGATAATGAAACAGGTCATGTCCTAGCCAAAATGGCAGGCGCCTGAGCTCTAATCTAATCTAACGCTATTTATTTATGTTTGCGCACGACCTCCACTATTAGGTATAGAAGGCGTGACATAAGTATCATACCTAATATAAAAATAAGTTTGACCAAATTAGGATATTATTATTTGATGGTAATCATTCTTTTGCTTTGCGCAGTAACACGTTCCAAACGATCACTGCAACGTATGGACACTCCAGACGTGAAAGATATGAGGAAATTTTCGCTTAAAAGGAATATGAGCACATCAGAACCTAATATCAGTGGCGAATTAGTACCAGCGAATACCTCAATTGGAGACTCTCGGCAAACAATTCCAGCAAGTAGAAAAAGAAGTGCAAGTGTTGACATACTAACAGATGCAGAAGCATTTGAAGGCATAGCGAGTCACTCTACACCAACAAAGGACGAAGCTGTGCCGGCCAGAAGGAAAAGAAGTGCAAGTTCTAGCACAACAGCGCAATCACACGACACTATAATATCTAGCTCAAAATCAACAGCAATCCCGGCAAGAAGGAAACGAAGTTTAAGTGCTAACGATACCACACTAGAATCTTCAAGCTTTCAACGAAATTTACGTAGTAGAAGTGTGGATATCGAAGGAGCTCCCCAAAAGCTCGAAACAACTAGTTCTGCTAAGAGTAGTAATAAAACAACTGAAAGTAGGAGACGCAAAAAGACACCGCCTACTTCATCCCTACCTAAAATTGATGAAGACTACACCAGCTCCAGGAGGCTTACTCGCAGGCAAGCCAAAATGTTAGAAAAAGCTATAGGCGATCATGTAACTACGCCCGTTACTGAACTAAGTACAGATACAATGCATTCGGATGAATCCCTACCATCAAACGTGTCGGATGATGCGATAGGTTATCGATTGAGAAGTAGAAGTGTCTTGTCAGATTCTTCGGTCGTCCATTCTGAAGCCGATAATTCTATTAACGGTATGTGTTCAGCGTAGCTGTGTAGTGTTAGTTATTAATTTGTATTTCCTTTATCAGTTACTATGGAAGGAAATAAATCAAGTACACTCCAAACTGAAAGTCAACCTCGGAGGTTAAGGAAAACAAGACTGAATTCTAAGGTGATTATTCTGATTTCAAGAATTAACATTGGCAAAATAAATGTTTGCTTGTTTCATGTTTTTGTCAAATGTTACAAATCGAATACTAACCACCTCTTCTTGGGCTTTATGAGATAGCAAAGGTGTATCTCACACGGTTTGGTAGGTAGGGTGTGTTTCTCAAATCGATTTCTGGAGCACCTTGCTCAAAGCAGTTTTTGATGTAGATAGCATAAAGCTGGTGTGGTAATGTGATAATTTCTAATTGGCTGTTTGGCTACGAGACATCCAGCATATTTTGAGATTGTGATGTAGTGCTTAAAATTCTCTTTCTTAAAGCTCCTTTGAGAAAATTCATTCTGAAACCTTGAATAACTTAAAAAATGAGTCATCAAAAAGAAACGATTCGTGACACACCCCCTACCTTGGAAGGACGTGGTCAGTATTTTCTTAAGAAGCTCATGGTGGACAGGATAGCTGTATTTTACAAAAGTTAAATCTGTTAACTTACATTATCAGTCAATGTGACACAGAATCAACAGAATTTTTAATTCTTTTTAGGACAGTGATACAAGCACTATTAGTGAAGCACATTCGGAAATTGCAATTAAAAAACCTGCAGCGATTACAAGAAGAACTCGTTCTACAACAGATGAAATAGGTTGGTTTTTATTTGATCTATACAAAACTTTGTTACTGTTTGGTATGCGCCTGTCTCTGCACTACTACACAATAATAAAAATTGGCATTTGTTTTTTTCAGAGCGTCCAAGTCTACGGAGAAGTAAAAGAAACTTACAAAAATCTACATTACCCCAAATTTTAGAGGAGCCTAATGTAAAACGCAAGTAGTTCAAGTAAATCATCATCTTAACAAATTTATTTTTAGGCCGACGGAAATGCTAAAACGAAAAAACAGAAGAAAAATTTATAAAGTAAATAAAATTGGTTGTGATGTCGAACACGCACCTTGTTAGTTTCAATTTCGTTTTTTAAATAAAATTTGTTGTATTCTGAAAATTATTTAAACGATACAGAAAACTTCCTTACTTCAATGTCGTCTACAATTCTTCAAGAGGAAAACTAAGGAACTGAATGTATGAAATGATTCCCAAAAGCTAATGGAAGGTGGTTATTAGGTACCTACAGAAATATTACTTAGTTAATGGCAAAATTGAATTGTTTTCTTAGTAACCCACCCTACGACGCAGTGCAGGGCTGACTCTGTAGATGTATGCTCGTTAGGTATAATCACCTTTGTTAGGTTTGGGGATGAAGACAATTTTTATCTCCCTCCATTGTTTAGGAATGTATCTGAAAGCGACACAGCTCCATGAACTTATAGGGCTCGTTCATAAGACACAACAGTTACCGCTACGCTACAGGTAGCGTAGCGGTAACAGTTGGGGTCTTATGTCACGTTCCCTACTTTGACATATGTAGCGCGTGTAGCGCTACTAAAAATGGCCGGCTGCTCAGTAAAGAGAGTAAAAGTAGCGATGTGATTTATGTAGAACTCCATGATAGGCTTTGTCGTGTTAATTAATAGATCAGAGTATAATAAAAACCTATAATTTTATTGCTTTTTTCTATGGGCTTATGATGAAGCCCTATAAGGCGAAATCGATAGCCCATAGAAAAAAAGCAATAAAATTATAGGTTTTTATTATACTCTGATCTATTAATTAAAAGTAGCGACGTAATTATAAGACGTATCAGTAACTGTTCCACAACAGTTGTGTCTTATGAACGCGCCCATGAATTAAGATGGGCTGCTAATGCTGAATTGACAAATGACACCTACATGGGGGCAGCCATGGTGGGCACTCACTTGGCGCGAAATTCAAATCAACTAATAAACAAGCAATTAACGTCACGTTTCCTAAATAAATGACTGTGACACATGTCATTTTCCAAGGCTGCAATAGTCTAAAAACTTGAGCACTAGGAAAATTCCCCTAGAAAATAACTAAAACGTTCACATCATCGCCCCGCCCATGCTAGGGCCATTTACCTTTATGCAACTGTTTGATCAGCAGTCCATCTTAATTTATAAGTTTGTGTACAGCCCATATATATTCTGACTAGGTAGATGACAATAACATCCAGTCCCCATTGCAGGAGAGCGGGTATTATGCCGTTCAATCCTGGTACTTTGTATGCTGAAAACGATTTCACCGCCCAGCTCACCCTCGCCACATTCACCATCTGACTTGCAACCACCCAGTCATTCTCCGTGGGAATAAAGAGTTAAAGGTTACCTTTGGCCAGTTGGGGTATGGAACTGTTGTGGCTCTGCGAAAATGGGCGTCTCTCAATACCTCGGCTGTCTCTGGAAGGTTGTCCGTGTAGGAACCATTCCCTCGGTCTGAGGCTAGCTGGATTATAATAGAAACTTTTTGTTAGAATTTTATTTAGCCGGGATACAGAGGAAGCATAGAGCTGCAAAAACTTCCATGCCTCTCTCTGACGCCTCCTTATATAGCCTTAGGTCATAGAGTAAATAATATAAAGAGGTTCCATGCTGTATAAATTTGTGGCAGTGAGAGACTATCCCTGAACATAGATGGCGAAAAGCAAATGCCGACGCTCCCTCTGAATTCAAGAATAGTGTACTAAATTATTACTAACACTGCTTGTTAATGTTGTTATCTCAGCTCGCTGTGCGTTATAAGTGGAGAAGGGAGTGGGTGACACGCGACCCTGAAATGTATACTTTTATTTATCAGCAAGTTTTTGCTACTCACAACATTATAATGAATGTGCTGCTTATTCTGCCATTGACGAAAGATGGTCTTTACCTTGACCTACCACAATTTGTCATTTAGTAATAAACTTTTGCATATCGTTTGATGATGCCCATTATAGAACATTATCTTAGCTATATTTGCATCGTCGCAAGACGGCATAGCGTTTTAAATGACATCACTGATTTATGTAACAATTATTTTATGAAAACTCAAATTCGTATATTGTGTACATCAATAGGCAAAAAAATTTCATATTTATTGTGTGCATGTTTTTGAACATGAGAAATACATGCATGTACGGGGTGCTTGGATTTGGCCCGTTTTTAATAAGTTTATTACACATGATAAAATATAGTATTAAGTATAGGCCAACTGTGCACAGTTTGAACCAAATCTGCTCAAGCGTTTGGCAGTTACCTATCGTGTTCACGGACGGACAGACGGACACCATCGACCACCTATATAAAGCTTGTATCGCTTTGTTCTGTAGCTTAATTATCATTACAAAAAAAAAGAAATTTCAATGCTTTGGCGCCTTGGTATAGAATTCGGTTTAATTTTGAGGTTTTCGTCAACGATTTGCTTTGAAACGCCATAGACTCGGTAAATTTGCCATGTAACAAAATCCAGAGTGTTTAGCACCATGGACTAAATTACACTAAGAAAATTGACGAGAAGTATTTCAGAAAAATTTCATCACATACGTCATAAGAAGTAATCTACATAATCATAAACGTCCGACTTCAAATTCTATTATAGAATTATAGATAAGTGAAAATGGCCTTGTAATGTGATCGTCATCTACGCCTACGTAGATTTTTGCTTTATCTTCAAGCCATAAAAGTAATTCAATCTTCGTAAAGTAGGAAGTAGGTCAGGGAAGAGAGAATTTTTCTGTGCGGAACTGCCGACTGCCCAGTGCCGAATCAGTTCCGATGTAGTATTTTTTGAATGCGTTTCTAGTAACTTTTGATTGATTTTGGTGCAGTCGATTTTTGGTAAAAAAGGAAGGTGCCTTTTTTGGAGGACCGAAAAAAAAATTGTCTCAGATCGACCTGGGAAAAAATTTTCTTATAGAATGTGGCCTGTAGAATCCACAATTTCAAACAGTTCCAAGATTGGGTTGCTAGTTCAAAAGTTACAGCCCTTTGAATTTTCTTTCGAAATTGGTATCTAGTCTATAACTTTTGATTGAGAAGTCTGATCGAAAAAGTACGAATTGTTTTGGATTGTCGCCTCAAAATTAATAAGAAAGAGTGTTTTCCCGAGAAATTTTGGTGCAGTCGATTTTTGGCAAAAAAGGAAGGTTATACACTGCCTTTTTTTGAGGCCCCAAAAAAAATTGTCTCAGATCGACCCGGATAAAATGTTTCCTATAGAATGTGGCCCGTAGAATCCATAATTTCAAACAGTTCCAAGATTGGGCTACTATTTCAAAAGTTACAGCCCTTTGAATTTTCTTTCGAAATTGGTTTCTAGTCTATAACTTTTCATTGAGAAGTCTGATCGAAAAAGTACGAATTGTTTTGGATTCTACGCTCCAAAATTAATAAGAAAAAGTGTTTTCTCGAGAAATTTTGGTGCAGTCGATTTTTGGAAAAAAGGAAGGTGCCTTTTTTTTGCCCCAAAAAAGGAAGGTGCCTTTTTTTTGCCCAAAAAAAAAAATATCATTGTATATAATATACATCTTTATATACAATGGTAGTATGGATGGAATTGATCTTTTCTCTCACAAATACACTATACTTACAGCACTCCCACATTAGTGAATTGCGCAAAAGGACCTTGTTTGCGTAAATTCCACACAAAATTGCTAAAGCAGTGTTAAAACGGTCTACGTATACCGCTAATCCAACAAAAACGTTAGAAATTAACGCATAATCAGTTATATTTTCTCACTGTACCTATTTAATTTTAATTGCTAGCTAAATTCAAATAAAGTTTGTAATTGGATAAAGGTAGGGCGTTGAAATAATAAAATAAATAGGTCTATGGCCTGAAAGAATTAAAAGACTCCTTGCGTAGGAAGCATAATATCACATTCCGGTGATTAAATATTGCTGACAGTATCATGGTCTGTGTCTGGTGCAAAGTAATGACGTAATTCAAATCTCAACTTTGTTGTCAGTATATTTAAATAGGTAATACAGGTTACATGCTGCTATATGGTAATATAGCGATACAACAGCTTTGAAGAAGAGTCACAAGATAGCCACATTTCCTTACAAGATTTTCTACTGCAACAATATCCTATCCTATGACACCTCTTATTTATATTATTTACTCTATGCTTAGGTTTATTGTATAGGTTTCCCAATTGGCTATAGCTTTGCTCTTTTTTGCCTTATTGATTAGTGCCCAACTGCTTGCTTTTCGAGCGCCCTGAATCACCAGGACGTCTTGGCAGTCCTCCGAGGACATGTCTGTTCAAATGACTCCACAATGGAGTAAGATCTACTTTGTCCTGTAAGGCGTTCCCCAAAAGGGTGCTCTCTAAGTTTTGCTCCAAGGAGGTGTTTGTAAAGGGGAATATCCGTTTCCTTGGGGTTGCGATAACCTTTTTGGACGGCTCTCTTTCTGTTAATGTCAAATAGTTTTCCATGATCTGACTATTGCTTCTGGAGTAGGAACAGTACGGTTGTACTATCGTTCCATGTGAAAGAGAAGGACGCAGCCTAACAGCTGATCATGGTGTACGCATCGATGTAAGAAATCTCCATGTGATAGAAGCAGAGATAAATATTAATTTTAATTAAGGGTACTCTTGACTTAATTTTTTTAGGCAACTCATTTCTAATGTGTTTGTTTACATATTAAGATTGCTAAAAAATGCATTTCACTGGAACAGATGGACGATGGTTTGCCTTATGGGGGATTTTGTAGGTACTATAGGAAATAGCCTCGAGTTTCCAGACCTATGTATACGACCGTGATTAACATGAATTATTCATTGTTACTTTCTTTTTTTGTACGCTAAAGAGCGGATTGTTGCTGTCGTTTTTCACGATGGTTTTGTGAAAATGAGAAAAGTACCGTAATCGCGCTATAGCATCTTGTAGTAATCGTGCTGCACTGACGTCACGTACAGGGGGGCATTTAAAATTTTCGTCTTCATATTCGCGATCTTGCGTATCGCTCTTTTTAGTGTTGCACGTGGAGGGGTTTTTTGTATTTTCTTTCATCTGCGGTAATTTTTTGGTAAGTAGGGCTAATTTCAGCAAAAGATTTGAATTTATTTGCGTAAAATTTGAGACATACGTTGTGTTTGTCATTTAAGTGTTTTTAGAAGAACCAACTAAAAAAAAATGTTATTTGATCAATAGTCCTATAAAAGGTAAATGTGGAAAAAAACCACTGGTTGTGTGTTCTAAATTAATGTAGCGCCCACATTTGTCAAACACAGCTGGGACAGTAACGGTTATTGTGTGTACATTTCTGCTAACAGGTTATACCATGCCTTCCGATGCGAAAAAACGAGAACAACAACGTAAAAAAGACGCAGCGAAGGCCCGCCAGGCTGGAAAAAAGACACAGCCTACCAAAAGCGAAGACAAACAAAACGAACAGTCTGCACAGGTTAACGGAAATTCCACACCTATACAAAATGGTACTACAAACGATTCAAACTCCTTCGACACTGCCGAAGGTATACCTTTAAGTGTGCAAAAACACCGATTTTATTCTGTAAACTTTTAGAGGCGCTATGTGCGAAATTAGAAGCAGATGCACGTCTAAATGCGGAAGCACGAGCGTGCACCGGCTCCCTTGCGATTCATCCGAAAGCTCGTGATATTAAAATAGCGAATTTTTCAATTACTTTCCACGGTTGTGAAATGTTGCAGGATGCGTTGCTCGAGTTGAACTGCGGTCGACGATACGGCCTTCTCGGCACGAATGGATGTGGTAGGTTATGCTAACAAACGTTGAGATTTTCCATAATGACTCATATTTTCAAGGTAAATCCACAATCCTGTCGGTTCTCGGAAATAGAGAGGTGCCAATCCAAGATCATATAGATATTTTCCATTTAACTAGAGAAATGCCCGCCTCGGACAAAAGCGCACTACGATGCGTTATGGAAGTTGACGAGGAACGCCTAAGGTTAGAGAGGCTTGTCGAAGAGCTCGTCGATTGTACAGAGGAGGACGCGCAGGAACAGCTAATGGACGTGTATGAAAGGTTGGAGGAAATTTCTGCGGATACCGCCGAAGCACGTGCAGCGGGAATTTTACACGGATTGGGGTTCACCAAGGAGATGCAAGCACAAAAGACGAAGGACTTCAGTGGAGGTTGGCGTATGAGAATAGCACTGGCGAGAGCTTTGTATGTGAAACCGCATTTACTACTCCTCGATGAGCCGACGAATCATCTGGATTTGGATGCATGCGTGTGGTTAGAAGAATATCTTAAGCAGTAAGTGATTCGGGAGTTTATGACGAGATTCTCACTGCTGAAAAATGTTTCCTTCCGTCATTTAGGTACAATTTATTCGAATTGTTTCAGTTGCTTTATAGAATGGGGAAAACATTGTGAACGTGTAGGTATGTTTTTGTAAAAATTTGTAATGGAAAATTTTTTAATTGATTGTGTGGAAAATTTTGTGAGAGTTCAAGGTTGTAGTGGAAAACTTCTTTGAGGTGAAGGTAAATATGTGAAATCTATAGAGGGTGTTCTTCCCATCGGCCTTACCAAGATAATGCATTGTGATTGAACGAATATCAGTGGCTACCACTGCATATCAAAGAATGCAACTTTCATTCTGAAGTTTTTTTACTCCTATTGTGTCACGAAGAGAAAGATCTGTTTCTTCCTTTTTATATTACCTTCACAAAACGTCACATGCAAATCAAATTGGCATGAAATTAGGTAAAAGTTGTTTCATGAATTAAATCCTTCTCTTCACGGTTAAAATATTTTTTATCTTGTGTAATAAATAACTAATTCTTTTGTAATCACTTTTCTTTGTTGACTGAATGGTTCTTGATATTTTTGAAGCGTCTCAAACGCAAAATATCAATTTGTTTAAGGCAACTCTAAACAAGGCTCAGATAAAGATATTTTAACTATTGAGAGAATAAACTTTCACAAGGTGGTTAGTTTCCTTATTGTACAAAACTTTATTTTATATCAGAAGCCATATTGTAAAGCTTCTGACAATTCTGAATTTAATTTAGACGTCAAAACTAACAAGCTTAGGTTCTGGCGTCGCGGTCGCTTCCACAGAAACGGCATTGTCATATGTTCTGAACGTCATTTTATATCGTGTTCCGCGTCCCATTTGAAATAAGAATGACAAGCCATTAAAATGCCTCATCATCTGTCTCACTTTATCTGCCCTAGCATTTAAAGTGATCACTTTGTCTGCTCTCGCCTTTAAAGAACGACTTAGACATAGCCTAGTCATTCAGAGAGTCACTATCACAGTGACGGAAATTGCCCTTGAGCGCTACGTTTTTATGGCAGGAGACCGCCAGTGCGCGTTCCAGTGTCAGTATACCTACGTCGGTAGTTCATGCAAATGGTTCTCATAGGTCGATTCCTTTATGAATATTGAAATTACTTCAAAAACTTCTTTGTTTATCACAATGAGTTTTAATGTCAGTTTATTTACTCGCGGTTTGATTTTAAAAGCGCTTCTACTCGAAAATAAACGGCCTTGTTACGCATTACCGTCCAAATGCAAAATTAAACTTGCAGATCACTCGCACTTTCTCACCAATTTGATTTTACTTACACGCTTCTTAACGACGGGTTTGAAATTTAGCAGAAAAGAAAACTTACAGTTTACAGCGACTATATAAACTCGTACGAAATAATGGTGCATGGTGACTCTTTTTTCACCGCAAATCCCTGTAAATACACGAAATAAAATTGTTCATACACAAAATGGCGCCTGCTTTTATAACTTCGCTAAGAATTCAATTTCAGCGCGATGGTTGGCGAAAGTCAACTTAGAATGAATTTTCAACGATAGAAAAATTCACGCCCAAATAGTACGTTTTGACTTGCGAACTCAAGCAAGAATCTTCCCCCTCTTCCATTTCTTTCGTTATTTATACGAATACGAAATCTTTATTATGTAAGAGTAATTTGAGGATTACACACATTCGTCATACACATAATACAAACAAGAAAATAAGTAATAAACTAGTAATAATAAGTTATTAATTGCACATTCTGGAATTAAGGAAGAATTCATTTAAGTTATAATACGAGTTTTCTACTAGGTATCTCCTTCATGCGGATGTAAGTGTTTAATGATCTTTGGAAGGTAATTGTAAATTTTAATGGGCACGAGAGAAAACCCGAAAATGGATTTATTTCTGGACGCAAATGACCATTGTTCCGTGCTCAGCTTTAAACTGCACGAAACGAACTTTTAGACCCCAAGAGATTGTGGAATCGCGCTCGGTTTTTCTGCAATACGTTTTTGGTTATCGCCAGACATCCTATCGTTCACGTTCACTATGAAGCGGTAACTACATACATGTGGAAATTTTCATTGATTGACCAAAACCGCCAACCAACCCCCTGTTACAGTGCCCCCCTGGATTGTAAAACCTGACTTACATGTTTTAGTTGTTTCGTAAAAGCATACGGGGCTGATGCTACGTCGAACAACAAAGAAGGAAACTGGTATATAATAATAGCGTATATTGCTCAACAGTAAAACACCATTTACAGAGCAAATAAATAACCAAATGACGAATAGATAACTTAATAATGAAATATTATGAAAGGAAAAATGTAAAAAATTATGGAATATATGGCCTTAAATGATTATATTTGAGTATGAATAGCGTCAAAGATTTCGGAAATAACGGAGTTAAAGAGATCACAACTATGAGATATTTTGTTGAAGTTGCTACACATAACATTCACTGGCGATTTTAACGTAAGATTTGTTTGAGCTCTTTTGCATTGGAAAAAGCAATGTTGTCTGGATGATTGGCTAGGCACTAAAATGTCTATTAAAGAGAGTAAATCGGTATATATACATATATACAGGGTGATTCAAATTCGAGGGCCACCATGGGGATTTCGGGAACTATAAGAGATACGTAGGTAGTTTAAATTTGACAAAGTTGCGTATTTTGATGCTTAACAAAATGCAGTTTTGAAACTTTCCGACTACTTTCGGAGATATCTGGAAAAAGCCGAAACTGAAATGATGCATTATTATGGCCACTTTTGTCCCTCTACAAGATGCTACTTTTAAATTTTAAATCCGACGTTTCGTCTCCGATTAAGCATCATCAAGTTTGTTTTTTCTTATTGAAGTCATTTTTACTTTTTGTGTCATTTGATGGAGAATTTTTTTCTGATTTCAAAAATGTAAATATCAGTATCTTTAATAATAAATAGCGCAATTAATTCGTAAAAACGCAAGAAACTAAGTACGTACACTATCTATGACAAAGTTTTCTAGCCAAAAAGAAAATATTTTAATAATTTAAAAAAATTGTGTTGTTTAAATTTTTGAACTCTCTTTGAATTCTCTATCAAATGACCCTAAAAGTAAAAATTCCTTCCATAAGAAAAAACAAAGTTGATGGTCAACTGGAGACGAAATGTCGGATTTAAAATTTGAAACTAGCATCTTGTAGAGAGAGAAAAAGTGGCCATAATAATGTGTTATTTATTTCAAAGTATCTTTTTAAATAACTTCAGTAAAAAATAAAAACGATTTTGCAAAATTTCGGTGTTTTCCGGATATCTCCGAAAGTAGTCGGAATTTTTTTAAACTGCATTTTGTTAAGCATCAAAATACGCAACTTTGTCAAATTTAAACTACCTACGTATCTCTTATAGTTCCCGAAATCCCCATGGTGGCCCTCGAATTTGAATCATCCTGTATATATATAACTAGTATATATACATATATCATTACGTTCTATTTTGTATACTTTTTTAAAGTAACATTTTTTTGTAACTCCTCCAAAAATCCAGTTAAAAATAAAAACATAAAAAAAATTCGTTAAGCCGCTTGTGAGCAAGAGGCGAAGAGTGCACTTTCAAATTTGTTTTTTCGATTTTAATAGCCCTTATGGACATTTCATCCCTTAACGAGAATGCAAGCATGAAATAATTGTTAATTTCTGATTGAATGAAGTCTGTAAGTGGTGTAGTTGCAGAACCTTTGTTACTCAGACAGACAGACAGACATGAAGAGCGCAAAAGTGCACTTTTTATTTTTGAAAGTGAAAGTGCACTAAAAAATCATAATTGGTCTAGAACTTGGAAATTTTCACACCAACTCATGGTGTACAAAAAAACGTTTTTGAATATTTCAAGGGCACCCTTGGTTTATCGAAACTAAAATTGTGTCAATAATTAGTTTCCAATTAAGCTCAAAATTAAATTTGAAAATTTTTTTCCACAAGAAACGACCAATCACACTGTAGATACAACCAACCCTAACCGATTCACTTTTAGACGCTCATGGCTGGCAATTTTTGGCAGGTAAGGGTGGAATGAAACTAAACTGGAAAGCCACTGGATATATCACATCATTACAACAAATTTTGAATCGATCAGATCAAAATGGCTACTAGTTTAGCGCAACAAACTGACGGCCGGTTGCAGGAAAGCGCATTATAATCAAAATCCTACATTATTTAGGTACCAAATCTGAGTTTAAACAAGAATTTTGACATTTTGATTGGCTGCCTACTGCAATATAAAGCCAATCAAATCTCTTAATACCGAATTAAACAATAACCCTGGATTGTTTTTTTTTGTGCAACTGGCTATGACTGAACTAAATCATTTGCGAACGCGGCTACCCTTAAAGGCCAATTCACAGTATCGGTCCGGTCAATTATTGTAGCGTGTATTTCTATGAACATGTTCTGACCGTGACCTAACCGTCAAATGTGAATATTCCTATTGAAATAGCATGTTACAATATTTTGAGCGGAGCCTGAGCAGAGCGTCACCTGAGCTATAGTATGAATTGGCCTTAAATTTAAAATTCAATTTTACCGCCAGAAAAGTCAATCATAGTTCAGTATGTAAGGGGGACTTACTATTACATTCATTATTTTATCACGGAAAGCTGTTAATACAATGTAGAGATTGGTTATTTTTACACTTTTCTAAATAAATAAGGGATTCATCTTGTAGCACCTTCGATTTCTTCACAATCCTCAGGAAAACGATTGCTAGTGCTGTTACAGCAACATGTGATTGTAACACACTATCATGTTACATCAAAGTCACCTGCTGCTATGGTCTTGGTAAACGTCTTTGAATCCTAGATTATATATTAAAGCAGTTCTTCAGGGGGAAATATATACATTACGTTTTGTGTCTCGGCCGTTTGCTTTACCAGGTTATAATTCTTCCTTTTGCTTTCTTACTACTGTTTACTACTACATACGAATCAAATGGAATCTCCTAGGGGCAAAGGAAGAGGTTTGACATATTCCAGAGCTGGTTTTATTGATGGATTAAAGTATATAATGCAAGAAATGTTCAAATGTCACAAGTAGTAATATGAATCTCTCATAAACATAAACATGATTGGTAACATGTAATTGTTTAGAGGGAACGGACCACATCCCGTACATTGATTTACGAAGATCAATATGTCAAAATGTATTATACTTTATGCTAATTGAAGTGAAAACAATACTAATAGTAGGAGATTTTAAAATTGTTTCACAAAAACAATCCTGATCTATTGTACTCTAAAACTGATTAAGAAGGAACATCAACTCGGCAAGAAGGTCTTTTGCTTGTTTTTAATTAAAATAATTTTCAGTTATAAAAGAATTTTGGTTATTATCTCTCATTCTCAAGATTTCCTCAATGGCGTTTGTACAAACATCATTCATGTAAACAAAAAACGACTGAAATACTACACCGGTAATTATGACGCTTTTGTTCGCACCAAACTGGAACTATTGGAGAATCAGATGAAACAGTACAATTGGGAACAAGACCAAATCAATCACATGAAGGTACAGTGTTTTAGTCCTCCTCCACATGGAAATAATCGTATTATTGTAGAACTATATTGCGAGATTCGGTCACGGATCTGCAAAATTGGCGCGTCAAGCTCAATCGAAAGAAAAAACCTTAGCCAAGATGGTGGCGTCCGGTTTAACGGAGAAAGTGTCAAACGATAAAATATTAAGTTTTTCATTTCCCAGTTGCGGAACAATTCCACCTCCAGTTATCATGGTCCAAAACGTTAGTTTTAGATACACCGAAACGACCCCGTATATTTATAAAAACTTAGAATTCGGTATTGACTTAGACACAAGGTTGGCTCTTGTAGGACCCAATGGAGCCGGAAAGTCTACTCTACTGAAACTGCTTTATGGTGATGTAAACGGGTTGTCATTCTTCGGGAGCAGTTGATATACCATTTTTTTTAGCTAGTACCAACGGAGGGTATGATTAGAAAAAATTCTCACTTAAGGATAGCGAGATACCACCAGCACTTGCACGAATTACTAGACCTCGATATATCGCCGTTAGAATATATGCTGAAAGCATTTCCGGATGTTAAAGAGAAAGAAGAAATGAGAAAAATTATTGGGCGTTACGGTCTTACGGGGAGACAACAGGTAGATCTCCGATTCCTTGGTACACTACCTCATAGATTACTTTCAGGTATGCCCCATACGGCAGCTTTCAGATGGGCAAAGATGTCGAGTTGTCTTTGCTTGGTTAGCGTGGCAGTCTCCGCATTTACTTCTTTTGGACGAACCTACCAACCACTTGGACATGGAGACGATTGATGCACTAGCTGATGCGATTAACGATTTTGAAGGAGGAATGGTATTAGTCAGCCACGACTTTCGGTTGATCAGTCAAGTAAGAAGCTTTGTGTTTTTGAATGTCGGTTGATAATTGAAATTGCATTTAGGTCGCCGAAGAGATTTGGGTTTGCGAGAAAGGTACTGTAACTAAATGGAAAGGTGATATTCTGAAATACAAAGCTCATCTTAAAAATAAAATTGACAAAGAATTGGCAAAAGCCCAGAAAAAATAATTCAATTTAAATTAGTACAATTTTCTTCAGCACCCATGGTTTTTTTTTATTTTCTCAGATTGGAGGTGCTTTTTGGTCCCTGTATTGTGATTTTTTGAAAATTAAATTTCCCCAATTGTGAGTATTTTAATTTTAAGTGTAAATTATTTAATCCACAAACATTTCTTTCTCTGCAATCTTTTGTGGTAGGTACAGTGGATATTCATAATTTATCGTACCATTACTGTAGAAATGAACAAGGTTTTAAATAGCACACTACAAGCAGCATGACATTTGAATATATCGTCTGTTATAAATTGAATGTAGTGTTTTGTATTATAGCCTAGTGCCTCAATAAATTATTATAGAAAATGCACTCTTTTTAAGAAAATTGTTTTATAGCAGCAAGTTATTAATGGGTAATGTATCAATAGTGTAATACATCAACTTAAGTGTGGGCAAACATTAAAATTCAGAAGAATTCAACATGAAAAAACAGGGAAAACTGAAATAAGTTTCATCAAAGGTAAAGAAAATTACAAAAATCAGAGATTTTCACAGGACACCCAAGTTTCGAAACAAGTGAAAAGTTTCACCCGTCATTGTGCAGGCTTAAGTAATCTAGTTCCGCGATTTCTTATGCCCCGCAGAGCTCCTGCTTAGGTTCTCTCATCGTTTCCATGGAAACAATATTGTTTTCTGTTCTGAACTTTATTTTACTTCGTGCTCAGCCTCCCATTTTTAATGACAGATGTCATTAGAATGCACAATCATTTCTTTCACTTTATCTACTAGTCCAGTGTGCAGATAATTTTGACCTGCAAAAGGTGGTGTAATAGTACATTATATATCAAGGTAGAGAAGTCCACTATTATTGCCTGAGCACCAAGATTACATCTCGAGGCGCTTGCGCCGAGGGGTGTAAGGTGCGATGGCAATAATAGACTTCTCTACCGTGGTATATATACTATTTTTTTCACTACTAGCACTTGAAATCCTCTAAATTAACATATTATATTGATAGAGAGTTAACGGTTGGACAGAATTGTTTGTTTCTTAATTTAACATGTCAATCAAGTACGTGGAAGTACAAGTCAAACAGGCCGTATTTTGTTCTGTCATTGGATTTTTCAAAGAGTAATTTCGTTCGAATTTTTTCAAAATGTGATAATTTTAGGTATGTAATTTCCCTGGAAATTGCGAATGGTGGCAATTATTCGTTTTAGAGAACTTGTCTAAATTGAGCGAAATTTCGGGTTGTGTTTTCTAAAAGTGACAGCGTGACAGTTCTCATTATTGACTACTAGTTAATAATAAAAAATTATTAACCACTTTAAACAAATGCCGAGAAAGCCTACTTTACAAGTGGAAAAAAGGTTAATAATCATGTCATCAGACGCTAGTAGTGAAAAAAAGATTTTATTGTTTTAAATGGTCCATTTGAGACCAAATAACATGTATTTGAAGAGTGCACACAAATTTTTTCCCAACAACTTTTGGCAGCCAAAAAACCTCAGAATGTTTGGCATTTTTTCACTTAAAACTTGAAAACGGTCCATATGTTATGAATAACGCTTCTTTAGTAAATTAAAGAAAACAAAATTTTTACAAGCCATCAAAAATCGCCCATTTTTTCCAACGAATTTCAAAAATTGGTCCAATTGTAAATTATTGGTACTCTTTGAACTCTCTGATTGATGTTCTACAATCTTTAGGGAGAGGGGGTTAGTGGATTTTATCGTTCCTTTAGGAGCTACAACTCAACAAAAAAAGTTAATTCAGTTTTTTAGAAAGGTTGGAAAAAATGGGCGTTTTTTAATCGCTTGTAAGATTTTTTCTATTGGACCGATTTTGTTTGTTTTTTTTTATCTACGCAGAATTTTGTTTTCTTTAATTTACTAATTCATTAAATATTCATAAAATATGGACCTTTTTCGAGTTTTAAGCGAAAATCTGAAAAAAGTCCGAATATTTTAAGGTTTTTTGGCTGACAAAAAAAATTTGTGTGCACTTCAAATACATGATATTTGGACCCAAATGGACCATGTAAAACGATAAAATCGTTTACACCACTTTTTGCAGGAATCAGCCCTTCTGACTGCTTCGCATACTGGACTATACGCATTCAGAATTTTTTATTTTCGAATTATTGGCTCCCCTAGTGATTTTAGAAATAATGTCTATTTAGGTTTTATGTAGAGAGAAAAATTATTATGTAATAATTTTCCTTTACAGGGCTCCTCGTCAGGGGGGACCAATGAACCAGGGACACAACAGGGGTCCTGTGTAGGGGCAGGCTCCTCGAAAGAGGGGACAGCCCCAAAGCAGGGCTCCACCCAAGGACCTGGACCAGCTCCGTCCCGTAAGAAGAACAGGACGGGGGCGCAAAAGGCGTTGGCCAGGAAGCGGCGGCTCGAGGGTAAAACCCCGGGTCAGGTGCTAAAATCGAAGGTTGCGGCTGGGTCGGTGGCTCAGGAAGGCGAACCGACGTCTGGGACCAAGCGTCTCAGATCGGAGGGTAGCACTCCAGGGTCTGGCTCGGTGCAACCTCAAAAGAAGTCCAAAGGTCCTGGGGCACCCACGGGTGCACCGCGGACCTATGGGCAAGTCGCTGCGGCGGGCCTCAAGGTGGCTATCCTACCGGTGTCGTACCCGGAGGTGAACCTCACTGAGGCTCAGTCGAGGTGCATTATGGCTGCACTAAATGTGGCTGTAGACGAGTTGGAGGTCGGGCCTTTTCCGAGGCTGGCCGGGTTCCGCTGGAACTCGCATGGGGTCGTTGTGGCTGAGTGCGAGGACCAGTGGACTCTGGACTGGCTGGAGAGGACCGTCTCTCTAATCAAGCCTTGGGAAGGTGCGTCTCTGAAAGTACAGAGGCACGTCCCAAAGGTGGTAAAGGTGATGGCAGTGTTGCACGGGCTCCCGGATGACACGGCCATCATTTTAAAGCGCCTCCATAGGCAAAATCCTGGGCTCAGGACGAACTTATGGAGGACGTTCTTCCGCAGGGAGGAGCCTGGTAGGGTGCTTCTCGCATTTGGTGTGGATGAGGCATCCTACAGGGCACTCCAGCGGCAGAACCTTAAGGCGCACGAGGGGGTCTCCCACGTCACTTTCGTGACGAAGGCGAGTGCTCCGGCTGCGCAAGCAAAGGGAGAGGGCTCCGCCGGAGCAGCGGGACCCAGTTCCGCTGCAATGGAGGGGGTCCAACCCTTAGGTGGAGACCTCGAGGCGTTGGAATTAGAACTGGCGCCCTCGCAGGTCGACGAGCTGTTGGCTCGTGTGGCGGTCCTTGGCTCCGAGATGGGGTCAGAGCCGTCGGCATCTTTAGAGGAGGGGGGAGCCTAAGTACATCGGTGATGGACAAGGTAACCTTCTTACAGAGCAATTTGCAACACAGTAAGGGGGCGACCTGCTTAATAGGCCGCCAACTTTCTGTAAAGCAGGCAGGCGTTTGCCTCATACAAGAACCTTGGGTTTACAAGGGACGAGTAAGAGGCTTAAGTCAGGTTGAGGGCTCACTTTATTATAAGAGGGACAGTCAACTGAGTACCAGGACTTGCATATATGTCGACAGACGCATCGAGTCTTATTTAATGGCTGATTTCTGTTTTAGGGATCTAGTGGCTCTAAGACTTCAGCTGAAAGATGGAAAGGGACGGAGCAGGCAATTAGTAGTCTGCTCAGCGTATCTACCATATGACTCGGAAGAAGCTCCACCTCCCAGGGAGATAGCTGAGTTGATAGAGCACTGTCGGAGTGAAAGGCTCCCTCTTGTGGTTGGCTGTGATGCAAATGCACATCACGTTGTGTGGGGCAGCACGGACACGAACTCGAGGGGCGAACACATTCTGGAGTACTTGCAGACAACTGATTTGAATGTTTTAAATCAGGGAGAAACCCCCACCTTCGTTACGTCGCGGAGGCAGGAGGTCATTGATCTAACGTTGGGCTCTTTCTCTATAGCTCACATGATCTCAAACTGGAGAGTGTCTGATGAACCGTCTCTTTCGGATCACAGGCACATTCTTTTCCAACTAAACCTGTCATTCAATGGTGGGCCCTGTAGGTTTCGGAGTCCCCGAACCACCAACTGGGACTGCTATGTTGAAAAACTGACAGAACGGTTGGATAAACCACCTTTGCTCTGCCGGAAAGCAGGGCAGGTGAAAGAGGCGGCGGCAATGATAAGCGACGCTATAACGGCGTCGTTTGAAGACAGCTGCAAGCTGCGAACTGTTCGGGGAATGAAGAGAACACCTTGGTGGAACTCGGACCTTGAAAAAGTTCGTAAAGAGGTTCGAAGGCTCTTTAACAGGGCCATGCGTACTAAGTTACCTGCGGACTGGGAGGATCACAAACTCGCACAGCGCAGGTATAAAGACCACATTCGACGGTCTAAACGGGGATCGTGGAGGACTTTCTGTGGCAACATGGAAGGGCTTCCCGAAGTTCAAAAACTTCGTAAGATCCTTTTGAAAGATCCAGGGCAAAAAGTGGGGACGCTGAGGCTTCCATGCGGCAGATTTACAACTAACGCGGGTGAGGCCCTCACATGTCTCCTGGAAACACACTTTCCAGGCTCTGGAGACTATGTAACTTCGGAACCGCCAGAAGGTGCTACCCGGGTCGGTGCAAGGCCGATCGACTGGAGAGTAGCTGCCGGGGTTGTTACCAAGGGATCCCTGAGATGGGCTATCAATACGTTTAGCCCATTTAAGAGCGCAGGACCTGATGGGATATTTCCGGCTCTTTTGCAAAAGGGCCTGGAACCATTACTTCTGCACTTGTTGCCCCTCTTTAGGGCCTCTGTGGCTTTGGGGTACATCCCCATAAGCTGGAGAAGGGTCAGAGTTGTGTATTTACCTAAGCCGGGTCGTACTAAGTACGACACAGCAAAGGATTAGAGGCCCATCAGTCTATCATCGTTTCTTTTAAAAGCGGTAGAAAAGCTGGTGGATGCATACATAAGAAACGTGGCGCTGGTCCTTAGACCACTACACCCGTTTCAACACGCTTACAGAGCTGGCATGTCCACGGAGACGGCTCTTCACAGTCTCGTGTGTAGACTGGAGAGGGGAATGTCTGATGGAGGGGTAGCTCTGGGAGCCTTTTTGGACATCGAAGGTGCGTTTAACAACACCACGTTCGATTCCATTAGTGAGGCTGCTGAAAGCTTTGGCATTGACGGGTCAATCGTAAGATGGATCCGGGCCATGCTTGGAGGTAGGGTCATCATAACCTCGATCGGAACTACGGAGATGAGCTCATCGGTCACTAGAGGATGTCCGCAGGGTGGAGTACTGTCTCCACTACTGTGGTGCCTGGTGTGAGACGGGCTCCTTCGTACACTAAACGAGGATGGAGCGTATACACAGGGATACGCAGACGACCTCGCAATTGTCATTGTGGGGAAGTTTCCGAGCACCGTTAAAGAGCTCATGCAGAGGGCTCTTGGACAGGTGGATAGATGGTGCAGTAGCCACGGTCTCTCTGTCAACCCGGAAAAGACCGAAATTGTTCCATTTACGAGGAGACGGAATGTGGACTTTGATGGTCTCATCCTTCGAGGACGCCAATTGTGTCTGACCAGGTCAGTTAAATATTTGGGGGTCACTATAGACTCCCGTCTGTCCTGGAAAGGGCACATTGAGCGAATTAGCAAGAAGGCCACTACATGTCTATGGGCATGCAGGAGAGCTTTCGGCTGCACATGGGGATTAAATCCTCGACTAGTATATTGGCTTTACACTTCGGTGATAAGGCCGATAATATTGTACGGCGCACTTGTATTGTGGCCTGCAACGCGCAGGGTAACATACAAGAAGCAGCTGAGTAAGGTACAGCGACTCGCTTGTTTGGGAATCACTGGAGCCATGAAAACCACGCCAACGTTGGCTGTGGAGGCTCTTCTGGGACTTGAACCTCTACACTTATCGGTACAGGCCGAGGCCCGGAGGGCTTCCATAAGACTAAATGATTGGGGTGAGTGGAAGGATAGAGGAAGTCTCGGACACGGGCGGATCTGGGAGGAAACTCTTAGGTCCGACCCCTTCCTCGCAAGAAGGGACGTGATTCGAGCTACCCTACTTGAACCGAAGAGGTATAAAGTCATTCTCCCGGACAGGGAGCAGTGGCTGAACCCAGATCGTCCGTTCCTCAAACCTGAGGGGCTCGTGTGGTTTACCGATGGGTCCCTAACGGAAAAGGGAACGGGCATGGGTATACACGGTGACCGGCCGAGAGTAGGCATCAGCCTCTCCCTTGGCCAGCACAGTACTGTGTTTCAGGCAGAGGTGCTAGCCATCACGACCTGTGCGCAAGAAAACCTCCGCAGAGGTTATCGTAACCAGCATATATACATATGTAGTGATAGTCAGGCGGCGTTAAAGGCTCTGTCAGCTGACAGGGTCCGCTCGAATACGATGCTTGACTGTAGGCGAACCCTAGATAGATTAGGTGAGTCGAATAGGGTAAGCTTGATATGGGTGCCGGGGCACTCTGGAATAGGGGGCAACGAAAGGGCGGACGAGTTGGCTCGCGAAGGCAGTAGTGGGGCCCTTGTCGGGCCTGAGCCCACCCTTGGAATTGCTCCCTCAGTTGTCAGGGTCAGGATTAAGAACTGGGCGACCAGTCAATTCCAGGCTCAATGGCAACAGGCAGCTGGACTCAGACAGTCCAAGACCTTTTTAACAGGGCCTCTTGGCAAATCTGAGTCTTCTAAGCTTCTAAACCTAAACAGAAGTCAGGTTAGGAAGATCGTCGGTGTCTTCACGGGACACTGGATGGTCAACTATCACCTGCACAATATTGGGCTTGTGGAAGACCCTGCGTGCAGGTTTTGTGGCGAGGTAGAGGAAACTACCGAGCATGTAGTCTGTTACTGTGACGCTCTGATCAGGGACAGACATAAACTCCTCGGTGACAGTTACTTGGAACCGAGGGAGGTGAGGAAACTAAGGCTAAATAGGGTCTTATCCTTCATTGAAGGGAACGGGCTCTAAGCTTTGGTTGTTTAGAGAGGGGGTTAGCACAATGGGCCGTTGATGAGCCTAAGTGCTGCCTGTAAAGGCTCCCCTGATAGAATAGAATAGAGAGAAAAATTATTTTGTTATGGATCCCCGTTGGATTTTAGAGCTCGCGTTTCGAGAGATCAATAGAAATACTTTTTAAGATGGCTGTGTGATACATTTATTCCTTTTGAATTAGTTCAAGCCGTCTCAACGTTCAAGCTCAAAAATTCCAATTGTAGGTAAGGAAATGAATTTGAACTTAAAATATGGAACCGAAAATATAGCCTTTTTTTACCTACGTGAACTAAAATATATTTGTGTGGTCGAAGCTTCCCTCTTCGAATCTCAATTTCGATGACGCTGGGTTCATAATTACTGATGTAAAATTTGGCCTTTTGATAACGGAAATCTCCTTTTAACAGGAACTCAGAAACAACTACTTCTTCGCTTCTTTAATTCAACTTAAGACACTCATTTCATAACTTCCCGTAATATTCAAAGCAGTCAACTAAACTTTACGATTATGAAGACTGACTGTCTTTCTAACTGGCAGGAGGAATTGTCTTGCAATAATACGCCCAAATAACGGTAAAACACCAAAACAAACGGCTACGTTTAAAACGTCCACCACCAAAGCAACCCCGATTAACATAAGTTCCTCCTCTATTTAAAACAATTTCCCTTTCTTTGCAACTTCCGGCTCCATTTCCTTAACAAATTAATGCGTCTTCAAATAAATTAAACATCTGGGAGCCTCTGCGATAACGCGCTTATCTTGAAACTAATTAGTAATTACATTACGCAGCGATCGGTAATAACTTACAATAACAACAATCTTTTAACACGTAATAAATCAAGGTTACAATTAAAAAAAGGATCATTTAACCAAAATCGGACATTAGTAAATAATTCCGATGCAGAAGTTAAAAATTGGAGAACTATGCCTTCAGCAATCTCAATATTTGTGTTTCTTTCATATTTTATCTTCTACCATAGCACATATGCTACCGTAAAGTTTTTCTGTGAAAATAATTTCTTCTGCATGATTGCGCATATCCAAACTCCCAACGAACTTTTTAAAACCTATTCACAAAATCAGAAAGAGCGCATCCACAAACCCAAGGAAAGCCAATAGTTTAATTTTAGAAATTAAAGAAACGGAAATTTTTACACCCATGAGACACCTTGAGAAAAAAATACCTACCTAGCCAAGCTGTCAAACATAAAATAAAGCTGCTCTAAGTAAAAAAGGGATACTGCAAAAAAACACCATTATCCTAAACCATTTTATTGTATGTTAAAATTTGTCTATAAAAATACATATTTCTTTAATCTGAGTATTTACATATAGGTACTTATGTGGAGCAAGATTTAGGGCCAGTCTTTCATGTGTCAGTTAAACTTATATCCGACGACAACTCCTATGTAAAGATATTTACTTCCACGGAAACTAACTTTTAGATAGTTAACATGAAAAACTGACTCTTAGGTAATACTAAAAAACTTCATAATTTCAACTAGTGGTTTGCAATTTGCTGCTGGCTTCTTGCATTAATGCAGCCTCACGTAACGCCTAAAAAATAAATAAATATATGTATATAGTCTGTCTAAACCTCCAAGTGCGGTATAGGCATTGTAGCAACCATAGCAAAATCTGCCAATCCAGCCCTGATTCAAGTATTGTTAACCTAATTATGAAAATGTTCTAATATTGCAACCAGGGGTTTGCTACAGTGTCACACCATGAATCAAAAAAAATGTTGCCTTACCAAAGTATGCTGATCCATTTCTGACAAACACTTATCAATCCAGGTGAGAAGCTTATCATTTTTATCACATTCATATCTGGTAATAATTGTCAATTGAGTTACTGCAAGCGTTAATGCCGCCGCCCTCGCTTCTAATAAACGCGGGTCTAATGGCGGACACATGCTTCGTACCATATCATCTACCCTACACGAAATCTTTCTAGCGCTCTAAAACAATCATGATCATCGTATACAATTCCAGCTTGTCTAATTACCTCAACAATTCTCATTAACCCGATGTTACTCGTACGCATTGGGCCAATTGCCAAAGCAGTAAGGCGTTCGGTTAGAGATCGACAAATTTTCAGTACCTCTATGCAGTGAGGTATCAGTCCGGTAGCGTCGTAAATCCATTGCTCATCGGCGAGAATCTCTTCTAGATTAGGAATGAGGGTGACCTCGCCTAACTCGGATTCGAACTTATCAGGTTCTATTAGCATAACTTCCGGCCGACTTAAATCAGTTTGTAATCAATTACTAACATAAGACAAGACTATTCACCTCATGATGGATTCCTCTCCGTCGCAGCTCGTCGATTTGTAATACAGTCGCTGTCTTTTACATATTACGATCAATACGAGAAAGGCGCAAATGAATATTATGGATAATATTGCTATAGCAATTGCTGCAACCATTTCTGTATAGTCCAGTTTCATTGTTGGTGGTATCACAATTTGCACATTTTTAAGTAACGATCAAATAATCTGTTTTTCACCCTGCAGACGTTTTATAGTATAATCATTGTGAAACTCGGCCCTACGTAGACTAAAAGTTTTAATTTAAACGCCAATTTTACTCCAGTCGAGGCTCGAGATGTTTTGTTTGGTAACAAGTCAACGAACAGGTGGTTGTGGGTGTTGTAGCAACAAGTGGGTGTTAATGCGCTGTGTACACTGGCAGATTGGCACTAACGTAATTTGGGTTCCATAATTGATAAAAGAGCAAAGTAAATTGTTATTGTATACAGAGTGATATTTATTAAAAAGTAAGGGATTTACGTGTATTATTTTTCTCTATCGCAAAATGAACATAAGGGCGCCTAATTTTATGCAACCAAAATAACTTCTTAATATGTAAAGATATGGCTGTCATATTCATTCTTTTGAATATTATTGCTTTGGTTTACAGAAAATAACTTTCTTACGCTCCTTTTAAACTGTCACCGGCACCTATACCAACTGACAATATCAGTTTGAATACATCGCACACGAACATAATATTTATTTATGAATGAAGGGCGATATTTATGCCGAGGGTGACAGAGCCCGAGGGATCGGGACCGTAAGTCGTCCGAGGGTTAAATATCGGGTAATGCCTGAGGTGCATACAAAATTTTATTTTTCATAATTCCAAATAACGTATTTCAGCAGTTCCATACTCTTCTATCTATTTTACACAGTACTATAAATATCTTGCAAAAACCTTTTTTTCAAATAGGTAATTGTTTAATAGTTACAGCAAAGTTTGGACTTTCGAAAACATACGTAAACGGAAGGTTAGAGGGCATTAGCGAGTTTGCGGATGTACATTTTACGTTACAAAACTTGTCGTTATATCTTATAACGTAAAAAAGTTTAAGAATTATACCGTATAAGGGCACTTTTACACCTTATGTTTATAAACAACGTAAACCAATCAAATTCCAGCAACAATAAACTTATCCGCAAGCGCGTTTCACAAAATTTCCCTTACGTTATATCATAAGAAAAAATGGCCGTCTAACGTAACGGAAAATACGTGCCCGCAAACTCGCTATTAGGTGATAACAATGCAGTGCAATCGAATATTTTTGTCTCCAAATATAATATTTACTTATCAAGGGCAAAACTTTCATATCTATATAATAAAAATGAATCGCCGAAATGTATGGATACGCCCATAACTTTAAAACCACTGCACCAAATTATATAATTCTTGTTTTGTTGTTGTTATTATAACGACAAGGTTTGTATAAAAGATAATTTTCAAAAAATGGTACGGAAAGGCTACGAGAACGAGAAAAAACTGGATTTACCGGGAACGGGGTCCGGTAACAGGAAAAAAACTAGATTTTGCAACGGCGATCATATGAGCATATGTCGGAGCTGCCAATTTTTAATAGAAACCGTAGTAAGTTGTGGTTTTCTGTCAACGAATCTAACGAAGCACTACTGCAGCATATAATTATTCATTGGAAAATAATTATGTAGATAGAAAAAGTTTTATTTAACGATTGGGTGTACTGAATAACTTGCCTAAGAGGCACAGAAAATTTAACTATACAAAATGTATGATACTGTAGCAAACATTCCAAAAATTAGTCATCGACAATAAAGAACGAAGGCGAATGTGACGTAATCTTTCCGATAAATATGACGTGTTTGTTCGAGAACATTGTACAATAGTTGGATAAGCCTTCGGAAGCGCTCGAGAAACAGAGGGGGAGTTTACTATATAAGAAAACGAATTGTGTTGCGATCAGTTCCAGTTCTAATTTCAATGCCGAAGTACTACAAAGTTCGCGCTGTATTAATTATACTTATGTGAGTAATAAATAGTACTTGAGTTCAAGACCGTTATTAATTAATTAGTTTTAATTAAATTTGCGTTACAAGTTAATCATTTAAAAAAGCGCAGACAAAAATTTATACAAATAATGCGAAATTAGTAATCAAATGTTAAGATATCAAGAGAGCTCAAATAGTTTGGAATGGGGTAATTACATTTTTAGGGATGTATAACTCCCCCAAGCTCTCACCTAGCCTCGCTCACGCTACCGGTATTTTTGATAACGTTTTGGTTAAGAGTAATTATAAAAGTTATCCATTTTTGACTCCAGTTATTTATTTAAACACTTAGAAACGTTAACCTAAAACCTGCATTTTTATACTATGCGATCAAAAATCAGTTGCTGTCGAGTCGCCTTTGAAATCGTTGTTTACATGGAAAATCGGATTAAACTTGAACTTCCAAAGGCGATTCGACAGCAACTCATTTTTGATTGCCCGTTATAAGAGAAACGAAATACATCGGTAAAGATATAAAGTGTCTAATGGAGAAATAATATATGAGGTAATACCTACCAAATTTCATCGAAATCAGAATACGTTTGGCACCTCCCTTCAAAAAATCTATGTCATGGGGTAGGATTTTTTCAATCGAGAAGGGCATATTTAAAAACCTAGTCACAGCCGTTACTGTTTAATCTGGATATACTAAGGTTCCGCGGAAGCATTAAAAAAGCGTAAATTTCCAAAGAAACATCTCTTGGTTTGTTAGAGAAATGTTTTGTCATATTTTTTTCTTGACGTTACACCTTGTGTATGCGTCAATTCATGTGGAAGTGGAATCGGCAATGAGTATCATGGAGACACATCCAGACTAATTTTTTTTTCTAATTTTTTAGGTTATGTGCTATTGTAGCATGAATTTTTCCAGAATAATTTGAAAAAAGTAAAATAATATGGAGGAAACTACGGAAATTATTCCTGGATTTCCAACTATTAACGATTACAAAAAGGTAAATAAGAAATGCAAACTTTTTAACTGTATATACATTAATATTACATTACAGAAAGGATTTGAACTTCTACTAGAAGCCACAAAGTCTTCAAATGCCTTACCATCGCAACGGGAATGGGATTTCTACAAAACTTACGACTCATTTAACAAGATACTAAACAAGGAAGGTGACAAGGTATTACGACTGATGAGTACAGTTTTACACAATCAGCAGCAAAATGTGAACATACGAAATAGAGATATGGACGAAAGAATGGAGATGTTGATTGAAGCTAATGACAATATATTAGAGAAAGTAGCAATAAGTATTGACGAATTAAATGGTATTAAACGGGCAAATCAAGGCGACCCTCAAATACAAGCGGTCAGCGCACAATTACCTGTGAACGGTTCGTGGAATCAGTTAAGTAAAGCGACTTTTTCTGTTAGCTCATCTATTGACGGTGTGGTACGTATTATCGTGAGCTTACAGCTTTCTGTATGTGCTTTTTAGAAAAAATCAAGTTCGTTTAATGCGATACGATTGCTTACGGCAAAAAATATCGTTCGTCCACAATCTTATTTTAAAGACAAAATTGATAACAGCAACAATCCTTGGATACCTCGCATTACAGAGAAGCCAAACTCAATAAAACCGTTAGCGATCTTCCTGGAGGAATCCGAGTTAGGTGAACAGTAAGGAGTTTGGCTTACTGCATACATCGTGCTTAGTAATTTGTTACAGGTATTCGCATCCCTACGAAATGGAATTGGAACATTTCACCCCGCCCGCTAATCAGTTACTGAAAATTAAGCCGGAAAATGTGAAACCGCTTGAAGAAACTCCTTTGGTCGAGGTGTCGACACCCGAAGACTTGGAAATGTGTTTGGAGGATCTGAGGCAGCACACTGAGTTTGCGGTCGATTTGGAGCACCACTCGTATAGGACGTTCATGGGGATTACGTGTTTACTGCAAATTTCTACTAAGGATACGGATTACCTTATTGATACGTTCACTTTACGTGACAAATTGTGTATATTAAACGAGGTGTTTACAAAACCTTCAATTGTAAAGGTACGGGAACACTGAAACTCTTGTGGTGGCTATTGAAGTAACAAAAATAACAAGAAAGCCCTATAATAAATCTTACAAGTTGCTACAGGAAAGCTGTCATCAGCATAAAGTAAAAGTTGGTGGGCCTACTACGTCATTATTCAGTAGGAAGCATTTGTTTTTGCAAATCTCTAATCCAATTCAGTCTTACTATTTACTTGCTTAACTAATAAGGTGTTATATTATTTTCCAGCATATGTACGGAAACGCTATATTTATCTCACTGATTGTATTCAAATGCTCTTTAAAGTGAATTTTGAATGATCTTCTTATTCACCCAGTATACACTTGATAACAGCCTCTAGCATACATTGTAACAGTTTTAAACAATTTGAATGACCCTATTGCTAGCTTTCTTAGTATTGTCATCCATGGTCCTAAGAGCACACACAGCAATTTTATTGAGGCTTTTTAGTGTTTTTGTACAAGTATGGTGACCGGTTTATGATTTTCTGTTAGATCTTCCATGGTGCCGATATGGATGTGCAATGGCTTCAACGCGATTTATCACTGTATGTTGTAAATATGTTCGATACACATCAAGCGGCGAAACAACTGGGTTATTCGGGTCTTTCGTTGGCCTACTTGCTTAATAAATTTTGTAACGTTGTGCCCAACAAACATTTTCAACTGGCAGATTGGAGAATTAGGTATTAAGCGGTGCAGATTTGCGACAACTTATTCTTTGTGCCGTAGACCTTTACCAGATGAATTGAAAACTTATGCGAGAATGGACACTCATTACTTAATATATATTTATTACATGTTGAGAAATGCGTTGCTTAATAAGGGTAATGGTAGTGACAATGTTTTGAAGTCGGTTATATCGGAGAGTACAGAAATTTGTAAGAAGGTAATGCTATAGCAAGTATTTCGTATTTGTAACAGTTTTTTTGCAGCGTTACGTTAAACCTATTTTAACCGAAGAGAGTCACATGGATTTCTATAGAAAATGCAAACGTATGTTTGATAATCGGCAAATGTTTGCCTTAAGAGAATTATTTCGTTGGAGAGATAAACTGGCTAGAGCCGAGGATGAGAGTACAGGGTGAGTCACACAATGGCTGCTGTATTGCTTCGAGCTATATTATGAGTAGGCCATGTGTATATAACATAGATTAGTAACCTGCCGTTAAAATTCGAATAAAATAGATCTTCACCAATAAGAAAGTTCGGCACATGCGCGTACTATTTTGGGCATAGGCGTCTTCATTTGAAGCACCACATTAGCAAAAAAACGTCAAAATTCCTTTGCCAAAGCTGTAAGTTACAGAATCCAAAAAATGGAAGAATAGTTCGTGAGCACTTCTAACAATTATGGCTGATTAATGTTATTTGCACAAGGTGATTGGAGCACAATGTCAAATGACGATAGATGCGCCAATCACAGCTAAGTATCTGGATCACGCCTTTTGCGCAACGATTTATCTGCTGCTAGTCGTTGTTGATACATGGGAGTTACAGTATCAATGGTGGTAGCACTTTTCTTTAATGTTTTGGGGTAGGTTTTATTTCCTCTGGTTTGTTAAAGTTACCTTTTGGGTAAGTATTAACTACTCTCATAGATGATCAGCCATCAATTGATTTCAATGATTTCCTTCCCTGTGAGTTTAAATGCCTCTAACACTAGGGGAAGAGGTTTCTACTGTTTTTAAGTATGTACTGTATATACTTTCTTTAATAGTTTAGCCCTTTACCCAACTGTACTTCTACTGGGTGACCCAATAAGACTGTTCCTCGGCCATATCTCGGGAACCGTTCGTCGTATGACTTAGGGGTAAAAAATTTATTGGGTAAATCATGAAGAATCGCTGGAAAATATTTTCAAGTTCTAAAAATGACCAACAGAGGGCGTAACTGCCATCTTACATTTTAAAATTGCATTTTCTTTAAATTTCGCTTAATAAACTAAACATTCTTTTTTCACATTTTTAAAGAGAACCAGTTTATCTATCATTTTCGTAAAAACAAAAACTCTGTTATTTCAAAAACAAGGATGGCGTGGAGCGTTCATTTGTTTTTGCAATAACCTCCTTTAACTTCTTAACCATTTGACCGATTGTAATAAATTTGGTATCGTTGAAAAGAGCATTCCTTGGGAAATAAGAGTCAACCAAAATATAGTTAATTTAGTTGAATCCTTCTCCGACAGGGGGCTAGTTTTGACACTATGATCTAAAATCCTTTAAAATCAATAAATCAAATGGAATGATATGACTTTTTCTTTATGAAAAAGTAACCAAAGAGGCCAGTGAAAACCGTTTTTCAAAATCTCGTTCCTAACCTCAAATTTTATTTTATTTGACGTATTTCCGATATTTGTCGATGGCGCAAAGATTGTTTGGAAAAGGACCCTACACTTTTAGGTACGCCTTGGAAAATTAAACAAATGAAACACGATGCATTATAAAATAATAACAGCCGTAATTTGTAAATTATTCTGCTGTGTTTACATGTACAAGTGCAGTTTTTTGAATTTGTAATCTTTTCTAAAATGCCGATTTCTAACCAAGAAGCATTTAATATGGTTAGAAATCGGCATTTTAGAAAAGATTACAAATTCAAAAAACTGCACTTGTACATGTAAACACAGCAGAATAATTTACAAATTCCCTGTAAAGGCTGAAAACAGAAATTAGGGTTGGTTATGGATAATGAATTACGTTTTAAAAAGCACATAACTATATGTATTCAACGAGCATTTAGCAAACTCAAAGTTTTATACAGACATCGGTATAATTTTAATTTTGGCACTAGAGTCCGACTAGTAAATGCACTAGTGTTATCACATTTTAATTATGCTGACTGTGTGTATGGACCTTGTTTGGATGTCGCAGACAGGAATAGAATTCAACGTGTACAAAACGCATGTATACGGTATATTTTTGGCTTGAGAAAGTATGACCACGTTTCCCTCAAACTTAAAGAACTGAATTGGCTTAATATGGCTAACCGTCGGTTGCTACACTTTTTATGTTTCTCACATCGAGTGTTATTCTCACATCGAGTGTTATTAATACAATCACCTCAGTACTTATAATAAAGTGAGATACCGTACGGACGTGCATAATATTAACATTCGGAATAAAGGACTTCTAACTACTCCATTACATAAATATACCTCATTTGAAAAATGCTTCTCCTACTACATAGCGAAACACTACAACGTTCTACCGGACTCTTTCAAAAATGTATCTTTGTTGGCATTCAAAATAAAAACAAAAAAGTGGTTATTTGAGAGTCAATGTATGTGTTAATTAATTAAAATGTGATTACTTGTATTGGTCTTTTTTTTTATATTTTTTTTTATTTATTTATTTTTTTTTTTTATACTTGTACGCTACAGAAGTGAATTTTTTTTTGTCTTTTTAAATTTTATAACTTAGGATTCTCATTCGCCATCATAAATAAATGTATAATATGTGTTGTGGGTAAAGTGTAAGAGCAGATATTTTAATCTGAACTTCGCCCATTCACTGCGGTTCATAAATTCGATTCTTCTTTTCTTTGTACATGTTTATATATTATTTTAGTTGTGTTTTTTTTGAACGGAATGTGAATAAAGGCCATTATTATTATTGTCGGTGTTTCTTGTGAGAACTCAGGTTAACTAATCGCACGGATTAAAATCAAGTAACGATTAGTGTCTGTGTCAACATACCTATTAATGGCCACAATAGTCAACGCTATCAGGAAAGAAGAAAACAAAACAAAAATATCATTATAATAATTCCTGTAATTTTATTAAATAGAGTTTATTGTGTAAGTGTTTCTTTGGCTTTGCGTTTGGGTTGAATACGAGTGGGTTGTGATATTATTATAATAAATTACGGCTGTTTTATAATGCATCGTGTTTCATTTGTTTAATTTTCCAAAGCCTACCTAAAAGTGGGTGATTTTCTTTCGCGCCATCGACAAATACCGGAAATACGTAAAAAGTAAATTTAAGATACAATTTAAGCATTTTTATTAATTAATTATTTAATCTCATTTTCCCAATAATTGAGGTTAGGAACGAGATTTTGAAAAACGGTTTTCACTGGCCTACTTTTTCATAAAGAAAAAGTCATATCATTCCATTTGATTTTTTTAAATTGTTTTAGGATGTTGCGTCATAGTGTCAAAACTGGCGGAGAAGGATTCAACTAAATTAACTATATTTTGGTTGATTCTCATTGCCCAAGGAATGTTCTTTTCAACGATACCAAATTTATTACAATCGGTCAAACGGTTAAGAAGTTAAAGCAGGTTATTGCAAAAACAATTGAACGCCCCACACCACCTTTGTTTTTGAAATAACTGAGCAATTTTAAAATTTAAGATGGCAGTTACGCCCTCTGTTGGTCATTTTTAGAACTTGAAATTATTTTCCAGCGATTCTTCTTGACCGATTTACCCAATAATTATTTTTACCCCTAAGTCATATGACGAACAGTTCTCGAGTGATGGCCGAGGAAAAGTCTTATTGGGTCACCAGGTACATGTGATATCAATAGCGTTATCCTATATTCACTGGTATTAATCTGGCATTTGCTAATAAGGTCTTGTATTAAAATATTTTGTAAATGTTGCTGTGCCCCTCGTTAGTCGCCATAAATAATGCTGTGTGCCATGGTATGTGGGCAACTACCACCCACAAAACACCCGTGCAGCTATCTCAAACAAATCAAAATTCTCAAAACTTTCTCCTTGTGCACTTCCGGCAGCTGCCACAAAGAAAAATCCCAATGTTGGCTTAAACTAATAATTTGAGAGATTGGTAGCCTCGATCAACTACTTAAAAATGCCAAATAACTACACAAATACTCACCTGACATAATACTTAAACACGAGAAGAAAAGTCTGACATGGAAACTATCCGGGTCGCACAATGGGTTCGAATAAACACACTGCATTGATTGACAATGACAAAATTTTATTCCGAAACACATGAAAAGAATGTTTCAGTTACAGCATATATGATGGTAGAACAATTTATAGATGGTTCAATGAACTTATAACATTTTAGTATTAAAAGGGCGTTAACAAAATTCCTGAAAGAAAGATAAGCGAGCTTGTTTGGACAAATTACCCCGCACGCAAGCGGTGGACAAAAGAAATAAGAAAATATTAAAATATACAGTTCTTTTCTTTTTTAAAAATCCTAATAATCTGGCAGTTCAATGGTTTGCGGTCAGGGCGCACTTAATTCCACACACAAACGCTGACAGCTTCTGAACGTAATTTTTCTTTAGGACACCAATGTTGATGACAAACAACATGAATGAAATGACGACATACTGGTGGCTATTGAGACAGTACAAATTTTTAACTTCGATAATAAGAGAACCATGACAGAAGGCCTCACGGTGCACTAAAACTGCATCCTTTACTTCAACTTGATAACTTTTTTCGAGTTCTGCGTTGAACTTTTCACACCCTTGTAACAACTTCTATTATCTTTCTTCTGTACAGAGATATTAAGAAAATGGTATACTACGTTTTCAACCAATCAAATAGGGCGGAACCCCCGATTAAAAACAGAACAGCGTAAAGAAACGTACGCTTTCCAACCGTCACGAATCGGCTCGCTTGCAGCGTCCTGCTTGCAGTATTTAACGAAACACTTCCATAATAAAATAAAACTCGTTCTTCCGATTTTTACAGATAAAACGTCAACCATAATTAACCTTGATCTTTGATTGCGCCGAACTAATGCGCACATCGTTGAATATCTGTATAATCCGTTATCTCGCCTAACAGCGATAAAGAACCACGCGCTTTAATTAAATCTGGTCCGATAACGAAACACTCTTAACGACCAGATGTGCCCACATACGCAATGACCAACAACTCTAAAAGGAAAAATAACACTACAGAATACAAATTGAAATGAAATAAACCGCTTCTGTGTTTATTCGTAAATAACCCCCCCCCCCTCTCCAAGGTGATTCAAAAAGTATAGGTGTAACTTGAGCTAATTAGGGATACATGTATACCTATATCTGATTTTTAAGGGGTACAGGAGTAATGATTAGAAACTGTTTATATCGTGCAATACAGTTTTAATGTTAAAATCTACCTAGAGTTTCTACAAGACTATTGTTATGGAACTTACCACTACGAATCTGGCGCAACGGAATGTTTTGCACCTTGAACCCCAAACGCTTTTGTAGTAATAATTTATTTAAACGCGAATACTTAATCCAAATATGCAATGAAAGCTTCACTATTATCACTTCTTTATTTACAGATACATTTTACCTAATCACATGCTTTTACAAATTGCTGAAGCACTACCACGGGAAGTACAGGGAATAATTGCATCTTGTAATCCGGTACCACCACTAGTACGTGCAAATCTCCTAGAAATTCATCAAACGATATTAAAGGCTAGAGAACAATCATTGACAAAGGTAACACTTTTGTGCATGTAATTTGAATGGGTGTAAACGTGCATTTTTAGCCCATTTTAAATGAAGATAACAGGGGTAGAGGTAGCACTTTTCGATTTGCCAAATTAAATGTAGATAGTCCACTACATTGCCCTCATGATCTATCGAAGTCTACCGAATTTAGAGATGACTTACCTACTTTGTTAGGTGAGTTGAAAATGATGTTGAAGATTACATTTGATGCAATTTTTAGGTCAAGCTGAATATAAAACACCCTGTGCAAAAAGTGAGCTTCAAATTTGTAAGTCTAAGTATTCGGTTTTTAATGTACCTGAAATTGATAGTGATGATCAGGTAAGTGGATGAGACTTGAAAACGAAAATCTGTTGCATTGCTTTTTAGAACGATACATTACTGACAGTACAAAATAAATCTCTCCTAGCACCCTATCAAAGATACGAACTCATCAAGCCGTTTATACGTGCAGAAGAAGAGAAGGCCACAGTCGAAGCCCAACAAAATGAACAGAAAGAGTTATCGAATGAGGATAGGATTGCTGCTGTAAGATTTGCAACAGTTTACAGTACTTTTCTTTAAATCTATTTTACAGCTTCATGAACACTTTGTGAAGGTCGCAAAGGAGACCCCACAGATACTTGCTGGCTCAGTGAAACTAGACACGCTCGAACAAACTGATGTTGTTCCACCTCCATCGATCGACACGCAAATAGTTGCTAATATTTTAGAATCTCATCCAACTCTGAAATCAATGTGTGGCTCGAAAAAACGAAAGCGCGCTGTGGATGAGATCGATGTTGACGAACCCGAACAAAAGATACCGCACAATGAAATACATACCCCGAAACCACAGCAGCGGCACTTTCAACGCAGGAAAAATAAGAAAAAGAACCAACAGTTTCAGGACCATACGACACAGCAACATTCTCAGCCACCGAACAAGCCCAAACAACCACCCAAAAAACAATGGAAGCAGAAACAGAAACAAAGACAACCCCAAAAACAGTCTCAAAATCAACAATTCCAAGCTTTTGACTACTCATCGGTTAATTTTCAACAGTTTCAAGGTGGTGCGGGAAGATCGAACAATAGGAAAGGTTTCCCAAAAAATGAGTTCAAAGGAAAAGTAAGTTTTATTGATTCTTTCTTTTTTTTTTGCTAAAATTTTTTTAGAATAATAAAAAGAAAAATAACAAACAGTTCGGCAATAAGAGTATGACTTACTCGAGGCGACAGTGATAGATTAAACTGAAACTGGATTTTTTTCTGTGTTATTTTCTACTTCAAATGATTATTTCAATTCAAAGACTTATTTGAATTTGTTATTCTTTAATAAAGAAAGGAAAATTATATGTAACATGTTGTTTCCATTGTTTGTCAAGTCTTTGCACAGATTCTCTTCTCCGCGGACATCAAGGCATTGATGATTAATGATTATTTTTCTGATTGAGTTCTGAAGCAGATAAACACAGTGAAAATGTAATACCTTCTTGCGCAGAATATGTGTCACCTAATCTGTAGTATTAATCGAACACGTATAGTATCGCATACCAGTTTTTCCTAAAGGCGCTCTTTTTTGCCGATTTGTGTCTGTCTGTTATATTAGGTAATGCAATCAATTTACTTTATTCCAAGTGGTTTTGTATCAGTCAGGTCAGATAAAGATTACCCTTTATCATTTCCTGAAAGTGCTGGAATTCCCCACACACGAAGCACCACTGCGAGAGTAGGTTCAATGCATGGATTTAATTTATTACTAGCCAGCGGCCAGCAGCGTAGTCGCTGGCATTTCTAGTGTTTCATTGTAATGCCCCGTAACGTATTGTAGAGCGCAGTTTACCACTGGCAGCAATTATGCTACATCCATCGTGCGTGCTATGTATAACGTGAAGTATATCCTACCCGCGACACGGACAGCGTTCGCTTAAGTTATTAGGATTATCTATTTTTTTTATTTAGCTGCGTTGGCGATGTACATCGGTACCCAAGTCAAAAGATATGCCCGATAAAAGTGGCAAAAATGAGACACCCTGTACATTAACTGTTTATGTCTTGGAAACCGAACTGAATTTTTTGTGAAAACTTTTTCTTAATATTCTTATGGATGAAAAAAGTTTTTCCTATCGAAAGTCTATATACTCAGTACCATATAAAAGACTATATGAAGTATTCATATTGCTGTGTGCTCCACACTGGGCTCCAAATAAATCATACTGTGTGGCCCCACGTTGGGCGCCAAATAAATCTATGTACTAGTCGTAGACGGCCGTCGCCTGTCACACTGAAAAATCTCAATGTCGACTTGAGATTAATAATTTTGTAGACTGAAGCCTCGATCAACTTCCGAAAATTCCAAAGAATTAACTACACACATTTTCATTAACACCTATCATAATTCTTGGTCAGGAAAAAAATCCAACGTGCAAAACTCTACCCGGGTCGTACAATGGATTCGAATAAACACAAGTTATTGATTGACATTAACATATTTATTCCGAAACGCAATGAAACAGAGTTAAAACAATCCCTGAAGGAAAGAAAAGCTTACAAAGCTTGTTTTGGACATATTACCCGCACGCAGTAGGTCGACAATTAAAATAAAAAAATCTTAAAATTACTTAGTTTTTTTCAATGATCCAAATAATACAAGATTTGCAATACCTACTAAAACTGACACAAAAACACAATGGAAGCTTTTAATGAAAGACAAACCTTTTAGAAACAGACAACTGCTTTGTTTACTCACACTCAAACTAACATTTTCTGAATATGGACAATCCGTTTTAAAAATCGTTTTTAAAAAAAACAAATAGGACAGAAAATTAACGTAAACAAAAGTTTACACGTGTAATGTTTATTTTCTACACATTGAATTATTTGACACGAAAAATTATGTATCACAACAAAACAAAAACAAAACATGCAGTTTATTAGTTGGCCGTGGCGCTAGACGCTCTTTAACCGTTGTCTCCAGTATTTAAAGAAACACCACATCCACTTAAACTCTCCGGATTTTCCAAAACACCGTCAATCACAATTAGACCTGATACGTTACCTTGATACCTACGCTTAAAATAACGCGCATGTCGTAAAACACATGCATCTCTTAACAGCAATAAGAACACGTACATTAATTAAATTTCGCTTGATAAGGCTGCGTGTGGCAAAACAACCAGATAAAACCTTTTATAAAGTAGGTACGCAAACTTGACCAATGTCTGCCATTTTGTTGCGCTAAATTTAAGTTTGAATTTGTGTGGGAGACATGAATTTTTGAATTTCAGTATGTGTGTCATTTTATTACGATAAATTTGAATTTTTGCGGGGAATTTGAATTTTTTTCTGTGGTTGCCTGTAGCATTTTAAATATACAAGGTGTAATGGTGTACAGGGTATTTGTGATGGGTGTTTTTGCGCCGGTGCCGTTAACTGATCGTCCATTTTGTTCCGATGAGACCGAATTGGAATCGCGTGTGTCAGAATATTTGAAATCAAATATACAGGATGTAATGATTGTTATATACATAGGGTGGTTGTGTGTTGAGCAGATGTCATAATGGCACAAATCTTCTAGCTATTCAGTTCTGTTCCGGGCATTTTAAGACCCTTAAAATTGATCATAGTGATTATGTGACGTAGAAGGTGAATTTTACTCGGAATGCTTCTGTTTGTAACGTTATATACCAGAGGGACCGTCCTGGGGGTATTGTCGTACATAAAATACCATACAGCGGTAGTGATAAATTGGTCTCGTTTCACTGTTTATAGTGCATGCTGATGGTAGGACCAGACGTCGATGAAGTCGCGGAGCTATCAGATGACATACAGTGGCACCACGCTCAGAAAGTCCCTGATAGGGCGTGTCTGAGGGCGCTAGAAATTTAGACCGTACATTCTGATGCAAAATTTAAAAACGCTTTAAGGGAATTACATACCTTATCAGATCGTAGATCCAAGCTATATGCGTCTTGAAAAAGACGAGTTTGTATAAAACTGGAGACGGAAAACGTAAAATAAAGCAAATACAAGAAGCAAAGTGTAAATTAAAATAACGTAAAGCGTCAACTGTCAAAACGGAATAATTAATAATTATGGCGCGGAATGTATCGCGTCGTTTTGCAGACTGAATTATTTCAAAATTAGTTCGCATATTTTCCGGGGCTTTTCTGAGCATGGTTGCACTGTATGACAAATTATATTTACGTTATTTGGTTGAATAAACACAATATTATTATTATTAAACATCAAGATTTTCAAACTTGTGCGATACATTATTATGATATAACAACACAAGAATGTGCCGATCAGATGCGGGAGGAAGAGAGTCGTTTGTTTTACAATACGACGCATGAAGCAAAATACCTACTGCAAATAGGACTTAATGAAGCATGTGATATGTGTTGTTGTGCGCGGGTTTTGAAAATGGCTGCTGATCAGCGTGTAGTATCAGAGACTTTTGTACGATTCATCGATTGCTTAGAGGAACTAATGGAGGCCCTTGTCGTCGATGTAGATCAAACCATAATTCAGAGACTTCAAAACGATACGCGTGGGTTTGAATCGAAAAATTCTGATTTTGAATTGTCTAAGTTTGGATTTCCTAAATATCCTTTTTCAGCTGAGCGGTTACGTAAAGTTTAAAAAGTGTTATCATTTACGGAATGTCGATTTTGATCTTCACGAATTTGTTCACAGTGGTATAAACAGGGTGTATGATACACGCAATTTGTATGTTAAAAATCGTCGATACTAACTCCACAATAACACGTGTCCAAAAATGGATGAGGACGATGATAGGAAATTGTACAGAGCACCCAACATGTAATGTAATGTAATAATGATTTTTCTATTAATGGGTCTAATTAAAAACGTAATAAGGATAATTCAATTTTTTTAAAGTACTGACAGACGTTCATTTCGTCATTGCAAAGAACAATTTGCAGCAAAAGCAGTATTTCATAAGAACGTTTAACTGTTATTTACTTATACATTGCAGTTTGACTACAGAGCGGCCTTAATAAGCCTTGTTATAAACAGAGGTATAATTTTACAGTGTCTTAACAGTAAAACAAGCATTTTTCCTTAATAAATCTTAAGTATCTATCAAAATATATTTCACCTGATGCGCCCAAAAATCGAAAAATTTGCCTTTCCTTCGTAACCATAAAATTATAGTCACCGCAGTATTAAAAAAATCGAAGTGTAAAATTGTTACATAGTGAATATTGATAATGGAAGATTTCTCCTGTTTGGATAATATTAAAAAAAAACATTTCGATTTTTTGTAAAACTCATTAATTCCAAACCGTTGTGATAATAAAATTGTGGCTTCCGCGTAACCATTAAACAATAGGATTTTCGGGATTTAGTTATCACTATCACAAAATGATTTGCTAGGACACAAATTCGTATCCAGTAATGTAAGCCGTCGAGGTGTATTACATTATCTATGACGATTACGGAAAAAAAATCAGACACATAGTACTTAATTAATAAAAATATATTTTGCTTCAACAACACATACAATGAGTTTTAACACGTTTTATCATATTACTTACAAACGCATTCTTGCCGCCCGTAAAATAGGGTACTTGTTTCCGTTGCATTTTCCGCGGAAATCATCCAAAGTTAAATCAACAACAGCCACACCACCTAATCCCTTATTGCGAGCGTAGGTTGCTTTATTTTCAGCTGTACTGGGATCTTCGTAGGAAACCCAAATGCCACCATGTCCGCTATGGTCGGGTAACTTAAAGGCGTAGGTTCCTGCAATAATCAGAATATTTAAGTTGGAACAAGATTGAGTGGATCATGCGTGCTTTAAACGGAGAGATTTGTGCAGTACAAGGTTAAATTGTTAGCATACCGTAACGGTTTGTAACATCTGACTGAATCCAAACATGTTCTATATTGGGGTTTTTGTAACCTGCTTTAGATCGAATCTCATATTTTTTGTTTAGTAGGTACTTAATATATGTTTACCAAATTTGCCGGTGGGATCGCCGACTTTTCTCAAAGCGTTTGCGTTGTGGTGAGGATTGGTCAACTGAGTGCAAACCTCTTCGTAGCTAAGAAGACCCTCTTCCTTGGTATGGTGACCCGCTTCACCGGGACCTTTAATGTCAGAAATCGGCGGCACTCCACTCAAACCCGAATCCTTGCTCATCTTCCACGTTCTGGCGAAAGTGGGAATGCCCAAAATGATCTTGTTGTTAGGACATCCCTTGTGGATCCTAAAAGTAGATTGATGGCAACTTGTAGGATGGCGAGTTGTGTTTACCAATGTTGGACGAGCCCGTTTACGTTTTCGTCGTATTTGCGATCGATCAGCTCATGTAGCGGAGCGGTGTAGTCGGCTTCTTTGGGGTTACGTTGTGGGGTGAAGTAATCGAAAGCCCATAAGTTGACCAAGTCAAGGTTGGGGGCTAGCTTGGGTACGTCGTGGAAGACTAGCAAATAGAACAAATTAGTGTTTGTCGATTTTTAGGGGGGTTTTCTTACTTGTGCTGTTTACGTTTGGCAAGACAGACATGGAGAGCAAAAGACCCTTGTGGGCCAAAGCGTTTTTCATTTCGCGGACCAGTGCGGTAAACTGCTCCATGTGCTCGGCATGTTTCGGGTCGATTTCGCTGGGCGAGACGAATGTGTGCTTAATTTTGCTCCAAATTCCAGCTGCATAGAACCAATTGACATTTTGTTTCGTGCAAATTTAGGGCATACTTACACCAAGTGCCATGAATTTTCTTTGGTTTGTTTGGCGGGAATTGCCACGCCAAGTCGATGCCATCGAAACCGTAGGAGGTTGCGAGTGCTTCGGCCGATTCGACAAAGGCAAGACGAGTGTCCACAGATTCGAGCTGAAAATTAATTTTTTGAATTTTCAGTTTTAAAGCGCATGGCTTTTCGTCTTACGAGTTTTAAGTATTTCTCCGAGTGTTCAGGATCGTCTCGGCCACCACCGATGGATAGAAGTACTTTCAAACCAGGGTAACGACGCTTAAGGTTGGTCACGTCTCTGTAGTGGTTTTGAATTACGTCGAATTGTTCACTTAACGGAATTGCCTTGCATGTAGTTGGGTTTACACCGGCGAAACCATAAACGAGATGGGTACAGAACTGAAGGGGTTCAGTTAAAAATGCGTCTTCAAATTTAGCATCTCCTGTAAAATTCAACAAGTTAAAAAGTAATCGTAAACGATTTACAAAATAGACTGGTTCACTTTTATAATAAACAGCGTTTTAACAGGTTCTAGGGGCATTTCAGAAACATTTGGCCAAATAGGCGTTTTATACTAATTTGGACCTGCTGAACACGAATATCGATGTTGGCACCTCGAAATCTGAACAGGAAGTTCAGAATTCAAGATGGCGGCCAATTTCCGAAAATGTTGATATTTTCACTCATGCGACCGATTTTTTCGATCTAAAAACGGATTATAATGTTATTCCTGACGGAGGTACGGCACGATAATAATAGTGAACAAATGTTTAAACAATGATTTCATAGTTTTTCTAAAGCCTAATTTACATTTGGCAAGTTTACTGGCGGAAAGTACTTTCTGCCAGTAAACTTGCTACCCTATTTCTATTTAACTGGCACTTTCCGCGCATTTACACGTGGCAAGTTTACTGACCGACAGTACTTTCCGCCAGTAAACTTGCCAAATGTAAATTAGGCTTAACGTCAAAGTGCGTAAAAGTGGATTCCTTTTTTTCATAGTACTATGGCTACTGTTTAAATTTCTTCACATCGTGTAATTATTAAATTATTTCTGTTTTGGCAAGCATTTTGGTTTCTGTGCGTCGTGTGAAGATATCCGCGATGGTCCATAACCTCATATGGAAGAATTACCTTTTATTAGAGGAAAACAAAAGAAAACTTGTCGCATCACCATCATCACCTTGAAGAGGCCTCATTTGACGGCGTACTGGTAATTGCGAGAGGCTTCAATGATGAAAGAAAAGTTTTCTGTAACCGTCAACCGTCAGACGACACAGATTTCCTCCTTAGAACTAGAAGCTTTTCACATCAAGGAAGCGGATACTAGAAAAACGCTACAGATACAGATGCATTCCTGTTGCTTCTTCATCACTTCGAGGTTTCAGGAGATGCGAAGCTTTAGATCTAACAATTCTGAACTCCATTCTCTTGCGATTCCATCTAATCTTCTCTAGCATTTGATCCATTTCCATCATTACGGCATATCAGGTGTAAATCTCAAGAGGTACTTCTTTGACCTTAAACTCTGAAATGTCGCTCAGACTAGCATATCTAATCCTATTTTCTGGGGAAAGAATTGAAAATGGCTACATTCCCATTCTCACAACGTTAGATTAATTCCGAAGGCTGCTCTAGATATCGTTCTTTGCCGTTGTAAATAGGATTGCTCGTCAAAACTTTGTAAAAATATCGCAAAGCTCAATTGATTTGTACTACCTACCTAATTGTCAAGAAGACGATTGACCTAACACCATAAGACTAACGAAGGTGTTAATAAATTTGTATTCACTTTTCTATATGCTTTTCATCCTTTAATAATAATAATATATCCTGAGGAACAGTAATTAATACCTAGCAAAATACGAATCTTCCGAAACACCGCAGTATAGTTGAACTCCCTTCATTTTTTTTCATTTAAAAATTAACGTAAAATTCGAAAGATAGTGTTTATCAAAACTTTATAAGGAGAATTATGCAATATAAACGCATGTCGGGAATACTTAGGTATATGTGTCAGGATTACTGGAAACAATCGTTTTGCATGTCCTCCTTTTAGCAAGGGGAACTGGGAATTTCGTAATTCTTAATTTTACGCATCCTGCATCCTCCTATTACAGTATTGTTAAAACAATAGTTAACTATTATTATCGTGAAGTACCTCAGGAATAACATTATAATTTGTTTTTAGATTGAAAAAATGGGTCGTTTTATCTGTGTCGTCTGACGGTTACAGAAAACGTTTCTTTAATCATTGAAACCTCCAGCAATCACACGACGCACAGTAACTAAAATGCTTGCCAAAACAGAAATAATTTAATAATTACACGATGTGAAGAAATTTAAACGAAAAAAAGGTTTCCACTTTTACGCACTTTCAGGTTAGAAAAACTATGAAATCATTGTTTAAACATTTTGTCACGATTATTATTGTACCGTACCTCCGTCAGGAATAACACTATAATCCGTTTTTAGATCGAAAAAATCAGTCGCATGAGTGAAAATAGGTATCAACATTTTCGGAAATTGGCCGCCATCTTGAATTCTGGACTTCCTGTTCAGATTTCGAGGTGCCAACATCGATATTCGTGTTCAGCAGGTACCAATTAGTAAAAAAAGCCTATTTGGCCAAATGTTGTCTGAAATGCCCCTAGGACACAGAATCGTCGAAAAGTGAACCAGTCTAAAAAGCACATAATCGTAAAAATCCGGCCACAAATATGAAAGATAGCGTTGCACATGTGCAATCCATTTTTGACTTTCTACTTCAATTTCAGTTTATAAGAAGAATTGCATTTCAATGCTTTTCTAAATAAGAAAGTTGGAACTGCGCATGCGCAAAACCAAATTTTGAAACTGGCGTTAAATTTGCTTTTATTCCAAGCGGCTATGTCTCAAATTTCATTTAAATACTTTTATAATTAAAAAAGTTTGCAATTCGGTTTATAAATGGTCGAGATGCGAAAAAGGGCACTGTGAATTTTGAATCGATTCGACTCGACTTTTGGCATTGTGTATTATATGGCTAAAGCTATGCCCATATTGAATTTCATGTAATGAAGTTCATAACTAACGGAGATGTCAAAAGCGATCGGACATTTTCTAAACAAAGTTATCGTTCACACAGACAGATAGAGGGACAGACAGACAAAGGAACAGACGGGCATTTTTTTTTATTTTTGTGGTAATGCGCTAAAAACAAATATAGCGCAGTCTTAGGAATTATTTCTCTATAGTAGGCAAGCACGTGGGAAGCGTGGTCGCTGCCTATTTTATTTTGTTATACCTACATTTTGTTATAAATGTGACGCATCAATTTATTTGCATAATAAAGTAATGCGCTTCCTACGTGCAATCTAACAATTTAAATTATTATGTAAACCAGCGTTTAACTGGTAATACCGAAGCACCGAGTCTGTTTACAAACGATGTGCTTTTACTTTTTTTAAAAATGCTTTGTAAGCTAGAAATTGCACTAAAGTTATAAATAATTAATAGAGTTCTATATGAGATCATTTTTATGATCGTTTCCAAGTTTAATGCACCAAATCCTTTATTATAGGTAGGTACACACCTATACAGTAGTAAATTATGCATTTTCAAAAGGGCACTCTTATTTGTCTGTCTGTCTGTCTTAGTTGTACGTCCGTTCGATTTGGAATTATGATGTAGGTATATAAAAGCATTGAATAAAAACACTATTTTATTCAATGATAAAAGTTAACGTTATAATAATTATAACATTTCATAGTCTTGTAAAAATCCTAGTAGGTTGTATAGAAAATTTGCATAGTGGATGGAATTCTAGGACTGATATCGCAAATGACCTTTTATACGACTGTTGCGAAACACATTTTCAAAACCTACTTTAACGAAAACAAGTAATGTTCTTTTGACTTTGTGTGATAACTTACGCGATTTCTTTATAAGTAAATATAAGTAAGTGATAATTATCGTTAGGTAACGGTGACGAAACCGTTTTCCTAGTAACAAATACTGAAATTAATAATATTTATCAAATTTGTATTCAGTATACGTAGGCCATAAATCAATTATTGTTCACGGGGTTCACTTCTTTCAAGAAATTCAAGGTAAACTTGATACCTCACGCGCTTTGCCAAATTGGGATGCGGTTTATTAAAAATTTAAACAAAACTTACCACTTCTAAAATGTCCCTTGGTATCATAGTAACATACGATTTTGCTGGACGTCGAGTATGGAGAATTTTGGGTATTATATTGAGCGGCAGCAATTGCCACAAAGGCAATAGCCGCAATTACTTTGCCAATCATTCTTTTCGTGTATTGGATCACCCAAGGGTACTACAACACAACTGATTTTGTTCTTGAAAATAAATAAGTGAAAACGGTGACCCCCCGGCTATTGGTCAAGCAAGGTGGGGAGGGAGAGGGGCAAAGTGTATCTTTTAACGACAATTGTATCTTTTCTGGGTATAATTAATGACATCAATTGGAGTGTAGCGATAGGTACTTTTCCTAATTCGAAACAGACGTTTACCTATGCGCGCATTGTGATAATTTCGCCTAATTGACCCGCAAGGATGAAATTATTAGGCCCCATTAACGCATTGTAGGTATTTTGCACAAGAAAATTACGTCCTTTAATAGTTTAATAGGTTGCAAAACAAGCGGTGCGTGATCAGTATTAACCCCAACAATAAATGCGCAACATCTTCTTAAAACTGAAATTTCGAAAAAAGTACCTAAAATTTTATTGGGGACATATTGCAAATAAATTTATTATCAGCGTAACGGTCACAGTCATGCGATCTTTCGCATTGACTAAGACGACTGCCCTCAACCTTCGTTAAGACCTAGAGGTAAACCCAAGTTTCAATTGAAGGTTGTCCACAGACGTGATTTAATTATCAACATTTTACGGTTATTTGCGCAGTTCTATTTTTATTGGCGTGACAAACTACAAAATCTACAAACATATGTTTTATAGATGTATAGGCAGCAAAATGAAAATTCTAGAAGCAGCGCAGTCTTCCAAACTGCCTTGTCTTCTGGGGTGGCATTTCGCAAGTTTGCCTAAATTTCGAAAATTGCATAGATATCCTGAAACCGTTTTTCGTCCGACTTTGCACGCCCATAACGGGAGAACGAAACAAGTGGGCTAGAGTAGCTTGTGGAATATAAGGGTACGGTGGTGACTAGGCGTGAATGCGAGGTACAGTAAGAAAAACGACCAAAGAGAAAGGGATCATGTGGGTAAAACTGTTTTTCAGACATAGAATAGAGGAAAAGGGATTTAGCAGGGCATGGCAATTTCAATTATGGATTTATAGCCGTTTTAAGAACCTCTATGCACTATCTTCCATTCTCCTGTCAAGTGCTAAAAGAAAATTAACTGTATTTGTCACTCTATACAATAAAAATAAAGCGAATTGCAATACGTTAATATGTTAAGGAGTATCAGACGCAGGCGCGCAGGTCTAAATTTTACTGGCACTCGGTGTCCACAAACACCAACTTGATGTAAAATTGCAAGTGGGTGGTTAAAATTGCCTTTAAAATTATCTTCAATAGTTTATAATTACACAAATGCACTACGACGCTAATTCAAATATGCAACTAGGCAAACAACAACAAATGGCAACAAGACGGAATGCAAAACTACAACTCGATAGAACAATTGTTCATCATTGCACGGACCGACTCTAGAATCCGGGGGCGTGGCGAAAAATGTTCAACGCTCTTTCAATTTTCTTGGAAATGTGGCGAAGATCTTTGTCCGCAGCCCGAATGTGACTTGGTGTAGATCATGGCTCGCACTTGGGTTTTCTTTCCGCTTGTGGAGGGTTTAACTTGGAAAATGTACCTACAATGCGTTTTGCGAAAACAACCGGCCCAAATTTGGCACTGCGTGACTCAGATTAACGAATTCCGATTTCCTACTATTTACACTCGTATTTATAGGTATCGCCTTTGTAAAATCTGACCCAATAAACACCTCATCCTCTTACTATAAATGATACAAATACCTACTTTGCGCGATAATAATAATAATAAATGTCTTTATTAGGCATTTAAACAAAATAAATATCTACATATGTATGTTAAAAGTAACTGCCTAAGGGCGGAGTTCAGTCAAGAATGGAATCATACTTTGACTGCTGTTCCACTTACAGTGTTTTTGTCGTTCAACATTCGGTTACTATAGACGTATTTAACTCGCTCTTATTTTAATTACAATGTCCCGCTTCATTTACCGCATCCCGAATACACTCACGTAAAGCATTATACATCTTAATTTACCTACTCTATTTACATCTGAAAAAAATTGCATTTCTAACTGCGATTGCTAATTCCCTTTTAGCTTCCTTACGATTAAATAAAGAACTAACTTGGGTTATAAATAAAAAAAGTTGCTGTCGGGTCACCTTTGGAATTTTTATTTACACGAGAAATCATATCTTGAACTTTCAAAGGCGACTCGAAGTCAATCCGTTATTGATCGCCCGTGTATCATGATTCCATGCGTTTGATCCGTTTTTTTTACCACCAACACGGTTAGTAAAGGGAGGCATTGCGTTGGGGTAAAAAATGACCCCCCCCCCACTTTTTTGACGGAAATGCACGTTTTGAAGCACAAGGAATCCGAATCAAACAACATCTCGACGATGTCGGCCTGTCTGTCGGTCCGTCTGTACTCCCATTTCCTGCTAAACGGCTGAACCGATTGGAACCAAATTTGTTACCCATATTCTTAGACATAAAAGGAAGAGTTGAAAAATAAGACATTGAAGAATCCGTGTACCAAATAATTCAGAAACTAGAGGTAATGGTGTCACCATAATCTCATTGTATACCATCAAGGTCGATAGATATCGCCGATTACGTCTCATTTAAGTATTTATTACATTTGTGAGTTGAGTAGAATGCAGTTAAACAGTTATGCTTCGGTGAGCGTGATTGATTTCGTATAAAGGGGTTTTGGAAAGTACTGCATTTATTGTCTAGTCAAAAGTACAAATTGATGCAGTTGCGGGCGATATTTTAAAGGTCATGTGAATGAAAATGAAAGTTTATTAAATTTGGTATACAACTGTGCTTCTATACATATTTATGAAAGTTGACAGAAAATTTTCACCTCACGTTTTTGGTCATACTTTTTATTCTACAGAAATATGGAGATGGAGCATTAAATTTCTTTCAAGAATACATAATAGACAGGGTGATCCAGATCGAGTGTAAGGAAAGATGGTTTATAAGTCTCCGCCATAGAGATAGAGAATCGGCGATGCGATCGAACTACATTTTAGTTCAGGACGCCACCGCTCATGGGCGTACGCAGCTTTTGGTCTAGGGAGGGGCAAAAAATAAAATTGGGGGAAAAAAATGTTTAATGAAACACATAATATACATTTTTATTTTTAGTAAGTAATAGTTACTAAAAACGTCTTCAAAATTATTATATCTCAAAATATTAGTTAGCAAATCGGTAGATCTACCGAAAAATCGGTAGACGGAACATCACTGGCTGACCACTGCACAGTTAGTGAACGATAACTTCGCTCAGCCCGACAGCAGGAGAGCCGGTGTGCCGAGTAATCCGATGGGCATGGGAACAGCGATTTTCGGGATCGGTACTCTAATTTATAGCTTAAAACCTCTTTCATTGCTTAAATCTCAAAGGAAAAGGTTTTGAATTAGAAGCCAACAAAGACAATTCTTACAGATATTTTTAACAAACATAAAACGTAACCTGTGGCCAGGCCAGGGAAGGGCAGCGGCCCCCCCTTGCCCCTCCCTGCGTACGCCCATGCCACCGCTTGCCCTTCAGTGCCCTTGCTTTAGTTCAGGTAGAAACCACCCGTTTGACTTTCAGTTGGTTTTTGAACCGATTATACATTGTTTTGTGTGCTCTTTATTTCACTTTCAAAGTTTCAATTCTGTCTTCTATTTTGCCTTCTATTTAACCTTAAATTCTACCCTCTATTTCATGGTAAACCGAGGGTGGTTGGAGTTTAAACCTGTAAATTACAGTTTGGTGAACTTTAATTTCATGAGATAGTTTACGGTTTAGAAAATTATAATATAAAATACATCAAATCATATGTGACCCTGAAAACTAGAAGAATGCATCAGTGTCTATTATGCGTAAATCTTTTTAGTGACATTGTCCGTCGGATTACGTAATTTTGGGTAATGGTGTTGGAACTTCAAATCAAAGAAGCCATTCATTATATGAGACCCGGGATTTTGTATCGACCGTCCAACCATTTGGATCGATAAAGTAGACTGTCTCAGTCAACATGCAATATTTTTTAAATAATCGACCCTATGAATGTTCCGGCAATATTGCGCCAATAGCTTTAAAAATAATCGATGTCGCCCCATTACGGCACCTATTTTTTTCTTGACATACTTAAGTACTTATCTTTACACCCCGCATAGTTTCGCAGAGTATTCGTAACGTACCTACCTATTTAAATCAACTAGGTAGTACTCTTTCTCGATCTTTCTAGTAGATTAGAACATGAACACTAACTACGAGTCTGATTCAAAGCGACCATAGCACGTTACTGTACTTTTATACAGGGTGACACTTTTAAAACTTTCAATGGGCGATATCGTTTTTTATATTAGAGGTATCACAAAATGCCCAAAACCGTTTCGGTAGAATCGAGGGGGAAGCAAAATGGTCGTATAAAGAAGGAACCAACTTCAACCTCGTACCCCCCGCCACCCCCATGCCTAAATTTCTAAATTTTGAATTGTGACGTATCACTTGTGATACATCATTGGAAAGCTCTTAAAAAATGCTTTTCAGAAATACCATACACTGGTACATTTAAACTGCCCATTCACAATTTATGTAATAAAAATGAGTAATTTGAGTATTTGATGAATTTGTCAGTGTTTGAAATAAAAAAAATTTCTTAGATCTAGTGATGCTTTGGAAAAACAATGACAGCAATTTTTAGTAAATAATAATTTTCTATTGCTTTATTTGTTGATCGGTTATTATTATTTTAGTCTCGTTTTTAGTATTTCTTGGCAAGAAAATTACAAATTTTGAATTTAACTAAAGATTTCATAATGGTGTACACGTTAGCCGAAAGAGTTGAAATTATTTTCATCTATGGTTCTGAAGCGCGATCTGCATTTAGAACAGCAGCTGTTTTTAATGCCCGACACCCAGAACGACGTGTCAGTCACACTTATGTTGCAATGTTAGTGACTAAATTTGAAGAAACTGGGTCAGTGGAAAATAAGAAAAGAGACGGACCAAGAATAATGGATGAAGCTACTCAGATTGAAGTTTTAGGTCATTTTGGTGCAAACCCAACATCATCTATTCGAAAAGCAGCGACTATGACCGGACCTTCGCGAGAAACTGTACGACGAACTCTTAAGGTGCACAAATTCTACCCTTATAAGATGCAGATTGTACAGGAACTAACCGAAGACGACTCCGATCGAAGAATCCAATTTTGTGAAATAATGACCGAAAATATTCAAAATAATCCGGAACTGGTGAAAAACATTTGTTTTAGTGATGAATGTACATTCTTTGTAAATGGAAATGTGAACAAACATAACTGCCGGTATTGGGACGATAAAAATCCTCATCTTTTTCGCGAGGGGCATACTTAACGGCCCCAAAAAATTAACGTCTGGGCAGGTATGGGTATCTTAGGTGATAGCATTATTGGTCCTCTGTTTATGGAAGGAAATTTAACTGGAGATACTTACCTAAACATGCTACAAAATACCGTCGAGCCTCTGATCACTCATGAAATAGAGAATCAAATAAATCCAATTGACGGAAACATGAATTTGATTGAAGATTTCATACATTTTCAACAAGATGGGGCTCCTCCTCATTACTCTATGGCTGTTCGTGAATTTTTAGATGAGAAATTTCCGGGACAGTGGATAGGACGAAGAGGTCCTATAGAATGGCCAGCACGATCTCCAGATCTGACACCATTGGATTTCTTTTTTTGGGGCATTTAAAATCGGTTGTGTACAAAACTGAACCAGCTTCCATAAATGATCTTCGCTACTGGATAGTCAGGGAGTGCCGTTCACTTTCCAGGGAAGTGTTTAAAAATGTTAGAAATGAATTTGAAAACCGTTTGTGGTATTGTTTAGAACAAAACGGTGAACATTTTGAACATTTTATTAAATAAAAGTTGTTTATTTGCGGAGTTCAAATTTTAGTGTAATAAATTGTGAATGGGCAGTTTAAATGTACCAGTGTATGGTATTTCTGAAAAGCATTTTTTAAGAGCTTTCCAATGATGTATCACAAGTGATACGTCACAATTCAAAATTTAGGCATGGGGGTGGCGGGGGGTACGAGGTTGAAGTTGGTTCCTTCTTTATATGACCATTTTGGTTCCCCCTCTATTCTACCGAAACGGTTTTGGCCATTTTGTGATACCTCTAATATAAAAAACGATATCGCCCATTGAAAGTTTTAAAAGTGTCACCCTGTATACTCTCAGTAAAATGGACACAACGACACATTTGATAATAGTTTCTTTATTTTTGCGGCTTTTCTCGTAGTAAGACTTTGAAACAGTTTGGGACATGATGAATTTGTTAGTAAGTTATAAGATAATTACTTATATCTTTAAAATATAAGTACGACAGTTCATATAATTGAGGAAAGGAGTTGTGATATTTATAAATAGCATCTCCAAACCATTGGCACAGCAATTTCAACTTGACTCTGCTCGTAGTAGCAATAAAAGCGCCTTTCGTAGGGGAATGTCTGTGCGAATCGATTAGTGACACCTACAAAGTAGAAATGAATGGTCACCCTCGCTTAGTATTTAGGTACTAAAGCGCCATTTGATTCATGACGTAAGAGAGAAGTCGCCTCTCTTCCTATCTTTAATAGCATCATGGGCAAATTTTGATGTTTTAATTAATTATTAAGCGAACACTTCTACTTACCGTATCACTGTGGCTCTGAAATATAAATAAAACGCTTCTACTGTCACATATCAAAACAACGTACAGATCCTTAAGAGATCTATTCTTTGACACGCAATACTGCTGCCATCTTTGCCATTGACGCTTCAGGTTTTCGTACAAACTGGCTTGTAATGTTTTGGCATATAACTCGCTGAACTAAAAAATACTTAGCTAAAGAGTTATCGAACAGCTTTCTTTGATTCTACCCATTCTTTTAACCCTCTAACGTGCCCTTTTCCATATTTCAACGATTGTGGTATTGTTAAATTATAATTTGACAGGGTCTTTTTCGCTTTTAGGTCTTCATGGATCGAGTTACCAAGTAGCATTCCATGAGCTAGTGCCAACACTAACTGTTCGTTAATATGTTCCTGAGGCAATCCTATCTGCAAAAGACTTCTTTTTTGGGCCATTCGGCAAACTATCAATAAGTACCTACTTTTACTTCTCCAAAATGACATTTGGCTGCGGTGATTACTGCAATAAGGGTACACGCGTGACTGCCATTTTGACATTCTTCGTAACTGTACTTTGATTGCGAGAATCCAATCTCGAACCACGTTATACTTAAATTTTCTTGGTAAATTAGTTTCGTCTCGTATTTTGGGAAAAATGGTATCTTTGTTATGTCCAAGGTGTTGTTTTGATCATTTCGTGCACCGCGAATTTTAAATTTTGATATATGAAACATGGTGATTGACGTAAGTATGAGTATTTCAAAAGTTTGGGAATGTCAATGATCTGTATGTAAGACAGTAATTAATCAATATGAATTATCTCAGATCTTCAGTTTATGCATTGAACTCAATGAGTTTATCAAATCAAAAAATTTACAGTCACAAAACTGCAACTTTTGGAAATATTTTAATTGCTTTTAAAAGCAAGTGACGATGGGCCGATGTAGGCCGCGATTATCGCATTGAATAATCTTTTATCATTGGGGTCAACGAACGTAACCTCGACCTCCACACTGGTCAGACAGCAGACTCAACATTTCAATCATAGTAAAAACCCAAAATTGCAAACCCTTTGGTTTTAAATGTCCGTTCTGATAAGTTTATCAAAATGACTTTGTATAGTATCTATAAATATTTATACGTATCGATAATTAACATTAGTTCATGATGTCTAAATAAGAAAAATGTTAAGCCGGTTCGTACACTAATTACGAGTATTACGACCTACAAAGATTTTTTGGTAAAGGAACGTTTTCCATAGGGTACAACCTAGGTATCTATGGATTTGACCAGCAGCCATTTTTAACAATGATTTTCTTCTTTAAATAGTTCCCTCAAATGTACCTAATCTATCGCGACGGGGTCCATTGTCTATCAACCCGATTAACATATCAACATCAGCATAATAGCCAGAAGTAAATTGGTACTTTCATATCAGTAACCTGTGACCTTCATGATTTACTTTGATTTATTTTAGTAATCTTCTAATAAATAACCTTTCTGTTTGTAAAAGGGGAACTTTGTAGTCTCTTAGTATACAGAATGACGTAGGTTGAACTTATTAAAAAAAGGAAAGTTACATAAGAAAAGTGCCCCAATTATGTAGTTGGCGAGTAACAATAAAAGTACCTCCCTAATTATATTTAACTTATTCCATTATCGCGCATTGTTTATATGCCTACGTGCCTAAATTATGTAACTTTGGTATTTTTAACGTCGCGAGTTTATCTGAACAAGTTTGAAATTGCTCAGGTCAATCTGAATCATATTACAAACAAGTAATTTTATCGCTGATTAGTTCGAGGACCATATAATTTGAATGGCCCCTGACATTAAATAAGGTTCACAATTGGGTTCACCAAGAAACCTCGACTTACATTACCAAAATTGTATTGCCACTCATTTGGGGTCAGAATATATATATAGTTCTTAACCTGTTACCACCCAAATAACATGTTTTATTTGTTTATTTTTGCCTTTATTTACTTATTTTATTATTTATTAATATTTCAACCTTATAGTCTTTACTATACCATCTTTTGTGTTAGAAAATCACAATTTGATGCTACTAAGTAATAACACAGACATAGTATATGTTGTCTGTGGTAATAACAAATATAAAAACTAATAGCTAACCCTATATTACCTATCGTACAAAATAAATTCGTGTCGAGTTGGTTGCCTATTATAGCAATCTTTTCCATTCATTTGATTAGCTCATCAAAATTCCATGTATATTTGCATTGTATTTGGAAAGATATTTTGCCACAAACTAAATGTACAAACACAGTACATAGTCTAATACTATACGATCAAAAATGAGTTGCTGTCGAGTCGTCTTTCAAATTTTTGTTTACATGGAAAATCGTATTTAACTAGAACTTCCAAAGGCGACTCTACAGCAACTCATTTTTGATCGTCCATTAGATAGTTTTATTTTATTGAACTAAAAACTTTAATCATTATTAGGGGTTGCGTAATAACATATAATACCATCAGTTGCTGTTGATGAATCGGACTCCTAATACTCGGTTCATACCGATGGTAGGTAGTATTTCATAGGTATACCTAAAAAGTACCCAGAGAGATTCATCCTGGCTCAGGGAAGGAATTTGCAGCTCAACCAAAAAAAAAGCATGGCGACTGTGCCTCAAGAATCAAAATATGGAGTAGGTAAATACTCACCTACTGTACAGTGTATATCCGGATTGACTTCACTATACGTGAACTTACCCAAACGATGTCTTTGAGCAGTCCATGTACCTACTGACGTACCTATGGTCTACAGCAGCCATACGGGCCTCATATGTGGCTCGCGGAACTTAATTATGCGTCAAATTTTCACAAGTTCGCGGCAAAAATCTATATTGAGTGACTGGGCAGGCTATGGCCATAATGACGCATCATCGCATATAGCCTGGAAGACCTGGGATGCTCAGCCCATAACAATTGAAAAAAGACTAATGCTAACTTTGAGCTAAGCACAAATACCTACCTTTATTTAAAAAAAAGAACTAAGTACTATTACGTATCAAACTTGGAAAATAGTTACATGCTCGGTTACCTACATGTTTCTTTACATTTGGATGTCTTTTAAATGATCATTCTGGGCTCCAAGTAAGCATTTCCTCTTTTCTTTTTGGGTATGCAATTTTTTCATGTTCCGTCATTAGTAATCGGCTGTTTTATCTGTTTTGCTTTTTTTCAGTATTGGAGCGACTGAAGTTTTATGTTGAGAAGTTGATGTGGAAGACGCTGGTGTAGAATTATGTTTCGTTTTTTATTATAATTGTTGTTTTATTGGCCCGCTTCAATAGATAAGGTATATATGTGGCCTGAGAAAAAAAAGGTTGAGTATGGGCGGCTAGTCTAAAGGGTCCTATTAACATGCGGACATGTGCGACGGACAGATCCGTCTTGAGCTATACACAAGTGGATTTGTCTGTACCTACACAGATCACGGACAAATCTCAATAGACGAGCAGGCGGCGCCGGCGTTCTGTCACTATGTATTTCAGTTACTAGCCCCTAGGCTGTGTTGTGTCGAGTGCTGTGCTAATTGCTATGGATAATAGGAAGTGGCAATAATTTTCCGTGCTCATCATCTTGATCGATGGACGCCCACGCCGAGCACGCGCATAGCACGCATACGAATTGATACGGATCTGTCCGGCGTACACGTTCGCCGTACATGTCCCCTTGTGAACAGGAGCTTTAATACTTTAGTAGGTACTGCAATTTAGTACAAAAACAATCGTAAAATGTTAAATTGCATATGTACTTACTTAGATCATACATAACGGGCGATCAAAAATGAATTGCTGTCGAGTCGCCTTTGGAAGTTTATGTTACACATACGATTTCCCATATAAACAAAAATTCCAAAGGTCCCTCGACAGCAACTCATTTTTGATCGCATGGTATATGATCTAAGTCTACCTAGGTACATAAAAAAAATAGCATCGCTCTACTCCAGCATATCAGGTTTCCATTAATTTAACACGAAAAGGTACAGAACCACATACAAAATAGAAGAAAAATGAATTAGAGGACCTTCCTTCTCGCGTAGGTATATACTGCCACAGATATAAGAGGGTTTAAATCTGTGATATTGCTTCTCTTTTCAAATGTAAGATGTGTTGCCTAACCATAGGGGTGTCATCACAACTCTCTTTGAGGATAACCATTGAGTGCTGACATGTATTTCGAGTGCCACTATGGGGATCACTGCACTTATCTTAAGAGATAGAACGTTGGTTAAATTGGGGCAACATTTTTCCTCAAAATGCAATTTTTAATTTTTTGAGAAGAGTGCTTTGGAAAAACAAATCGTTCTTTTGTTATGAACAAAAGGTTGACTTATTTCATGTAAACCTCTCGCCAGGAAAAATTGCCGGTCACAGAAGACCTGATCCCGATCTACAATCTGTGTCTTTCTAAAGATGAGAGCGACTTCCGGGGTAGGATCGTGGCAATGTTGAATGAAAAGTCTTTTCGTTCAACATTGGCACGATCCTAATCCGGAAGTCGTTCGCATCTTTAAAAAAACATAGATTGTAAATTGACACAAGGTGTGCTGTGACCGGCAATCTTTTCTGGCCAGAGTTATAGTGTCATTTAGGTTTATGCTAGTTGTATTGTGAAAATGCCTTTTTCAAGTGCAGATCAAAGAGATATGATCCAAATTTACTACATTTCTCATCGGGCTGCTGCAACAGACAAAACATTGCCAGCCGACCTGATGAACTTCTTCATAGAATTGTGGGCACTCTCAGGCACAAGATTAGAAGAAGGGATGTGTCAAGAGCCATAGCAAATCTTAGGAGAGAGTGGCACTGTGCTCAGAATAGGAGGTGGGCAATTTCAACACATGTTAATGATGTATTTTGTTCTAATTTTAATTATAATTTTCTTGCAAAACGAAGGTTCAATTCTGTTCAGATGAAAATCGAATTTCTACATCTCTGACAACGCTGCAACCAGACAGATGGATCAAACTGTCAAACGTTTGTTTACAACAAAAGAACCCAAAGCACTCTTCTCAAAAAATTAAAAATTGTATTTTTAGGAAAATGTGATAATGAACCACCATTTGTGTGATATATCGTTGTAAAGAGAAAAAAAGGCGTAATCCCAAAATTCAATATGGCGCCCATAAGAAAAACTACAGTTGCCACGTGTTTCTCCGTCATCTGGAAAGTAATTAAAAACAGGATGCCATATTTGAAATCTCCATTATAAAGTGTCCAAATAAGTTGTTAATTAGAAATGTCTACTACGATTGATTGATAAAAAAATTAAAAACGAAAATCAGAAATTTTCGTTTTTTTGCGATATCTTCAAAACTATTGAAGATATGTCAAATTTCTTTTCAGATTCAGAGATTCTTATTCAGCCCGGAAATTTGCAACTTTTCCCCCATTTAACCAACTTTTTATCTCTTAAGATAAGTGAGATCCCCATAGTGGCGCTCGAAAAATGGACACTGTGTATACTAAAAACTATAACATTTCGAACTGAAAACTAATGTTTGACCAATATTATGTAGGTTTTTCAAAAACTTTTGCTATTTGAGATTTGGGGAGGATATACCGAAAGGGTCATATTTGTATTGTCAATTTAGCTAATTCCTTGATTATTTCTTTCCGTATAATAAGAGCAGGCATGAACGCCACCCTATGTCTGTGGTGGCGGCCTGTCTCTGGTGACAATACAGCTATATCCAGGCACCAACTCTGGCAAAATCTCCTGTACTGTCTGTAGCAGAGGTATCACTACAGCAACGCTCTTTAGCTCCTTTGAATCAAGAGACACATTGGATGTGCATTGGATTAGAAGGCATCAAGGGCAAGCTACCCCAGGTTCATCACGAGAGAACTACCTTTGCTTGGAAGAGATATTTTATATGCACTGTAAATTGTACAAGCACATGCATCGTACCTATAGGTTTGACTGCAACCCCTTCAGGCACAGCATAAGTGAGGTGACAATCCATACTTCATTCTTTGTAAGTGTCCATCACTTTCACATCTAGGGGAACATTGTTGGCAGAATACTTGCCGGTCATGACAAAGATTAAGGAGACTACCGATTACATGGAACTTGGTTACGTACACCAACTTTATATTATAGTTGATACACTGTCCGTTCTTCAAGTGTGTGCTCGACTCAAACTTGACTTTCAATTGTTTACCAACAGTGGTGCGCATGTACAAATACTATCCCAACTTTATTGTCTTCTCTGTACACACTTTGCTTACCCTCCTCCCTAAATTCAGAATCCACCCTTCCATGATCTAATCTAATAGGCAACTAAAAAGGAATCAATTCTAATGAAACTCGAGTAAAAAAAATTAATATTTTAATTAGAATATTTACAATCTACCAATAGGTATATATCAAAACTGATCTACTTTACATCATAAACGAGGTGGCACTGTCATAATAGTTCGAAGAAGTTGACCGTATTTTTTTTATCGAATAAAAAAATAAAAATAAAAGCAATCGCTTAATTTTGTTAAAAAACAATTTGCTAATCAAGTTGACTAGTGCTATGTGGTTGATTTTCTCTAGCTTGAGCTGTTGCCCATTCAACAAAATCGTCAATTAGTACGGGCCAAGCACCCTCCTCGTCGTAATTACTCATATCGTCCGAAATTTGTCCGGCAAAATCTAACAGTAAATTCCACGTATCTTTCGGAATGGATCTTTTGTGATGCTCCTAAAATTCCGCTTTAAATATTGTTAGCTCATCGCGATCTTACCAGTAGAAACGTGCACCAAATGTCTAGGAATTTGAATTTTCCTTTCAAAACGATATTCCAGTAAGCTATAGCCATATCGAGGTCTAATCCTTTCTGCCCGGGATTTTTAGCGTAATTAAACGTAAACTGATAAAAATCTTTAAATTTATAACTATCTTTTAATTCACTTTCTAAATTTGATAATCGCGCCTTAAGTTTCTCGACACTATCACAACCTAACTCCGTCATTCCGTTAATAAACTCCTCTTTAGTGAACTCGCATTGCGTAGCAGCCTTAAACTTCCACGCTATTATTAATACTAGTCGTGATTCGGGGGAAAGTCCCAGCTCATCTAGAAATTTCATTATGCCGTCTGCCGTAATTTTATCCACTTCGGATGGATCTTTGTATCGAGTGTAGAGTGACTCGAGCTTCTTTTTGTCGACATTCCTGGGCTCTCGGAAGTACGCCTCGGGATTTTGAAAGTAGTTGTCACTGGCGAGATCTAACTTCCAGTCATTCTGTGTTAAGCAGTAAATTGCTGTGTTCTCCCCAGTTTGCGTAAAAGAGATAAATTTTTTCACCTTTTCTCTTTGCGACGACTTCAATTTATGCTAAAATGAAACGAATTAAAGCAGAGAAAGGTTATAGGATGACAATAATAATAGTGTAGTTTTCTGTCATCTTTTCCAGAATTTTCGAAAAATAGTTAATGAATTTTGAGAATTTGGACTTACCATTGTCAAAAGTGAAGTAATTTACATTAAATTTCTGATCATTTGATTTTAATTTAATAAATTTACAGCCGTATTATATAAAATAACCTACAAAGGTAGCAAAGCAAGAGTGCCACAACCACAGAAAATGAAATCTCTTCGGTTCGGTTACTAAAAAAACAAGAGAAAGTGCTCGAATTGAGAAAGCGCCGCACACTCCGGAATTATGCATTTCCTTGTGTCGAAATGCGGCCTGCTAAAAATTAGAAATAAATGCGGGATTATATTGACTCAGTTGGCTCACACAGGTGAGGTAAGGGTACGTTTCGCCCCCAGCCCGACAGGTATCCACCGCAATGCTATAAAGCATAACAAACTGCATGGTGCTATTGCTAGGTTTTCTGCATCTGGGAGGATTACGTACGGCACTGTACAACTTTCTCTTCGCCAAATCTAAACGTGGAAAATTTATACTCCGCATAGAAGACACAGATCAGACACGTGTGGTAGACGGAGCTCTCGAGCAAATACAAAAAGACTTGAACTGGGCCGGAGTGTACATCGACGAAGGTCCACGTATAGGTGGACTATACGGGCCGTACATTCAGTCTCAAAGATTATCGCTTTATAAGTAGTAATTATGTAAAGTACATTATTCAATTAATGCACCACTCGTGTTTTTAGAGATCAGGTGAACACGCTTTTAGACAATGAGTCCGCATACAGATGCTTCTGCACAAGTAAAAGATTAGATTTATTGAGATTGGAAGCGGCCAGAACTGGACAGATACCAAAGTATGATAACAGATGTCGCCACTTAACGAAAGAACAAGTTCAATCGAAGTTGAATAGTAATATGCCGCACTGTGTTCGATTCAAAGTAAGCTTTTTCTTTTACGAGGTTTGTTTAAAATTCCTTGCGGTAGGTACAGTCGACATTGCCATTGCTAGGTTCGAGTAACTTACCTCTCACAACCTTCTATGATATCTACCCTATTAAAATACATACATAAATACACAAAGCAAAAAAATTAGATAAAGATCTGAAACGTCTTTTAAACGCCATCCAGAATATTATAAGACACTTCACAGATTATGGATTGGTTCTGTGTTTTTTTATATAGGCTTGTTTTGCACAGTCAAGGCTCTAGAAAGTCATATAAACTGTTTTCAGAGTGTTAGAAATGACTCTTCAGCAAGAAACAGTGGAAAACTTCCCAGGAGGTAAAATAAACCCTTCTCCAGAGCGTGGAAATCTTGGAAAGTGGTCTAGAGCGCTTTGAAAAAGGTATGGAAAGCTGTGGGAAGGACTTAAATAGATCTGAAAGACGCAAAAATGGAACTTGGAAAATTCTGGAATAAATTTAAAACTCTCTGATCTACAAAATTAGAGGGTCTATAGACACTATTAATAAGGTGGTGGATTGTTCTGGAAAGCACTGATTACTTATAAGATATTGGAAAGCACTTCCTGGCACTCCTTTAACAGTCGATCTCTCTCTAAGAGAGGGAGGCTCTTTCTAAGCTGTTTTTGATCGACATTTATAGCCATAAGTATTGACTTACCAATAGAAATCAATAGGTCGATTTTTTACCTATCTATTGCTATTCGACATATAGAGACAGGTTTCCATTCCCACTTGGAACCGTGGTTAATCAAAAACAGCAGATTCGTTTTACTGCACCGAACTAACTTACTTGACAAAAAAAATACAGTAGATGAGCGGACCTTTTTTCGAAAATTGGTTTAAAACTAATCTTCCAAATATTCCCGAGAAACCTGTTGTAGTAGTGGGCAATGCGTCTTATTACTACAGGAAGTTCCAAACAATTGTGACAACAAGGCGCAAATAAAGAAGTAGTCGCGTTTCGAAGAAGATTACTTGAAATCCGAGTTGTTGGACGGAGTAACTCAATTTAAATGACATTATGATGGGCATTGGCATATTGTAGACAAAATTGCAAAGGACAAGAATGTTAAGTTGCCACAATTACCTCCATATACCACTATGAACGTACCTGATATATATTTTTGAATTACCATGTATACAGAATTTGTAATACAAATGTTACAGTGGCTCTTTGTATTTTACATTGTTGCCATTTACATGTAACGCTTTTTTTGTTCGCTTTTATGCCATATTTTATGAAGCAGTGGCATTTAAATCAAAGATTACTGTTAAAAGGATGTAAGATTTTGAAGGTGGGCTTCGTGCGTTGTCGTCGTTCCACATTTCCATAATTGTTAAAACTCATGTTCATTGTGACGTCACAGACACGTCGACTCTCACAATAAGGTTAGTTTATTTACATTTCATACATACTTAAACTGAGTTGAGTTTGTGTTTCTCTGAACAATCGCTTATATCGTTTCGCGTAAGCATTTGGGGTAATTTATAGTGCATTAGAACATGCATTCAAATTGAATATTACATTTTGAGAGATTTTTTTAATTTACGATTCGAAAGTTTCATATTGTAACCTATAACGTTTGCATCACAAATCAAGCGGACGATGTATTACCAACATTTCACAAAATTTGTTGATTTAAAAATATAATTCTGGTAACGTATCGATTTTGATCTTTCGGATATTTAACATTGGCGCTTTACCTGATCACCACGTTATTTTTTTACCACATAATACATACAGGTAGGATTTTTATAGGCAAAGCAAAAAAGGTTATTTCATACAACGAGTTAATAACATAGGAGAAATTACTAGAGTGAAGTCACGAATGTTTAACAAAATAAATGTACATAATGTAGGGGAAACCTGGGTAATGGTGGCCATCAGGGTAATGATGGCCCCCCTAAATAAGTAATACCTTCTGTATTTAAATCAGTATAAATGTGGTACGCCATCTTTGAACAGATTGTATAAGTAGCGCTCTTAGTTCCAAGCGTGTCTACCTGCAGGGTAACTGAGTAGTCCGACATTTTCCTAAATTAGTACGTGTCATGTAAGAAAATTGGTGTGTAGCTGTGGTATTGTTTTCGTGTGGCAACGGTTTATATAAGACATTTTTGTGTGAAACTACAGTTCCATATCACCTTGTCGCTGTGCTAAAAGGTATGGAGCCCATATCTTTACACCTGTTTGGACAATAAAGATTATTATTATGATTATTATATCTTAATTCAGGCCTGTAGCCAGGGGGGTGCCAGAGGGTGCCTGGCACCCTCTGATCGATCACGAACAATAGTGCTATTTTTGTACATTATCAATTAATTATCACAAATATACAATATCATTGTTGTTCATAATTATTACAATAAAAATGATTATTCTTGATATAATACCTACATACTACATTTTGTAGTATGAGTACAATAATGGTTATTAGAATTATGCAATTTGATTCAAAAGTAACAAGTTTAAATAACTCAGATTCAGATATCTGAAATCTGAAGTTATGGACATTCTAGCTCTAGGCTTGTTTCTTGCTTGACAAGTTGGCAACATCGCTGATTACATTCGAAAAGGAAAAAACTAAAAATATAGACATGAACACACTTCTAAGAGAATTTCATAATGCCAAAGAGAGAAGGTTGCAACTATTTTAATGAATATATTCCAGCTTTTTTCTATTGTTATAAATAAATTGTATTAGATAAACTAAATTTTTATCTAATATTTTTATGTATGCTTAAATATTTATTCGATTGACTTACTTTTTGTTTATTTTATGTTACATCTTTTGTTTTTTTTAATATATAATATATATTGGATAAAATTAGTTTTTTTTAATATATTTTTTGCTTTTTTGACAAACAAGTCTCTCGAGACTTCATTTTTGTAAACAACCCTCCAACATTTCGTTTGCACCCTTACAATTTTCGTTCTAGCTACGGCCTTGTCTTAATTTACATTTTTTATTATTGTAATTACAAATGTATGCATTTTGGGGTTATAGGAGCCACCAAGTTTGGGGAAATGGTGGCCCGCCCCAATTACCCCGATTTTTTAATAAAAAAGAAGATGATTTATTTTTTAAAAATTTAGATGAATTAATGACGAAATACAAGTTTAAAGAATTCCGAATTTTTAATACTGACGAGAAAGGGCTAAAACAAGTGGGATTTGCAACTAGCTGGGAGAGAGGGAGAAATATTACAGCAATTTGTGCCTTCAGCGCAGGTGGAGTTTATGTACCGCCAATGTTTATATTTGCCAGGGAAAGAATGTCGCCACTGCTTGAAAGGGGAGGCCCTCCAGGTTCATTTTATTCTTGTAGTAAAAAAGGGTGGATTACAGAAGAATTACTCCTACAGTACCTAAAGAATTTTCAACAGTTCGTTAAAGCTAGCAAAGATGATCCTGTTTTGTTGATTATGGACAATCATTCCACTCTCGGCGCTTATCAATTCTGCAAAGAAAATGGAATTGCTCTTCTAACCATCCCTCCACACACGTCACATCGTCTTCAATCACTTGACGTAACCTTTTATTCTTCCCTTAAATCAGCGTTTAATGTAGAATGCTGCAAATACCTTAAAAATCATCCTCACGAGAAAATAACTCCTTTCCCAATTGCTGATATTTAATGCCGCCTATATGAGAACTGCAACTGCGGAAAAAGCAATTAAGGGCTTTGAAAAAACGGGTATATGCCCTTTTAACTCAGATGTTTTTTCTGAAGAAGATTTCCTTGCAGCAGAGTTATATAATGCAGAAAACGAAGTAGCGTCATCCAACGTCTTGCAAGATTCTAACAATACAGGCACAGTAAGACCTGAACCAGAGGCAGAAGTTAATAGTTCAAACATCAAAGTGGCAATATGAGTTTTATGGAAATTCCATGCACGTCCTAGTACATCTGGTACAAATGGAAAAAGAAAAAGTACTAAACAACATTCTCAAATAGTTACATCGACACCAAACAAAGATGTCTTGGAGGAGAAAGAAAAGAAGAAAGTTAAACGAAACATTGCAACAACACCCACATATAAAAGAAAAGTTTTTGGCGCTGTTAATGCTGAAATGCGTGGTGAACCGTCTAACGTACCTTAAAAAAGAATAGCCAGAAAAGTTGCTCCAAAAAATTTAAGCAAGGCTCATCCAACGATGAAAATGACTATGAAGTAAACGATGAAACTGTGCCTGGTAAAGACATATGCCTAGTTTGCGGTGAATTTGGGAACAATAGGGAGTTATGGATCCGATGCGTTATGTACCAAACTTGGGCACATTAAGCGTGCACGAATTTTGTAAAATGAGAGTTTATTTGTGATTATTGTTGCTAGGTAGGGTAATGGCCGCCTGTTCCAATTACCCCTATTAGCTGGGGTAATTGTGGTCATTTACATTTCTTTTAAAAAATCGTCTTTGTTTTTGTATTTTTTTCAAATTTTTTAAATAAAAATAGTATTTCTATATCCATTTTATACTTTCTGCAGGATTTTAGCTTTTTGCGATTTAAAACATTATTGATAGGCATTAAAATGCTTACGGGACCCCCACTCCCCCTACTTCCCCTACAACTTAGCTTAATATATTTGTTCCATGTGCTTCATTGACTTTACGCATAATTCACCTAAATTACTTTCAGTTGACACCTGGTCTTCAGACGTTCGAAGATTTGATATATGGCACTATCACATATGACGTGGTGTTAAATGAGGGAGATCCCGTCATTTTTAAGTCTGACGGTTTTCCCACATACCATTTCGCAAATGTCGTCGATGATCATTTTATGAAAATATCGCACGTGCTCAGAGGCGTCGAATGGCAAATTTCAACCACGAAACACATTATGATGTATAGGTAAATTTGTATATACATAGGAGGCGTTTAACGCACTCTGGATGATTGTAGAGCGTTTAACTGGGATCCTCCCATGTACGGTCATCTGCCACTACTAATGAATTCCGATGGAACTAAGTTGAGCAAAAGGCAAGGCGATATTCAAATAAAATACTACAGAGACAACGGCATTTTGCCGCAAGCTCTTAATAATTTGATAACTCATTCCGGTGGTGGTTTTGATAAGGATCTCGAACGCGGTTTGAAGCCAAGAATTTACACGATGGATGAGTTGGCAGATCAGGTAATGTATTGAACGATTTAGTTGGCATCAACCATGTTTTTTTTAGTTTGATTTAAAGAACATTAATTCACACTCGGGCAAAGTAATGTCAGAGCGACTGTTGGAATTTAATGGACTTGAATTGGACAGACAAATACATTGTGATGCTGACTTAAAAATTTTAGTAGCAAAAGTACAAAACATAATTAGGGAGAAGTTTCCTGATAGGTAAGAGGATCTTCATTTACAATAATGATCATGGCGTTGGTCTCAACTGTGCTTGCTCGGTGGCCCAATTTAACCCCATAGATCAACTCTGTTGCACTTTATAATAATATTGATAGGCATAATAAAATTTTGAAAAGGGTTTTAGACAACTCCGTAAAATTGGATGAACAGTATATCAAGTCGGTCTTATCTTGGACTAGAGCTAGAATAAATCGATTGAACGATTTAGTATCTAACGAATTGGCATTCTTGTGGATACCACCAGCCGAGAATCGAGCCAAACAAGAACATGTGCGCCTAATCAAAAATGTAATCGAAAAACTTGAAGAACAAGAAAGTTTAACGAAAGACAGCCTAAAGTTATTGTTCAAGGAAATATGTTCGCAAAATAACATCAAATTTAGTGCCTTCATGCAGATGTTGCGTTCCGCCTTGAGTGGGTTAAAGGTGCAGCTATCAGTAAGGTTAATTGATTATTGAAATTATTTTATTGCAGGAAGGTCCCAGTGTGGGAGAAATGATCGAAATATTAGGAAAAGGGAATACAATGTTACGTTTGCAAACTTATATTAAAGAATGTGATGAATAGGTCATTAATAAATGCGAACTTTTTATATGACACTGGAACATTTACTAAAATGATAAAGATAAAAAAAACGTTAAGGACTGTTCACAAAGTGGGAGCGGCGAGCGTCGCGACGCGATTGATGGTTCATAGTAAAGGCGTCTCACATCGCGATTTAATGCGGCGTTGGTCGCTCCCATCCTAAATGCTTGCGCTTGATTAAGAGATATTATGCCTATGCCATTGTAACTCAAAAGCCGTACAAAGTAGAGAAAATGAAGTGCACTTCTGGAAAGGGCGAAGTTTAACTCGAGATATTCGCTGCTACTGTGTTCTTCATATTTTGGAACAGCCACCAATCATAATTTTTTTGGGGATTGATAAAGAGTGCATTGTACGGTTATTGACAAAAGTAATGATCGTCTAATAGGTAAACTCAGTAACATAAGCAACCAACATGCCTATCACATGGGGCTCCATCGGATTCTTCGAGGAGGAGATGACATGTTGGTTCGCATTTCCAAGTTATCATGTGGTATGCGAACATCCTTAATACCAATTTCTGAATCCACCAATCAGGCGCTGAGTTTATTAGAAATGTTCGCATGACGTCGAGCCAGTGACGCTTTTATGTGGATGTTCATTCATCCATCCATTTATAACGCCTATAATGAAGAGCATCATTCTTGGTTCACCGCCTATGGTTCGTAAAACTATATACCCTCTCTGTAACCTTCTAACACAAATGGCATGTGTTATAATGGAAAATATGTGAGTATATTAATAGAAGCGCCAAGTCGATATGTGAATTAACTCATTTTACTGACCTAAAAGACCAATTGCTAATATTGCATAAAATATCCCAATAGTTCCAAAGGTTTCTTTTTTTCCTGATTGATGAGTATGTGTTTCATAATGTACCTACCGTTACATGAATCATGTTTGTTTGTTATACTATGCAGGTTGTTATGCCTTTATTAAATATTTATTTATGCATTCATGTGAAAGTGTATTATAAGTCTGATATTGCTCTGTACGATTCGACTAATTCTTTCTTCTGTAAGGGGAGTACCCCATACAGTCCAATTTTTTACTGTATAAGCTGCTGCTTTGTCTCGTGCCCGTTGACGGATGGTGTGTGAGCAATACAAGAAGGAGAGCCTACTAATTAACATTTCTTCAGTTTCTGACGTAATAACTTTGCTTTTAACGTTGTGGTAACATACCCGTACAATTAGGCAGCAGACTTCACATTCCAAAGAATCACAGTGGGAAAAATTCGTTCTGCGCAGGTGCCAAAAAAATTTTTTCGCAACGAAGCTTGGTCACTTGGTGTGACAAAATTGGAGTCAGCTAACGGGCGTTTCCGGGTTCTCAATATTTATTTTGTTGTCTTGTTTGACAAGGGTATTTTATTCTTTCTTGTACTAACTATATTAACGATTGCATTTCATGTGTCAATTTGTTATTATTACATTATGCATAAAATACTGCGTCGTATGTTTGTTTGTTATAGTGTCGTAAACTGTGTAGGTGTGTGATGGCATACCCCTACAGATATGCAACACACATTACAACGAAAGCGTCGTTGCGACCACTGGCTACTCAGCCTTGTTGTAAAGCAGATGTCTGCCTAAACCGGTTTTTTTTGTGCTTTTTGTATTTAAGTGTTCTATATTTTTCCAAGCGTTATCAAGGTAGTACTCGCATTAATTTTTTGTTGTATTTATTTTATTTCGTGTCTTACTTTGTTACGATTCCAACTTTAGATTTGATACCTGTTAATTGAAGGCATGGCGTGGGTTACCGTCGTTTTTTTACCGTTAGGTAAGTCATGTTTTAGCTTGCCTTCAATGTGTACATGCTTATGCCGACAAATGTTATACGAGATTATCAGTATAGTGTTATCCTGTATGTTTCGATTAATTATTTATTTCCGTGGAAAAAGAACCTCACAGCTGGATTCTTAGCAGTATATGTTTCTTTCTCATCTCGTGGGGACCGCAGTTCTTGGCGCCTAGGCAATACAAGAAGGGTGATTAACCCTTCTTCCGTTTAAAATGCGGAATTGTATATGTGATGGTCTACTTTAGCTTGAATACCTACTGCTGGCATTCTCACTTACATTTTTTTGTGTATTAAAGTAATGATGGACGATGCCGGAACAAAGTCATTCTCATTTTGATATTCATTAAATACATGCAATTTATCATTTTACGAGTTGCCTAAATTGAACCGTAGATGCGTTTTATACTCAAATGATTTATCTTGTTTTCCATTTGTAGTTACGATATCATTTTGATCTCGTTTGATTAATTTGTTAAACCACATTTAATAATAATAATAATAAATGTCTTTAATAAGTACCTATCTAGGTTAATTAATTGCATATAAATGTGCGATTCTCTGATTTTCGTTGTACGATTTGAGATATTTTGCATTTTTATATTTCTGTTGGTACCATAATTGATTTATTTCTTGTATTTGTGTGTGTTATGTCAGGTTTTTTTACTGGTTCTTTTTTCCTGGATATTCGATTTGGATTTGCTATTTCTCTGTATGAGTGGTACTACCTCCTCGAAGGAAATGTCTAATACAGCCCGCAGATCTTGCATCTTAGCAATACGAGAAGGGGGTCCGCTAATTTAGATTTCTTCATTTCACTTTTAAGGTTGGCCCACTAGATCAAAAGTAAGTATACTCTACATCTGTGCTCAGCATCAACATTCCAAAGACTTACTATTGTTTGTGGCAGTTTATACTATACCTCTTAATATAATCAAAATATAGCAAATACTATACTCTTGCGTCTAAAATTAATAGAAAGTCGACTTGTCTTATGTCGATTGAAAAATTAATATTTATGAAAGATTATAGCTTGAATATCTGGCTGAAGTAAGAAAAATTACGATACTTTGATATATTAAGACTAACAGTGGAGGGCAGGGGGACATTTATCACAATGTAATTATTATTGTGTAATGTGCGTGCAGTCCATTCTAGGTAGGTGATATTCAAAATAGGTACACGGAAAACCTTCAATAGGTCACATTTTTTAGGGAAAATGTATTGTAATAAAATGTGTATTCTTAATTTTTGGCACTTCCGGTTTACTGAATAACTGAATAATGCAGGTAAATTTAACTCAAATGCAATGTGTATCCCTGGTATACTTCTTCCTTCATATCTCGATGACTGACGTAGAGAATGTCGATGTGTTTTATGTAATCACCCTTTTATCTCCACTATCACCCTTCGCAGTATGGACTCTAGATGACTCATTATGATTATTTGAGAAAGCTCCTTTTCGCTGAAACTATTCCTGCCTCACCAATACTCCAGTATGGTTAGATCAATCCTATGCAAAACAGAATGAGCCTCGTACTATCTGCAGCGTCGCAATTTACATGGTATGTACTTGGAAACCGATCTGATAAGGCTATCAGTCATTTGTACATACAATGAGTACCTACCTAAATTCTGAATTAGTTTCAATTGCACCTTGATAGATAAAATATCTGTCGGTTAACATGGCGGTATGTTAGAATTATAGTAATTAGGTTATTTCTATCACATGTTTTAGACAGAAAACCTGATTCTGGGAGTGGATTATTTTAAAACTGGGTCTGGTATATCGAAAATCGTGGAAGAGGTTCGTATGGGCTTACTATGGGATATTGTAGTGCGAGTCCTATACGCGCACCCGATTATTGTGTCAGTATCTCAAGTTGGAATTTATTTTTTAAATGATATCAAGGTGTGGGTTCATGGGTTGGTACATATAGATTAGTGAAATTGGTCACTATTGTACTATTCTTGTCAACAAAACGAGGGCACGCACTTGTGTTGTAACCCTATAAGGCAATAACGAATGTGAATCAGCTTAGAGATCTGAAATAGACTGACAAAACGTTGGGTTTGATGCTAGTACAGACGACTTTAAGTTTGTTTTTGTTTTAGGTAGCCAACTTCTTCGCAATTGTATGTGTAGCAGTCGGCGGGGCAAGTCCTACCGGGGATGCATTTCTAGTGTGCGCCTTCTTTGCTTTTATATCGTCTGCGGCACTCCTTATACTTTATGTTACACAGCTTGCCGCCAGATTTGATATTCCCTGGTACAAAGTCGAATTCGGTTTATGTATACTGTGGATCGTATTTTATATTATAGTATCATCTCTGACACTTATTATATGGACGCCCGCGTACACTGCTGGTGCGGTACGTATTTTTGTATGTGTCCAGGATGGTTATTGACTTTGGAACTATTTCAGATATTTGGTTTTTTTGCAGTTTTCACGTATGGAGCGGATGCATTTCTTAAAGTGAAGGCCACATACTTTACGTAACTAAATTATAATTATTTCTGATTTAATAAAACGTTGTAAATATAATATGCGGTGTTCAAATTCATACGGGACTGAAACTATTTATCATCAAACGTTTGGATATTCAATATGCATCAGTATATAACCACAGCTGATATACGCATATCTGTGATGTAGCCCAGCATTGGATTTACGTAGTGGTAGCTAATGACACTCTCCTCTGACAACATTGCAGAAAGAATTTATTGAATCACACTTTTCTCAATAATTGCGACAACAGCTGATGCTTCTGTCTTCTGCATACTTCTATACGCTGTGATATTTACCTTCATTGCAATCGACAGAAGTAACGTGCTGTGCGCCAACCAGTTAACGCGAAATCGTCTGGGAAGTGATGACACGCGTCGGTCTAGGGCTTTAGTGTGGTCTTCTGACTCGCCTGGTTATTGGTCGCAACGATGGGATTCTTGTATGCCCAATAATGGATTTTTTCGTCTTTAAGATATGACTACATTCTGAGGATATCGAAGGCGGGAGCTACTCCATAGCATGGTCCATTCAGGGTGAAAGACTGATTGGAGGATCCCGTATTGAGTAAGTGGCTAGGGGCTGTTGGGCACAGTTCCAGCGTAGGTTCCAATCCCGGAACTGAGGAATTGTTGAGTTATCCGGTAAGGTAAGCTTTGGAAGCAGGAGAGACTGCACTGCTCAATTGCTGGGATGCAAATTGAGGTTGATGCAGTTGTAGAGGAGTTTTGGTGGTTCAAGGCCTGGGTAAATGCACGGACGAGCTCCTACGGGTCCACAACTTGTAAGAGTTGAGGAGGAATTACTTATGAATTTTGTGCATGTGGGCGTGGCCGTGGGTTGTGTTGCGTGCGTCGCCTGTGTCTCAATGCGCGCACCTCCTAAAGGACATTACAAGATCTTCTACAAACACTTCTCGTAACAATAACCTTAAGACATTCATACAAAATTTCAGCCAATAGGCACACCTAATGAATGAAACATTTGCGTCATTGTTGAAAAAATGTTTGTACGCCTAACAAATCCCCAAACAACAAAACGCGCAGTTGGAGTTGGTAGAAATGGAATTGCAAATCGGTGAGAGCCTCCTCTTGAAACAAACTACACACAATCGACATTTTTAAAAGAGCAAGTAAGTGAAAAGTTAACAGGTGGTACATTTTATTGTTAGGAACATACAGATAAACATTTAGACAAAAACAATTGTCATTTAAAACTTTTATACAATTAAATAAACATTTTCTTGTCTAGTATCTACTTGAAATGTGTACACTATTAATTAAATATGGGGGTAGGTAGGTGTTGAAGAACGAAGGTAAAAAATCTCATATCCAAGCTCACAATCTTAAATCCCACTGCTGAATAGTTCATTTGATTTAGCAAACTTTTAAATTGTTAAAAAAATGAATCTAAAAAGTAGACCTAAAAATTAATTTTCCCAGAGTAATACTGTGTAGCTAATATGAATGTTTTTTAAAACTCCAGTTACCCATCACTACCATATGTCCACATTGCGCGGCTAGTATTTTCCCTAATTATTTTTTGATTTATTGACTGCTGCTATAATTGCTTACAAATTGTAATATGACATTACAATTATAAAATGATTCACATATAAACAGGTATGTTAAACCTACTCTAGTTGATATTGTCATTGATAATTGTAAATTTCCTATCTAACAATTTCATCAGTTTTGCCATTATTATCGATCATTAGCTCAAATGCGTACACCTTTTGCTAGAAACATTGATTTCTTGGTATACACAACGTACATTGTAAATAAAAAGTTTTGAGCAATATTGTACGGAAAGTAATAAGTAGTACCTTGTCGGTTGAAATAATAGTTACTTACAGCTTACTTCAGCTTGTGCTATCCACTTTATTCCTGTTATTGCAGTCAAACATTTAATAATACCATAAACTTTTAAAATATGACAATTTCGCTTAAATATACTCTATCCTCTAAAACTAGTCTTTGTTAATACATATATCAAACAACAAAAATTCGTTTAGCAAAAGAAGACGTAAAATTTGGACTGGAAGCGAAATACTTTTATGAACAGTCTATTAAAAATTATAGTTCTAAAACGAACTCATCAACATTATTAAAATCAATTGACAGTAAGCTAATCACTTAAAAATAGAAGCACCAATTTACAATTAATTAAAAATCAAATTCTCTAGACACGCGAATTTGAAAATGAGTTACTTTCTGCCCAGTAACATCTCGGCGACACCTAAGTAATAAACTGTTTGTGCAATTCCAAACAAAGGCGCAATTACGATCATTCTGCAAGCGCCACCTTTGAAAAACGCTTTTGGTCCTTCGTGCCGCATAATTTTTCTGAAATGAACTATATGAAAAATCACAGAGTTTTGAGTATGTACTTACATAAAGGCGTCCGCAATTCCTGTGTACGACATTTCTCCCTTCGCTTTTGTAAGGGCTTGAAGTCTAGTTTTCACAACATCGGCAGGATTTACAACCAGCGCCGCAGTGGAACCGGCGACGAGTCCCGACAAAAAGCTACACCAAAACACGGCCTCACCTGCAATGATTCGTTAGGCGAGCAAAATTTGGTAGAAAAAAAGTACCTGATCCATCAGACTTCCTAGGTCCGAGGTCATTTAACGTTGCGAATAACGGAAAGTAGACAATTGAAAACGAGACGTCCCTTAGCATTGTCGCACCTGTACCTTTATATAAACCTAATATTCCCTTCTCCTTGAATAACCCTAACGCTATCTTCGTTGCTGATGTCTTCGGTATAATCTTCCCCTCTGAGACAATTTAGATTACTTTCCGGTAGTTATAAACGTCGACCAACCTGCTTTAGCCGCCGCCGCAACGCGCCCCGCGTCTTGCATCTGAATTTTTAGTAACTCCATAGGTGTGGTTATAACTATCTGACAGAAGCCAGCTAAACCTCCAGCTAACATTTGTTTAACCATGGGTATTGGCCTGAAATGCCAAGTCTCAATTACCACACGATGAGTAGTGTTTAAGACACTTACCCTCCGCTTGGATGTAAGTGATACCTAAAGAAGTCATTGGCTGCCAATTTAATTGCCTTCTCCGGCGTAATCAGAAGAATATTTACTCCGGATCCCCTGTACATTCCAAAGTAACCCTCTGCTCTGTAGGTTTTGCGAAAGCAATCGAGCCTGTAATTTGATAACGTTAGGATAGAATTCTGACGTATACCACCAAGTTGACTCCCAACTAATTCCATTCAAACCAACATTATACCATAAGTACCTACCCTCAATGTAGGTAGGTACTCCGCGTTAGTTTGAATGAGATGGTTTTTACAAATCTTAACTGTTGCTCTCGGTTGAATTCTATGGGGTTCAACAACCATTGTACCTTCAATGTAGCGGACTTTTCATTGTACCCCCTTACCTTAAGAGATATGGTTTTCAGCGGGGGTCAATTTAACCGCCGCTTTCGATTTAATTCCGTGAGATTCAACAACCATTATACCATGGAGCAATTTTTCTGTACTTTAGTTTTTATTATAGCCCGCTGGTTTAAAAGATAACATACGTGCAGAAATCAGAGGCCACCTTGATTGTTATAATACTGGCTTATTTGTTAGTTGTACTATCTTCACAGTACTGTACCCGTGTGGCGCAGTTCAGTTAAAACTGAACTGTGGTGCTAAGGGTCCCTGGTTCGGGCATGGATATTTGTAGATGTATAGTGGGGTTGGGTTGGTATAGCAGCCTTGGCTGAAACCCCGCTTACTCAAAAATAAAGGCAAAACAGAAATTTTTAAAAAAACCTTGCTCTTCCCCTGAATTCTACGAAGTTCAGGCACCATTTCTTAGAGTACATTCAACACAATGTATCACCTTTAATTTCCAATAGAAATAGGGTTATTGTAAAAATAGATACCAATCACAATTAGAGTTCATAACGCGTCGCTAGCCTTACTTACGCCGAAATAACGCGCACGTCTTGGTAAAACACGTTGATCTTTTAATAGCGATGAGAACACGTGCGATAATTAAATTTGGTCCGACAAAAACCCCTTATCGCAAACGACCAGATGTGCCTACATTCATTTAACACGCAATTTCACGTTTTACAAATGTAAATAAACAATTTAAGTATAAAAGCGATAAAATTTAAACAATAAAATAATACGCAATTACAAACATTTTAAAAGGAAAAATAGGCATTGAGACAACAAATTCAAATACAATAAACCATCTTTGTTCTTATTTCGTAAATAATCTACCAGATTAAGTCAACGAATTGAAATATTCTCATACCTACTCAAGAGCGTCGCGCCATTATTTTTGGCGTTTAGACTGAAACAACGTCTACATGACGTTGTTTACACAACAATACTTAGTACAAAGTTGGTGTCAGTCTTAATTGTAATGTTTCCATGGGTTTAAAAATTCGAGTGTTGTGATAGTCTGACAGCTGTTGGTGTCTAAGCTCCCTAAAACACATTAGGCGTGTAATGAAAAAATTCGTATATATCACGTAGGTACTTATATCTTCGAAACGGTTGACAATAAACATATAGTTCATTAGCATTTTTGTCTTCAAATAACCTCTACTCTAATTTCCCAAAAATTGCCATTGTAACGAATTGTTACAAACTTTCCCTTTCTCCGACTGGTTGATGAAAATTGGGTGTGATTCTTATGATGTAGTTACATTAATATGCCTCTGCTGCTCGTCGGGTAGTAACCCTCTTCTGGCCTCAAGGATAAGGGGTAAGGGAATAAATAAAAAATCAAATATCTTTATTCAAGGGTAACGGTTGTTATTTTCTTTAAGATATCGCCTTTACTGTGAGATACCACATTTTAGTAAGTGGGGATGAGGCGAAACGATTGCGGAAAAGGTAAATGGTTAAAAACACGAGTTTAAGATAACGCGGAAGTAGGTAGTTAAACTTATTCTTACATTAATGTGTATACAGGGTGATATCGTAAACCGTAAGATACAAAGTCGCTTAAATGGCCAAAGAATTGCAGAATGATATGTAGATTAAGTTTCCCTTTCAGAGTGTCTTGTAGCTTTACAAACAGCGAAGTGATGGTCAAAAAACCGAAAGATGTCATTTTCGGAAATGCGCTGGCGTTCATTTATTTTCAAAGATATCAACAAATTGATTGAGCGCTTTAACACTATTGATGTCAAATTCTTGGAACCCAATTGTCCTTACAAACCAAAACGTATTCTTCATCTCGCCAGCCTCAAAAACTGATACAGAACCGACGAAGTTCTTAGTCCGCATGCTCATCTGACATTACAAAACTGAAAATGTCAAATTTCGTATTCGACTTAAACGTTCGGAAATGCACGGTTTCCGTAAGCACCTTTTAGGGTCACTTTTTTTCGTAGAATCTGAATCTGTTATTAGAATTTCAATAACCCCTAATGGAGCACGCAAGTTATTATCATTATTTAAAAAATCGGGGAACCATTTCCTAACAAAACAGAGATTCGATGCATTAAAATCTCAAAATCTCTCCTTTATGGTGTAAAAACCTGTAACCTTGAAACCCTGATATATGAGGTGTTTGCTCACTATAAAGTGAATGATGGCAATAGATCAAGGTCATTCAAAACAGCTAAAATTCGGGGACGCCATCCCGTATTATTAGAAACAATAAATTTAACATCTAAAAATAAAGCTAGAGCCGCTTTTGCCAAAATTTCACTTTTAATCAAATGTAAGTACCTACGCTATTTATCACATCACTTACATAATGTGATTCTTTTTTGCGTAATTTTTGTTTTTCTACTGAATTATTCATCTAATGTACAATATAATATGAAACTCATTTCATCTTAATGACTAACTTAATGTATTTGTTTTAAATTAGACGAGAAACTTTTTTATTTGAGCATTACAGACGATTGATATTAATTTAAGATTTTCCTCAATTTAATAATTGAAAAATGACGTCGTTGTCTAGTAAATTATTTATTAACGATCGTGACGATATAAACCAGACTGTGATTTAATTTTGGTAAGAAACTTACATGGAAGCATACATACGTTCTCCATTTGGACCAATCTGTTGATTTTGCAGTCTGGTTTTAACGAGATCCAGTGGAAAGACAACCGATACGCCGATAATTCCCGCAATACCTCCATTAATGATTTTTGGCAACAATCTGAAAGTAATGGTGAGATTTACAAAATTAGGAATTGAGGTCAGAATACAAATGTATTATTTACAACCGTATCGATTGAGACTGTGAGTGTAATTTGCATACGTATAGGTGGTAGGTAAAGGTACTTACGCAAATTGGGGTTGTTTGGCATCCCCCATTTGGGTGAGTGGACGTTTGAGTAACACTGAAAAAGAATGCGTGAATTAATACAAGACATTGTTAAATATCGTCGGTTTTAGATAAAATTTTTATTAGAAGAAAAAGATGAATGAGGATTGGCTTTTGGATGAAGCTTATTACATTCAAAAGTAGCAAGTAGCTGCAGAAAAGATCTACCTATATCGGTACCATTCTTAAAGTTCATTCTAACTTTTTAAGTAGGTACTTCATTTTTTATCACGTCTTTTTCACGTTAAGTGGGTAATATGTGTAACTGCAGAGACATATGGTCATGTTCTTTTAGATTGAGAGTAACGTCATTAATGTCAAATAGCGCCATCTACAACACAAAACCTGACAATCTTTCTCCTTTTCGCGGACTAATATCCCTCGAAGTTATAGAAAAATTTATGATTGCAAAATTGGTTCAAAATCGGGTCCGGTTGCCTCTACGAAAAAGTGGAAGTAGGATATTTCTATTTCTATCTAGTTTCGTGGCTCTAGTGGACTACTTTAAGCACCCTATTGGCGCCACTCTTGACTCTGATATAGCCATCCGCATTCAGAAAAACCAATGAGAATCAAACTATCAGCGCCTTTGAAGAAAAATCTTTTCAAACATTTGATTTGTGAACAGTGTAATTGCACTACTCACGATAAGCATAACTTAAAGCGACATATTCCCATAGGATGTTACGTGCACCCTGTGCGATAAGGTATGTCACAAATAGTATGAAAAATTTGAATTGTCATTTATTAAAGCACGACACATCGAGAAGTACCGATTGTTTAATTTCTGGTCAGTGTAAATTATGCCACGAATAGTAAAACTGTTTTGAAGCATAATCGACGTAAGGGAATGTCGGAGAGTTGTAAAGTGGTATGAGTGCGCTAGAAATTGAATGATAAATTGTGATTTTTATTTGTTTAGAAAATTAAGTTAATTGTGTGTTAATTCAAGACAGACTCGAGTTCTACCTTTCAGGTAGGATAGCACATTTTCAAGTCCTAAAAACGTGTGACTTCTGAATACGGCCCTGCCTGTTTAAATGCGTATGGTAACTTAAGATGCCAAGAAGTCGTGGTTGATGACGAGATTAGCTACAATTGCAAGATGCAAGGGTCACATCCGTCGTCATCAAGCTTGGTAAGTAGCCTGTGAATTGCTGATTCAGCGCGTTGATGTCAATGGTTCTGATTGGATGGACAAATTAGTCTTTATTGGTGGAAAGTGTTGTATGTCTCAGAATGGAAAAGGTAAGTAGTGGGAATTTGGTATAATTGCGGAGAAGTGCAAATAACAAGTACCTTTAAATCAAACGCGAAAAAAGTCCAGAATTAAAGTTTTAGTAACCTTCACTTAAATTTCCGGTTTAGAAACTCTCGCCCTAAATGCGAATAATAGTGAAAATTTTACCCCATAAAAGTTAATTAACGGCATGACCTTCAATACCGTTTATTTACGAGGCACTATTACGATAAATGCGAACAATAGCGTAAATTTTTAAACACGCGGAAATAAATCATCGTAATATTCTAAAGGCAAATGGACTAACCGTCTGCAGTGGTCGATTTGCACGCAAAATCTTTTTAATGCGAGTTCCGTCATTTTGCATCGATCGACATTTTTCAAGATATTGAGTTCGTTCTTTTTGAATTCGGTAGCTAATAGCTCTGGCACCTCAACCAAGAAAAATCAAGATTAATGTGCGCTTCTAGTAAAGACAAGCGTATCGCATATTGTAAAAATCAGACATGCGCAAACGGCGCAATGCGAACTTTACAAATATCGATGTCCGCACCCAGATTCCAACCACGGACCGCAGTCAAGTTTCCACTCCACTGCGCAACTGAGAGCATTCTTCCATTTTAAGCGATTTTAGAAACCAGCCGTATCTGAAATTAATAAGTGAAGAAGTCCTTAGTCCCGGGCATCCCAACCCACTAACCACTTGACAAGCAAGCGTCAATGTATGTCAATTATCTTTTGGATTGCCATAGAGCAGGAGTCGGCAACCTATTGAAACGGAAGAGCCAAAAGTTACAATTTGCAAAATTTCCCAGTTTTTAAAGAGCAACTAACAATTTTCGAATCAATACTATAGTATTTGGTCATATACAGGATCCTGCAACAGTGCGTCCGTCTTTCCTAGATTATACCTGGTAAAAAAGATTTTAAAAAATCTTGTGTGCAAATGTCAACTATAGATGGTTGCGGATCTACAGAAATGTACAGGGTGTCCCATTTTTACGGTGTCAATATAAATGATTTTTTTTATATTGGCCACCTTTTCTTCGTGGTCAGGTATAAAATCAGGGTCAAGGTCAACGATCGTACAATATCACGATATTTTCAGCTTCCTGGCTTGAGCTAAGGAGGTATTGCGATGACCGTTTTTTGGAAATGTCAAAATTTCATTAAATGGCCAGTTTTTTTGATCATTTTAAGCAACTTTTAATGAATACAATTTTTTCCATCTGTATAGTCATATAGGTAGTGTATGTACGTAATTTTCTGTTGCTCAACGGATTTTGTACAAATTTTGGATATGTATATTAAGCATACGGAAAGGAAAAATAACGGGATTTTTGGAAAAAAATTTAGAGCGCCGCAACGGCATCAAACTTTTTTTTATCCAATAGCAACTCAACATTTTTATCTCGTTTTTTATTAAGATATTCAAAAGACCTTATTATTCCGTGTACAACCTACAAACATTGTGCCAGGTTTTATTACAAAAAAACGGAGAAAAAAATGTCAAAGTTAACAAACTGAACATTCTTATATTCCGGATTTCTGGATATCCTATAGTAAATCATTTCGGGCCATTTGGGGGCTGTTCAAAAAATTTTCGTTCCTCAACTATTCACATTGACCGGTTATTATAAATAATCGCCGCATTAATTACTTTGACATTGTGGTACCAATTTGAACGAAATCTGCGGCCTCCGAGGCAGCCTCAGATCTGTGAATTCTGTGATTAATGCATGGAACCTACGGATGGGCAGACGGACAGACATACACACATTCATTAATATTTCAAAAAGGAAAACTGAAAAGTAACAATAACAAGTTGGCAAGAGTAAATGACTAGGTACAATAAAAGATAAATTTGATGTTAACCTTCGCGACGCACAATATTTAATATTAATGCGGGCACATTAGGCTCAATAAAACGCAACCAGTAGTATCAATTTAAATGAAAAACCAGCAGAAGTAAAATTAGAGGTTAGGCACAAACAAATATTGATTACACATAGCCGCTCACGAAATACTTACAGAAGTAGTAATATAGTTCCTAGAAAACAGATGGGAAGCACGTGTCCTATAATTCACAGCGAGGCTACCGCTACCTGTTAAATCAGTATAATCACGATATCTCTTAACAAGAACACTTGGTAGATACTAAACCACAGATAATGTGTAAAAGTCCAATGTAAAAGGGGGAACTCCGATGACGGAGATCCCTGATTGGACGAAATTCTACAGGAATTACATAACCGGGATCCTACCATAATATAAATAACCATATTTGTCTCTCTATGCGCCTGATACGTCTGCAACACATTTGTCGAAACTGCTAGAAGTGTTGCCAATGCCACTTAAAGCCAACTACAGACGTCGCGTTTATCGCATTCACAATAAATATCATAGTGTTAAAAATAGTTATTTTTGGTATTTACTCTTACTCTGGAGCTCTAGATTTTCATCGGTGCAGCCGTTTAGCTGGAAATGAGCATACAGACAGACCGACCTAATCGAGATTTTGTTTGATTGGGATTCCTGGTGCATCAAAACGCGTATTTTCTTCAAAAAGTGGGGGATCATTCTTTAACCTGATTTTTTACCCACAAGAGTTGCTGTGGAGAGATGTCATTGGTTTTGTTTGAAGTTGTGAAGAATTGTGTGAACCTTATTAAGCGTAATATTAGTCTGTATGTCTCGCCATTAGTCAAATTAATATCAATGCGTCTTATTCTAGTGGAATTTTTTCGTATATTCTCAAAACCGCTCCAAAAACACCTGCTTTTAAAACAGGCGATCGCGTTGAGATCTGAAAGAATATTGCCCAATTTCAATTGTAGTACTGCACCATTGAATAAGGAAGGAATCTGATTAGTAATTAAAAAAGATACATTATAAGTTATAGACTTACCGAATTCATTTTTACCACCCGTACTAGGTTAATAAGGGAGGTAAAACATGAACCCCCGCCCCATTTTTTTTATGGAAATACATGTTTTGAAACACCTGGAAACCAAATTTGGTACACATGTTCTTAAACATAAAAAGGCAAATGCGCGCATGCGCAGGTGGTTTATTTTACTATTTTTTGTAACTTAAACCACTGTCTTATTTTGAGAATGGTCGAAGCCTACAATAGGTACTTACATCGTAAGTAGTTCCAAAAGTTAGAGGAATTAAAGGAAGTATATTTGGACCGCTTCTTTTCATTATAATATACGTCCCGAGATTAAGTTTGCAATAGGTATAATTGACCAAATTGGAATTTCGTATTTTGGTATTCCGCCCTGATTGGTGTGAAACATATTTTTAGTTTACTTTCGATTTTTAAAAATCAAGTAGGCCTTATATGAAAATGATCGGCCTACTTTGATAAAATCCAATATTGGAAACAGCAATAGTAGACGTGGCTTAATAATTACAAAAACAAAAAACATCGATTACATGTCAAGTGTTTATTGTAATATGACGTGCCGTTATCTTTCATATCGTTACAGTAGGGCCATATTTTTGTTATATAGGTACTTAAATATGCTAAGTAGACAATTTCTTCGGTAACGAGTGAGTATCGGCTGTCAATATATTTTCAACACGATGGTTGTCCAGCGCATTATTCACAAATTGTTGTGAATTGGTTAAACCGTCAATTTAGTCACCCTTGAATGGGTAGGAATGCTCCAGTTTTATGGCGCTCTTGTAATTAAAAATTTGATTATTGGGAAGGGGGCTCTTTACACATACACCTTTAAAGGACACATTCAAAATCAAAACCTACGCTATATAATGCAAGAAGAATCAATCCCTTTTAGAGAAATTCTCCGAAATAATGCGTTTTCCTTCCTCCAACATTCGTGTTGTCCTCAGGGTTTAATAAGAAACGTACGCATTCATTTGTTCTAAATTAATGTTATTGATGTAATTATAACATTTTTTTTGAAAATGAGGTTAGATTATCGAAAAAAGAAAAAAATCATACTCTGTGTGTCGGTAAGTAAGTTTTATTTTGTTTTGCTAAAACTTGATATCCATAATTTGTTAATTTTGAAAATAGCCTAGGTATGCAATATAGCAATTTTATTAAAATTACGTGCCAAAATTAATTAATCGATCAAAATCAAAGTCTAATTTCAAAGAAATACTTAAATTAATTCAATCAAATCCGCGGAACCGCCAATGGAATCGATCAACCGGAGCTCGAGTTCGCGAATTATTTCCGCTGATTAAAAGCAATCAAAACGCTAATCAAATTTAAAAAACCACAAATAAATTCACCAATTTTATTTAATTGGACCAAATTATCTAATTAAAATAATAGAAATAATTACAATACTTTTAATTAAGTCCACGAATCAAATTACGGAAATAAATCCACCGATCAATTCTATGGACCAAAATCCATTATACAGGGTGTTTTTTTGGGAGATTTAGTTAAACGTTTCTGAGAAAGTAAAATAGGTAGGTTTTTGAAAATTTGAACTTAGGAGTTACTCTGAAGGCCGAATCGATGTAAAATATTTTCAAAATGGCCGCACTTCCGGAAACACCGGAAGTAGATAGTAACTTCGTTATTTTAAATGGCAATCCCTATTTTTTATTGCATTTTTGGATTCTACGTGAAATTTCAATCCATTTGATACCCATATGTCAGTATCTGCCATTTATGGTTTTTAAGTTATTTTGACTTTAAGAAAAAAAATGGCGGATGCAGACGGTACCTTGATAATTGATTACTTGAAAACGGTTGTAGTCATGGCAACCCATTTTTATCAGTGCATAGAGAATGAATAGGGCTTTATTTTAGTGTACTTAAAAAAAAGTTAAGTTGCGTACAACCGCACCTATGGAGATCCAAATTTAAGAAACTTTAAAGTCTAAAAACTCAGTTTTTTTAAATGGAATGACCATGTTCTTACTATTGCATGAGATAGAGAATCGAAATTGGCATATTTTGATATTACATGTTCCTATAGCTATCTTTAACAGTTTCTGACTTATTCCCATTTTATTGAATTGACCTATTTTTTTCGGATTTACTTTTTAGTAGTCGGCCATGATTTTATAACAATCGAATGTTAAACAAATCTAGTGACACTAATCCGTCACCTACTGTTATAGGTGAACATAGGTTTTTCAAAAATCGAAAAATGACTCGGAGTGGTTTCACCTATTTTGGAATTTAATTGTTATTTATGGTGAAATGGACAGAATCGCGGCACTTGCTTGCCGTACATTCATTCGAACACTGGAACGAAATTGTATCCATTTTGGAAATGTTGTACCCCCAAATGCACTACAAACCGTTGAAGCACAAGTGATACAAAGCTCTACAAGAGAATATTTAAGAGAATGAATTGAATTGCAAATGCAAGATTAACAAAATAAATTCAATGCAAAATATAAAAAACTTCGTTGAAACATTTTTGGTATGGAATTGTTGCTAGAATAGATATCGCTTTACCTTAATTTCCAGACTTATACGTTGTTTAAGAAATTCAGTTGAACGACTCTGTCTAGATTTTTCAAAAATTTTCCGTCCTATATCCTTAACAACAAACTTATTTATTAATGAATTATTTAGACTAGAATCAATGATATTAACGAATCCATTCCTTGATTTGTTTAAAATTCGATTGTTATAAAATCATGGCCAACTACTAAAAAGAAAATGCGAAAAAAAATGCATCAATTCCGGATCAATTCAATGAAATGGGAATAAATCAGAAACTGTTAAAGATAGCTATAGGAACATGTAATATCAAAATATGCCAATTTCGATTCTCTATCTCATGCAATAGTAAGAACATGGTCATTCCATTTAAAAAACTGAGTTTCTAGACTTTAAAGTTTCTTAAATTTGGATCTCCATAGGTGCGGTTGTACGCAACTGAACTTTTTTTAAGTACACTAAAAGAAAGCCCTATTCATTTTCTATGGACTGATAAAAATGGGTTGCCATGACTACAACCGTTTTCAAGTAATCAATTATCAAGGTATACCGTCTGCATCCGCCATTTTTTTTCTTAAAGTCGAAATAACTTAAAAACCATAAATGGCAGATATAGACATATGGGTATCAAAGGGATTGAAATTTCACGTAGAATCCAAAAATGCAATAAAAAATAGGGGTTGCTATTTAAAATAACGAAGTTACTATCTACTTCCGGTGTTTCCGGAAGTGCGGCCATTTTGAAAATATTTTACATCGATTCGGCCTTCAGAGTAACTCCTAAGTTCACATTTTCAAAAACCTACCTATTTTACTTTCCCAGAAACGTTTAACTAAAGCTCCCAAAAAAACACCCTGTGTAATCTCAAAAATCAAAGTGGCAACAAATCTCATAATCCAGCTCGAATTTTCTGAAGATCAATAATCTCATTGCTATAATTATAACAGTCGAGCACGTAACCAAGGTTTTTTTGCTCACGAACGACCTTGCATCACAAAGCAAGGTCAGTCCTTAATTACGTAAGCGAGAAACCCCAGGCCACGAACTTGCACCATAAACAAGGTCACTCCTTAGTTCCTTAGGCCTCTGGTCTTCTCTCCCTCTAATGTATTTACCGAGGTAGGTATTTACGTAACAACGTAACCGTCCTATTATTGTAACTGCTCAAGTACCTATTTTGATCATGATCAAATGATTAGTATTATCACTTGTTTTCCATTGTTTGGGTATATCTAATCTACAGTAACAGGTAACGTCTTATCCAAATAGGTATAAATATCCAGAACTTCATTTTCATTTTTATACTACGTATAAGTGTATACCTATCTACTTAAAACCATGCATTTTAAAGTGTTCATCCTGCTAGCTGCTGTGTTCGTATACTATGTTCATTCTGCACGTAAGTACATTTTATAGATTGTGCTTGAATGTTTAATAACTTTATGGCCAACTAGCGGGGCGATGCTGGAGCTGTAATAGCCAAGAGAGAAGTTGTACACACTATCAAGCAGGGAATGGCAACTATTCTGTCGCTTGTATTAGGGATGGTCAAGCATGTATTTCGTATATAGATTTAAGTAAGTCGTCATAATCTAAAACGTGCTGTAAATACATATATAAGTTTAAATTTCATTCTAGGCACTGGAAATACCGTTAGGGATTGTACAAAGGAGCAGTGTGCAGATTCATCTACCGTATCTCGCTGTAACAGATGTGATACAATGAAATGTAACGGGGATGCGTTACCTTAAAATATATCTACCTATTAGTTAGATTTTCAATTTTAATGCTGAGACTACAATAGAAATTTGTTCTGAAATTTGAAATTTTATTGTTATATACCTATAACTGCTTGTAATATATAATGGAGCAATAAATACTGGTACTACTTGACATCCTTCTTATTGAAAAGAATGTATGATGAACAAACACTTCGCACCAGTAGAAGAACAATCAACAAAATATTATAGTTTGCACAATTTCATCGGAGCGACACTTCCTTCTGATAGTTTGGCTGCCAGCACCTCATTGTTCGAATGCAACTACTTAAACTTAGTTTCTTCTTCTTTTCAACCTCTCCTACTCGCCAACTGCATTTTCAGGCGCGCTAGTCTCACATTATTAGGTTTGAGATTCGGTGTCCAGTTGGTGTGAATATCGTTATTAACGAGCTCCTAAGCTGATTTTGGACTTTCTGTCCGTCCGTCCGTCTGTGTACATGATAACTTGCGAACGGTTTCGAATTTTCCAGTTCTGTTTTCAGTAGGTACTATATGTTTATCATCACCGAATGAAGAACCCATTTAATTTGCAGAGACCCAGGAGCTTGTTTGCTATAGATATGTGATACAAGTTTATTTATTAATTTAATGGCACGTGCACGACAGAGTTGGACTGTGTCACTGGGTCACTGGGTCAACTGGGTCACCTGGGTCACTAAATTAAACTGGGTCGCTGGGTCACGTCATACTCTTTTCAGTTAGATCCAGTGACCCAGTTTGACCCAGTGACCCAACTTGACCCAGTGACCCAGTTTGACCCAGTGACCCAGTTTGACCCAGCGACCCAATTTCACCCGGGGACCCAATTCGACCCAGTAACCTAGTTTGATCGAATAACGCAGTTAAGTCAGTGCCCTCGGTTCAAGTGTACAGATTATGAAATAAATGAAATGCTGGTTTGTTGAAAATAATACTCGATTGCTTGACAACTGCCATTTCTGTGATGTTTGCTTTAATACTGCCGTAAAAAACTTTCCATGTCCCGAATTGTATTAGAATAATGTTATTTCTAAACAGTTTGCTTCAGGGCTTACCAGTTTGCTTACAGGTGTTCATTCCAGTTAATTTTTTTCTACTAGTTAGCTTAATCCAAATAAATCTTTTCTCTAAATACTTTCATTGGCTACTTGACTGCAAACTATAAACAAATGCATTTGATTTTTTAGGTATTAGTTCTATTGAATGAAATTGGGCTACGTGTTTGTTGGCGAATATTATTGAGGAAGTTTTTTTTTAAATTAAAAGTTACTTGAAATTGTTTTGGATGATACACCTAACAATAATTTAATTACTGGGCCACCTGGTCAAGACGGGTCACTGAGTAAAGCTGGGTCAAGATGGGTCACCGGGTCAAGATGGGTCACCGGGTCAAGCTGGGCCACAGGGTAAAACTGGGTCACCGGGTCAAGCTGGGTCACCGGGTCAAGCTGGGTCACCGAGTCAAACTGGGTCAAGCTGGGTCACCGGGTCAGCTGGGCCACCGGGTCAGCGGGTCAGTAAACTAACTGGGTCACCGGGTCACTGGGTCACTCTATGCTTGACCCAGTCCAACTCTGGTGCACGACGTTGAAAATTAGAATGTAGTAGCGTGAATTGCTCTACACCAAAACAGCGTAAGAGCGAGCTAGAAACCAATTTCGTAAGAAAATTCAAAGGGCTGTAACTTTTGATCTAGTAGCCCAATCTTGGAACTGTTTGAAATTATGGATTCTACAGGCCACATTCTATAAGAAAATGTTTTTTCCCGGTCGATCTGAAACAATTTTTTTTTCAGGCCTCAAAAAAAGCAGTGTATAACCTTCCTTTTTTATCAAAAATCGACTACACCAAAATTTCTCGGGAAAACACTTTTTCTTATTAATTTTGGAGCGTAGAATGCAAAACGATTCGTATTTTTTAGATTAGAATTCTCAAAAAAAAGTTATGGACTAGAAACCAATTTCGTAAAAAAATTTAAAGGGTTGTAACTTTTGATCTAGTAGCCCAATCTTGGAACTGTTTGAAATTATGGATTCTACAGGCCACATTCTATAAGAAAATGTTTTTTCCCGGTCGATCTGAGACAATTTTTTTTTCGGGCCTCAAAAAAAGGCAGTGAATAACCTTCCTTTTTTATCAAAAATCGACTACACCAAAATTTCTCGGGAAAACGCTTTTTCTTATTAATTTTGGTGCGTAGAATCCAAAACGGTTCGTACTTTTTCGATTAGACTTCTCAAAAAAAAGTTATGGACTAGAAACCAATTTCGTAAGAAAACTCAAAGGGCTATAACTTTTGATCTAGTAGCTCAATCTTGGAACTGTTTGAAATTATGGATTCTACAGGCCACATTTTATAAGAAAATGTTTTTTTCCCGGTCGATCTGAGACAATTTTTTTTTCGGGCCTAAAAAAAAGACAGTGTATAACCTTCCTTTTTTATCACAAATCGACTACACCAAAATTTCTCGGGAAAACACTTTTTTCTTATTAATTTTGGTGCGTAGAATCCAAAACGATGCGTACTTTTTCAATTAGACTTCTCAAAAAAAAGTTATGGACTAGAAAACAATTTCGTAAGAAAATTCAAAGGGTTGTAACTTTTGATCTAGTAGCCCAATCTTGGAACTGTTTGAAATTATGGATTCTGCAAGCCACATTCTATAAGAAAATGTTTTTTCCCGGTCGATCTGAGACAATTTTTTTTCGGGCCTCGAAAAAGGCAGTGTATAACCTTCCTTTTTTATCAAAAATCGACTACACCAATATTTCTCGGGAAAACACTTTTTCTTATTAATTTTGGTGCGTAGAATCCAAAACGATTCGTATTTTTTCGATTAGACTTCACCATCAAAAGTTTTGGGCATAAAACTAATTTCGAAACAAAATTCAACGGGCTGTAACTTTGGATTTAGTAGCCCAATCGATCGATCCCGTGTACATTCACTAAATATTTATAGTTTTAGGATTGAGCCACGAGATCAAAAGATAAGCCCGTTGAATTTTTTTTTCGAAATTAGTTTTATGTTTATTTTTACACGTAATTTTACATTGAAACGGGAGATTGTTGAATCGACCTTTTTATTTATTTTTTTAGATATATTGATATTTCGTGGCGTGTTTTTCTGACATTTACCCCTGTATGTCCCTTTAATTTTATTAGTTATTTGTCGATTATTTATTTACGTAGGTAACTCACGTATTACTGTAATTGCTGAAGTGTTTATTTTGATCGAATTCTTATCACTTGTTTTTCGAGGTGTACTTCAATCTTTCCAGTACTGAGGTCTCTCGCTCGTTACACGCAAATGCTAAACTGAATATGAGATTAAATTTTGAAACTTATTTGGCGTGCAGTTTTTTGTAGAAACTCATTTATTCGGAAGTGCCTCTACAAGGGTAGAGGGTAACTAAACTTTTCCAAAAATCTCATCGTCCTTCACATCCTCTGGTTTAAATGTTTATAATGTTATAATATATCCATTCCCGTTACCGTTGTTATCACTAGGATCTATACTATACTATTTCAACTTTTTTCGTTGTTTTTGATATTTTTGTGCAATCCTATTCTTTGTATGACGTTGGAGAGTTATTTTCTTACCCTTTTGTGCCTTTCTCAGTTTATGTGAATGATAACCCTATAATGTAATGTTAATAGATTTAAATGAATTAAAGAAAATAGTGCTAAAGCCTGAAATAGCATTAGAAAAATTCTTACCGCATCACTTTCATTGAGGGGTGAGGGTTTCTTCGAGTATTTAATCAATTGCATTTAGAAATAAAAAAATAATCAATGTTTCCACGCATTCTTCCTTCGAAGTATAACATTGAATTAGTGTCAGTAACCTATCTGCGAAACTTAATACAAGTACCTACTGGAAATAGGAAACCTTTCAATTCAGTTGCAAGCGCTACATGCACCTACGAGCATACCGCATAATCAATGAACACAAATAATTAACATGGAGAATTCCGAACGAGCCCTACTACTAAACAGGCAAAGAACGGAATCTTCCACCCCTAATTTATCCTTACTGTTTGCAATTATATGCATCGTGGACGTTTTCGGCGTGTTTCCCATAGTGTCTTTACCAAAAGCCGTCATAGACTGCGGTAAGCGAGTTAATTTTAAAGCGTACTCCACTACAAAAGAAAGTTGCAGGCTGGAAAGGAATCCCGCTGGTCATCTTTGTGTGCAGTTTGCAAATGTACACCGCAGTTTTGTTGGGAAAATGTTGGATAATTGCCGAAGAGATTCAGCCCAGGATTCAGTCGAAGAACCGCTACCCTTATTCTGCGCTTGCCGAAATAACGTACGGGGAAACATTGGCTAAGATCGTGACGTTTCTTTTAGATGCGACTATACTTTGCGCTGGAATACCAAACTTGATTTTAGGTAGGTACCTACTTTGTAATCCGGATGTGTTCAATCGGTGCCGTTTCCTTTGCAGCATCCCAAAATCTACAGCTGGTGGGAATGAACTTGACAAACAACGAATTTAATATGTCTTTCTGTTACTGGATGATCATAATAGGGATGGTTATGTGTCCCTTCCTGTGGCTGGGGAGCCCAAAGGATATGAAGTGCGTAACAAGTACCTACACGCAGTGTTAGATTAATTTTTCTTTCGTTAGGTGCCTCTGTACTGTTTCAGTTTGTATAGTGTCGTCTGTTTTTATTTTAATATTTCTCAGTATTATTTCGGATGATGGAACCGCATCAAGTGCCAGAACTATGCCGTATTACAGCCAGCCATATGTCTGGCAAAACTTGCTGTCCGGTTACGGAATTATAACATTCCAGTATGACATTCATCCCACAATTTTAACGATACTGGTGGATATGCAGAATAAAATGGAAATTGGTAAAGCCGTTCTTGGAGGATTCTTTGGTAAAAAGTTTCTCTTCATGCTAGCAGAAATACGTTGAAAATGTTTAGTGTCACTTGGATTCTTTTCAATCACATGCCTTGCCGTTTACGTTCATTTTGGTACAGAAATAGGACCAAGCATTTTAGAAATGCTCCCCAGCACGATTACAGTACATTTTTGTGCGATTTTGGTAGCGGTTCAGCTTATGTTATCGTCAGCAATTGGGAATAGTGCGTTATATCAGCACATTGAAGATTATTTTGGAATCCCACGAGGTAATTTAACAAGCATCCCCCTCTACTTTCTAACTAACTACACTTTTTTTAGAATTTAATTACAAGAGGTGTATAATGAGGAGTGTCGTAGCTGTATTTTCTATTATACTTGCAGAATCAGTTCCAAGGTTCGACTTGGTTATGTCTTTGCTCGGAGGAGCGCTTACCGGTCCATTAGTTTATCTTCTTCCTCCACTATTTTTTATGAGAATGCTCACTTTGCAAGACGCACACTTGAACACTATTCAAATGGAAGCTGTGTATAATACAGCCGTCGACGAGAAAGATACGTTACCAACTGACTTTGGAAAAATTAACCATGGATATTTTAAAATTCGGTTTAGAAAAGCGCAAGTTGCTTTTTGCATGTTTATTATATCGTGCGGATTCTGCACGACGTTGGCAACTACCTACTGGAATATTGTTAATACCATTAGATACGTACATTTTAGCCCCCCGTGTATCGTTAACATTTATAACTCTACACAGTGGTGGCAGGTTTAATAAAGTTTTTTGTGCCTATTTGGTTTTTTATTTACGACTCACCATCCCACGCATAACATAAAAACGGCATAAAGAATTCAGTGTGCACGAGCAGACAAACATCTACAACATTTTTTCTACTTAAAATATTATTCAAAAGTCAAACGGTCGTAGGTATTCATTTACTGGGCATCGGTCCTACGTTTGGACGTTTTTCTAACAAAATTGTTTCACAAATGCCCAACTATTTTGGCGACTTTTATTCAAAAACGCATAATGGTTGTGGATGACTATATTCACTTATTATAGGAAATGGAGGAAATACGTTTGAACTTTCCCAGTGAAATTGTTTCTTAAAGAATAAAGGTCGTCATCAAAATTGAGGTGATTACGATCAAGCAATTGTCATCGAATGCAAAGGGCAAAGTAAATAAAAATACCTAAGTATCTTAAAAACTGGTGCAGACAAACGGGCGGGCGGACGGAGAAAGTGTCACAACGAAATTTGTTGAAAAACGTGCGACGACGGACGCATCCCCCATTTATCTTGGGGTTAATAAAACTACTACGTCGTCTAGTACAAAAACAGTCGCAGGTAGCCCACTGCAAAACTTGTGTCTTCTTCGCATGGGCTAGATCTAGATAGAGATGAAAATGTAATTTGTGTATAGGCACAGGCGACCAGTTCTGCAGTGGGCGGCTACCTGCGATGATTGACATGACTGTTTTACCAGAGCAATAAACACTTGCTCTTTTTTTTAATTTTCATAATTCCATTCGAGCTATATTTTTAAATTTAAAGACAACTTTAGGGGGTCGAATGGGGTTCAAAAACCTTTTATACAGCTTAGAGATCCAGAAGCCCGCAAATGAATCTATAGATTTTTTTTAGCATGAGTCACGTAATCTTAGGAGTCAGTTTGGGACTCATTAAATACATTACGGCTTACGGAAAATCCGTGCGAGGCTCCACTCTTTTTTTTTACTCCGGATTGCTGTTTGACATAAAGCCACGAAATTTCAATGAGAGTCTGTCAATAAGTACAGAAACTTAAATTATAATGATTTTTTTCGTGCGTTTTGTCCGTACGTCTGTCGAATGGTCCTAGAGTCCTGGAATTTTTTGCAATATATATGTAGCTTATACCTTGATGGTGCACCAGACGGCCAACAGCTGTCGCTGTCTCAAAGGTGGTCCCTGCATGAATTATTTCCAAAGACACTGTTTTTGAATGTAAAAGATGCATAACTTTTACGTGCGACAACCAACTGGTCTCAGAATTTGCATACGCATGCCTTTGGTGTCAAGAAAAAATTTTGAAAATGAAAATTTTAATAGCGCGACTTCAGGAATACACGAACCAATTAAGACCTCCAAATTATTTCGAGAGTTTCAAAGACTCACAGGACCTTCGAGCACCTTGTGCCTCTCGAGGATCGTAAATGCCCAATTTCGCCTCGAGTTTTGAGATACGTAGTGAGGGAATGACGGAATGGTTAGAGACAAAACCCTAATATCGTATTTCCTTCCCAATGCGCTTCGAAAGACAAGTTAGTTACCTAATCTACTTTAGTCGACTTATGAGATTGGGTCGGAAGCAGGATGCTTCAATTTTCGCAAAAAAGAACAAGATTTCGTCCTAAGACGAGTAACTAGCACATTTTCCATGCATTGATCAATAGGTACTTTCCCAATAGGCCATACCAACGCGCGAGTAGTAGTAGTAAGAGAACGCGCTTATTGGGTCAGATTTCGCAAAAGCGATACCTATAAATACGAATGTAAATAGTGGGAAAGCAGCATTCGCTAAGCGGCGTTACATAGTACCAAATCTGCGCCGGCCGTTTTTGAAAAGCGCGTTAGGCAAGTTAGTTGGTCCATTGGGTGGATCCCGAAGAAAGAAATTCAGCCAAGAGCTATCGTCTACATCAAGTTACCTTCGCGCTCCGATCTTCGCAGCATTTACAAAAAAGAAAACAATAAAGTTGAAAATTTCTACGGCGGAGCACTAAACCCACAAGCGACGCCTTCTGTTCCCAGGTACACGAACAAAGAAAAAGAGCCTGTAAGAACCTTTAACACCCTCCGGAGGTGGTTGCTATCTTCGGCCAGTGATATTTGGTGAGGATGACGCGGGTAGCTTCTTCGGGGCCCGGAAGTGACTACGTCGTGGTAAGTTTGCATGACGTTGTTCGTACATTTCCCGTGGCATTGCCAGAAGTGGGCCTTGGGGGCGTCATCGATAAAGGTGGTTGTTGCCTACGATGGTACTGTTGTTGTAATCGTGTCTGTGAGGGTGTTGCAGAACCTTCCTAACAAGTTCGCTCCCATGCGGTCAGCAGCCGTTGGGCGTGGTGGTTTTCCCGCAACCTCGATAACGACGTGGTCTCTTTCAGCCTTTTCATCTGGTGCTGACGTCGCGTCGGTGCTACATCCTGTGGATATTTTCTGATGTCGTATGTTCTTCGGCAGCGGTGTCAGAGCTAGGAGTTGCAAGAAATGTGGTCGGGGAGCTCGTTCGTTTTTAATAATGCATTTATTTTCACATCCGGGGAGTGACCTGGTACCGTCTTTGTGCAGGGTTCAGCTACGTACTGATATATCCAACGATGTTTTCCCGTCCGGGTTCGGTTTACATTGCATTACATGCCCGAGGTATTCGATGGTCTGTACCCCGAAAAAGCAATTTCCCAGGGATGCCTGAAGTCGGTGTTACTGCAACCTCTCTATTGTTACGCGCAGGTGGGGATGTGGGCCTCCCAAATGTCAGAGTAGATAACAATATCGTCTAGGTTGGCCTAGTTGACTCTAAAAGGTATTGTTAGTCTAATGCGAACTTCTTAGGAATCCTACCAGGACCCGTGTGAATAATTTTTGGAAAGTCGTCGGGGCATTTTTTCCCCCGAAGGGCATCACCCTGAACTGGTAGGAGGTGCCGTTAGGAGTTGAAAAGGCTGCCAGCGGCCGGTCTTGACTCTTCTTTCAGGCGCACTTGCCAGTAGCCGGATTTGAGGTCGATCGCTGAGAATACCTTTGCGGTCTTGAAGTCCCGGGGAGTTTCCTGGATTTGGGACAGGTTAGAGCTCTCGTCTTTGGTTAAGACGTCTTTCTTTGCTACCACGACGATAGGTGAACTGTATTCTGATGTGCTCGCCCTGATGATTCCTGTTGCCAACATTATGTTTAGACTTCCTCTTTTTCTCTGGCGAGATAACGGGGGGGATGGCCTCGGAATAGGAGGTCCTGACGTAACCCTGATCCTGTGTGTGGCGGGGGGTTGCCGCTTTCGTAATCCAGGACCACTTTGTATTTACGGAGTCATGGTTGTCCCAGTATGATTGGAGATACGGGCGGATGCTATCATGAAAACGTCTTCTTCCGCTGGTTGCCGATAGAGGGTGCAAGGTGAGGTTCCCTCGAATGAAATGGTGTGTAAACCCCGAATCGCGTACATGCGTTATTGTGCATCAACTTTTGCTCATCTTATTATTTGTCTCCATGGTGCTGGCCAATTTTGCTAGGTCGTTTCAAGAAACCGTACTAAGAATGCTAAAGAGAAAACAAATGACCAACGACCAGTGGTCAATTGCATCTGATCCATTACAAAATATATATATATATATATATATAATGTACATACAATTGATATAATAGCTTTATAACTTATTATTGATGTTGCTCTGCCAAAACCAACCCGCTGTACTAAAGCTACAGTACAACAGTTTCCCTAATGAGTGATGATGCAACCACATGCACGACCGCTGCCCGGTATTTAATTTAGTACTAGCTGACCCGACGGACGTTGTTCTCTTTCTTAGGTATGAATTCAATTCGGACTGGAATAAATAATAACAAAAAATTTGCTGTAGCTAGTACAGATACCGCCCGTCCCACCTACGCATGCGCGATTCTCAATAAACTCACTGAAATCTGGATAAACTATCCGATAGAATTGACAGCACACTATGAAATGAATCAATTAATTTTTTAACGGATATATGCCGATCCATGTAGCTGTTAAAAATAATTGCCGTCGCACCGTCAAACGCGCGATGTTTAAATAGTTGTTAAGTTTTCTCCATTTTTCTTGCCGTTAAGTACCTTCTACACAGTATTAAAAAACTTAAAAAAAAAGATGAATGAAATCGGTAGTCTTTCTAAAGTTATTGCGCGACCAGAAGAAATAGGGGTTCATTTTTATATATAGAGATGAAAATGCATATAGTTCCAGCAAGAGATGCTACCGAGTGATGCAACCATATGAGTAGTACAAAGCCCATTATCCCAAATCCCAATGGTTATATTTCGAGGGTTGTGTCATTTCTGCCAACGCAAGATACCTTCCTCACAACACAATATTCAACAAAGTAAATAATTTCTAGTTTTTTATTAACACACATTTGTAATAATCCTAAAGCTACTGTTTAAAAGTACAGTTTCAGTCATACAATAAAACATCACTATTCAATAGAAACACACAAAAGTTTAAATAATAGCCATTAACGATTCTTTGTTTAAATATCAAACAGGAAAAATCCAAAACCGGGCGAACGAGTTTGTTGTGGTAGCAGTACCTTATTTATTGTATGAATAACGCCATTCGTGGCAAGATCGTCACATTCCAAAACGGACGCGCCACCAATTCGTATTTGCTCGCCGTGTCTTGAAACGGACTGGTGCTGGTGGTTCAATGTGCGGATTAAAGTGTCGAAGCCCCAACCTTGCCGACTGACTCCCGAACAACACAGAACCTCTGCACGAAGAAGTTAGATAAAGTATTTCTAATTTGTTACGTACCGGTCAGAATGTGATTCTTTAAAAGTTGGACCGCTTTCTTTTTGTCTTCCATTAATTCTTTAAGATCATCAGGATCAAGTTTTGAGAAGGCGTCATTAGTTGGGATGAGGACGGTTAGAGACACTTTCTCATCTTTCAAGACCGTTTCCAAATCGGTTCCCTTTAAGATTTGACTTAAGGTACTGTATTTTTCATCGTTTTTAATTTCGTCCCATAAATTTCTCGAGGGGGGAATCAGAATGTTGTTTACTTCGTGAATGACCGAACCGCAAGACTTTTCATCATACCCAGTTAATCGCGCGCAATTTACTGTCGCTCGATTGATAATATTCGAAAATATTGGCAACTGAAACACACAAGAGTTTGGTCATTAAAAATTCAACAATATGTGGAAATACCTACCGTTGAGTACAAGTTAAGTCTGACACTGTTTTCATTTTGTTTGGTTTTAAGCATGACATTGTTGTTCATATCGCAAGATTCAAGGTGGCCTTCGACTACGTGGTACATTACCATTTCTTTGAGTTTCTCCTTGTTTTCTTGAAGACTTTCGATATATTTGAGCGCCTTTGGATTTTCGAATGCAGCGTCGGAGGGTGCAAAAACTGTAATGTTCTTCATGGAGTCAAGCTCGTCAGTAAGACCGACTTGGTCCAAAAGCGCTTGGAATTTGGTGAAGTTCTCGTTTTTCAATGATTGCGAAATGTAGAGCGCTAAAATAAGGATGAAGATTTGCGAAATTTAAACAAAAAACAAGAGCTACCTGATTCTGGCACTACCAAAGTATCAATTAAATGTATCACTCCATTAGTTCCCATTATATCAGTTTTGACAATTTTCGCATTGCTTTCAAATAGGAGTACGTCATCGTCTCTGCGTTGGAGATTGAGAAGTTGTCCGTCGACGCTATGAGTTGTAGCGTTTCCAATGATCGCACTTGAGCAAACGGTATGGGCAACAATGTGATGTTTAATAATTGCTGAAAAGGTATGGTGAAATTGGGAAAGTTTTACAGAATGACTTACTTGCTGTACAGGCATCGCCATTCAGTAGTTTTTCAACCATTAAAGGAGGCAATTTTCCAAAGGCATCATTGGTGGGCGCAAATATTGTGTAATGACCATCTGGTTTGATATTCTTCTCCAGGTTACTATTTTTCAACACTAAAAAATCACTTTAACATCTTCAGATATTAGAAAAGACCTAATGTACCTCTACGGAAAGTGGATAATTGGGGATGTTCTTCGATCATACTTAATATGTCCTCTGTCACGGGACCGAGTACACCATCCACAACGTGAACAATACCATTCGTGGCCAAATTATCTCCTTTGCGCACTTTAACACAATTTGCCGTCAGCATTTTTCCATAGTCTCGCGTCGGATAAAAGTTGAACCTAATTTTGCTGTCGTATGCGCTGTAACATCCCCAGTTAATTTTTGCAATACACACAAGCGGTTTTCTTGTACCTGCTTAGAAGATCCTCATTGTTTAATTCAGAAAGATCAATAAATCCGGGAATGGCATGGTTCAAAACTAAATTTTTGGATGAAACCGGATTTTTGACTTGTCTTCGTCGGCGCACTGCATCGGGAACTTGATTCTGCAACAACAACGGCCTTTATTTATTACCCCGTGCAGTACACAACGCTCACCATCTCCACCATTTTATCAGCAAACTCAATCATAGAATCATCAGTGGGTACGAGGACCGTCAAATTTTCGGAATTAAATTTATCCTCCAATCCGGTGGAACGAATCATGCTCGTAAGCTCCTTACCGCCAACATCCTCAATTGTGGTTAGAAGAGGAGACAACTTGACCTGTTTAGTGCATCCGCTCGAATCATCTGAACGTTTAAAGCCGTAGCAGCACTTGTAACGGACAACAAATGTTTTAACAACGCCGTGATTGTTAATTCTACAAAAATGCAATGGTTTAGTTTTTCTACGAGACGATTAATCGAAGTTACTTTGTAACGCATTCGTATTTTGACGGTGACTCGTGGCAGTTGGAAAGACTGATTGATGTAGAGAAGAAATTGGCAGCTTTGACAATGTCGGATTCGTTTTGTTTGGTGTCTTCCTCTTCTTCCTCGTCGTCTACAGTTTCTTCGCGTTCGATACAAACGTTTTCTCTGAAAAAAATGCAATGAAAGAAACCTCTCTGCCATAAAGAACATGACCCACCCTTTAAAAATACCAGCAATCAATTGGAACGTAAAAATATTAGTAGATACACAGAAAAGCCAGTTTCATAACATCCAGTTTAGTTTTTAATTATTCAAAAAAATTGGATGTGATGGATCTACGCATTTTTGTCACATTTTCATGTGACCAACTCAAAATCCAGTCCAAGATTACCTACCCTGGCAAAATAGACCAAAAAATCCGTGCTCACCGAACAATCGTACAAAACTAGAAACTTTTTTAAACCCTTTCGGACGTCCCAAATAAGAGTTTGCGAAGGATTCTGGATAGAGCTTTAGACGTGTGGTGTACAAAAACCCTTCCAAATGCAAAAAGTAACGTAGTAATGCGCTGTGTGGGCTGGAAACCATGGAATAGCCAAATTTTTTTAAAGGTAAGGCCGTTGTTTAGAGGGGCTCTTTTTGCTTTTTGGCGTTTTACCGAAAAGTACCTAAGTTTATCTTTTTTGTATCCTGGCAAGTTACGTTACCGTAATTTGGGGATTTTCACATTAATTTCTACAGCCCCGTTTAATTGCAAAGTAAGCTTTTTGTTACTTTCTGTTCCATTCATTATAAGGAGGGAATACTGTTTCGTTTTCCCGTAGATGGCGCTAATTTGAATTTTGTTTAGAGTTCCTGGAGCTTCCGTTTACTTTGATTCTGATTGCCCGAGACCGATCCGCCAAACCCCCGACCTTGACCAGAGGCAAGGTTACAGCACCCTTTGGCGGCGTGTGAGTAAACCGTTCCGCCGTTGTAACCGCTGCCGTAGAGTTTATTGAGTTGTAATTTTCTTTTAAGTTTATATTTATTAATTTTCCATTTAATTTTAAAGATCATCGATTGCGTGCCAACTAGGTGCCGAAGTTCGTCGCAAGGTGACAAATAGATTGTCACCCAAATTGTTTCCCTATTGAAAATGTATACCAGATTAATTCTATTTCCTACATTCAAGCCATACCACAACCCCCCAGACCCCAACAGCAATCTAGTGGGCAGGGGTGGCCAAACCCTGGGGCTTCCACTATCCTCAGTACTCGTGTCGATAAAGTATTCTTTATCACCTTTAACGAGTCATGGTAGAGTCCGATTTCTCGAAACTACTCCTGCATTTTGGAGACCGTTTCAGGAGGAGACACTTGTTCCGCTCCTTTATTGGAACCATGTACATATTCATCTAGAGAGGGTTCAAAGGAAGGAAGCAGGGGCATCTCCTGGATGAACAACAAACACCTTTGAGAAATTTATGACGCAGTATGAACAGAACAATCCTCTTCTCTTAAACGTCGAAAAAATCCATAAAATGAATAATTTCTTACATGACTGCAATAATTATCTATATTATGTAATACCCATAGCCATATAGGTATATAATACAAACAAATTGAAAGCGTTTCCGAAACCTTATTTACATTTCCGCTTAGGATTGAATAAATTACAAATTTTGCGCGTCGCCCACCATCATAATATGGAATTTTTAGGAGTGACAAGTCGATTTTCTGTTGCGAACATCGAAACAAGGTCAGAATCAATTTTTTTATAAGTTGTTAAAAACTCAAAAAATTGATTTCGGCAGAACGACTGAACCGATTTTCCCACTACGTCTAAAAGTGCAGTGAGAATCCGTCGCAAACTCAGAGAAACCTTATTTGCAAAGCCCAAAAGAGATGAAAAGAGTTATGGGATTTATTAATATTAATCCCCTAGGATTCCTCGGAATAAGAAAGCTAAACACGACAGGCATTGGTGGCAAAGGTTACATTTAGTTTAAGGCACAGCTAAGATGCGGATCGGAAGTTCACAGAAGATTCCGATATTTTTAGACATATTAGGAAGGGGAAAAGGGAACTAGTCACTACTTTAAAAAGCTTATGTTTGAAAACTACAAGTTCTTCAAATTTCCAACAAAAATCTTGGGGCAATTCAGGGAAGTAGTGACAACTGAAAACGAAAGTTCCCTAAAATGTGGCGTGACCAACCACACGGTTATGACTCCACTATTTGTAAGAATCCGTTCCCAAAAGGCGGCGGTAAATTGCAAAATTTAATTGGTAATCTACAATGACCCATGATTTTTCTTGTGAGCACCAAATCGAATTTATAAATGGTCATACTTCTCATTTCACACACAATCAACATTGATAATTAACGACTCCATTTTTGCTAAAAAAAAATATAACTTGTTATTCTGATTCATCTGCAATCGCCACTTTCTCATGCCAAAATACGTTACCTACTTGTTACATGGCAAAAAGAGAAAACAGTTTGATATAAGTAGACAAATTAAAAAGAATGATCGTGGAAAGATAACATCCTAATTGAAGAGGAGCTTTCACTCACTTAAAGACAAAATGCTAAATCATCATTTTAAAAGCTATCCCATTTACCTATATAGCACCTACGAGGCTTAGGTTGACGTAAGAATTTTACAATTTCTAAACTCGGAAAAAAGTAAATGGCGTAGATGGGAAACCGGCGATAACGTTACAACACAATGAACGGCATGATCTTAAAAGCCGCAATAATGATTACGGAGTAAGAAGTAATTGTTACCTACATGAATAAATTGGATTCTGACCGGATTAACTGATTAATTTGAGCTGCTGGTAATTTGGGATATTTTAATCCAACTAAACTACATTTCTTTTGAATATTTTAGTGCATACTTTGAGTATTCTTGGAGTAGAATCTTACCCCTTTTTAGATTGTGTTGAATTGTATGTTAATTTTTGGCATAGAATGTACTAGTTTGGATGTTTTTCTAAAAACTGATTTGGGATATCAATAAAAATGTGTACCTATAATTTTCTACGTGAAAATTCCATAAAAACATTCGATTAGTAGGTAAATTACTCTCATTGCTAGCCTTTATTGGCCATATAATTGATTTACACTACTCCCTCCCAAATGTTTCTTAAATCTTGTCCAGCTGACTTTAGCCATTGACCCCAAAAAAAACAGTAATCATTTCTTGTTCATGTGAAGCCACATATTGAATTCTAATTTGACCAGAATCCAAAATGTCACGGATGAACTTCCTTCTGATGTCAATATGCTTTGTGCGACTGTGGAAAACACAATTCTTCATTAGATAAATGGCGCTTTGATTATCCACTTTCAACAAAGGAGTAGGTATATTTGCAGTCCATTTCATCAAGAATCCTTGTGATACAAATAGCTTCTCCTACAGTCAAACTTGCTGCAACAGATTGGGTAGTAGAAGTAAATACGCATTTCTGCAATTTGCTTGACCACCCAATGGAACCATCAGCGTACTTGAACAAGATTCCGGTTCGTTTCTCGGTCCCCGCCATAGTCCGCATCACAGAATGCTCAAGATCATTACCACGATGCTTGTACAATATTCTATAGTTCTGGGTTCCTCTTATATAGGTACGATCGCCGACTAAAGTAATGATAATCGGAAGTTTACCGACACTTAGGCAACCAACCATACACTATCTAAAATGGCAACGTTGAAGTGTAAGTTTTCCCGCGGGGATTCGTGTGGAATACGGCGTCGCGTATTGTCGTCTTTGCTTCGGCGTTTCTTCGTCACTGCCTTGATATAAACGCTACAGCAAGTATAATTACAAGAATTGGGGAAACCGCATTTTATGCATTATATTCTGGACTACTCAGAACCGAATAATATCCTTTATCCAGAGCAGAAGTCATCGAAAACAAATTTTTACCCACTTCCGAAAGAAACCACACATCCTCAAGATCACCCTTTTTAGGGTTAATCATTTCAATGTTGACAATGCCCTTGCCAAGCGCCTTCATTGATTGGCCATTTCCGACTTGAACGTACTTTTCTGGGAAATGCACCTCAAAAGTAGAAACCTGCAATCTAAACATTGGAAGAAATCACGATATCAGATTGGCTAACAAACGCAGACCCTTTCCGATTCTTCTCAGACTTAGACTTCTTGGAATTCATACAATCCCGCTTACAATGGCCGATCTCGCCACATTTGCAATATTTAGGGACAAACTTCTTTGACTTGTTGCCACTCCCACCGCCCGTACCGTGGCCATTCCCCTGTATGGGTTATTATTGAGTTTTTTTTACTGGCAAAATATATCAGTAGAACTTTTTGAGAAGCTTCGATCATTCGGCCGCCACTCAACAACACATAACCTCTCCCTAAGATTATCCAACGTTCGATTATCCTAAGATACTCACGACTGACTCTAATAAATTCATGGTATTCGGCAGGCATCGTGTTCAAAACCCGATTCAGGAATTTGAGAATTTTACCTTGTTCGCTTTACAAGTCTCGTCTTGAATTTCTGTCCATAGCTAAATCGAATCCACAGGTTCTTTTTCTCTTATACTGAAAAACTGATAAAAGGGGATCTTGCCTTTGCTCTGATCTCGCTTCCTTTTCCTTCTCATACAATCCGCTAAGCTTGGGCGTTGCATCTGTAGCCAGTTCAGTAGATTGCGTTGCCTTACCTTCCACTATGTCTATACAGCCATTTAGGCATTTACATTCAACTGAATTTCCAAGCAACCCATTTGAAATATCCCTTCAATTTATCTATCAAAACTCGCAAAACTTCCATGACAAATAACCCAGACGACTAAGTTCTCCTACTAAAACTACGCACTTCCGTTACAATCGTTCACAACGAAGTTCCAACAAAAATATTTTCGGCCAATACTGGGCCCATAACCTGATGAGATCTGTGGCTAAATAAATAAAGAAGTCTTGCACGAATTGAATGATGAATAGTGATGATTAATGATAAAAAGAAATTTTACATTGCAAAAGGCAACACGATAGTTATTAACATTCGAAATCATTAAGGGCTGGATATCTGATTTTTCCATCAACAAATCAACCCTACCTTCTCCCATTCCATCCCAACATCAAGATCAGTTACACAATTTATGTGCAAGTGCAACAATAATAGTATCCTGATATAATTTCCCCTGATTAAGTTTGCCTTGTTTGTATACCTATTGCAGGCGCTGTTTAAATTGACTTTAATAGAAACGTCCTTTTAAATCGTTTTAATTCAACGATAATAACAGAACAACGCCACGTCTGTATGAGTAACTGTTGGCGTACTTCTTAAAAATTCTTCGAACGTCTAATTAATTAGCTAATAGAATGTCCTTATGCGGTCATGCATTGTTTGCAAATTTTAATTACCTTCGATTACTACAAGGACTCACGCCCGTGTTAAGGAACCGCATCGTTCATTTGAAAAGTGACTTCAGTCATTTAAATTTTGTACGGTAATAGTTCCTGATGACTTAACTAGCAAAGCATTAATTTATAAAATGTATTGGTCGAGTATATTATCGTATGAACGAACAGTTTATAGAACATTTTCTATAGAAAAGCTTTTCTTTTTTCTGTAAGGCAAATGATGAGCAGGAATTAAAGGAAATGTACCTACCTACTCGGGAACTTTCCACGCCGTTTAAAAAACATGTTTTTCGACTGTACCATTGAATATGAATTCCCATTCAATGACTACTGGTTTCTTAAATATGTTTTATTTAATATTTTCTAAATACACCACCAACAGATTTTAATGACAATCCATATCAATTGAGGGATTCGTTGAAGTTGAATTTTTTAGATTATGCATTTAGGACACATGGGCGTATGCGATTTTGCTATTTAGAACTATTTTTAAGGGCAATTAATGGTTTAGAGTTGAATTTCATTAGGGTAGCTCAGCTTTGGGTGCTACGTATTAGGAAGTATATAGGGGTTTCCATTAACATTAGAGGATTACATTTTATTATTTTCAAATTTATCAAATCAATGAATTCTCAATGAATTTGGTGATCCATATTTTGTGAGTGAATGTCTACTGGATGCGTCGTGACCAGCTAATTGCCTGGGAAAAATTATCAGCGCCAGTTCGACGAGCGATAACACATTCTTAATGTCTTTGACGTGACCAAAACAGCTGAATCAGTATTACTCGTAGTGATGTCATGGAGCAGTTTGAGAAGCGCGAATTCGGCCATCTTGACATCGGGTGAGTTTTCATAGATGGTTTTTATACCGGGTGGTGTACGGTAAGTAGGAACATAGGGATTTAACATGGGAAATTAGTTTTATGCAACATCCTGCCCTCCTGTACATTTTACAGAAAAAACTGTAGAGTTTCAAGTTGGTCAGAAGTAAAAGGTGCATACAAAACTGTTTTTACATGTTTCATTAAGCTTTTGGTATACCAGCAAATTTAAAAATAAATTTCAACTTTTCTGTTATTAGTAGCAATAGCCATGACTTTTGTTGCTTTATGAATGGCTACTAATAACAGAAATGTTGAAATTTATTTTTAAATTTGCGGGTATACCAAAGGCTTTATAAAACATGTAAAAACAGTTTTGTATGCACCTTTTAGCTCTAAACAACTTTAAACTCTACAGTGTTTTTTGTAAAATGTACAGGAGGGCATAAAACTAATTTCCCATGTTAAATCCCTATGTTCCTACCATGTACCACCCTGTATGCGCGTGATTAGGTTAAATGAACACAGTTAACCATTACAGATGCTCGCTTTAACCTATTAGCACCATTTTGTAGACGGATTTTGGCAACATTGAGAAAGTAAGGATGAAGTAGACAAGGTCCCCGTAATTATAGTTCGAAGCCGTCCGCCAGTCCAAGATCGAAGGGCCGAATTCGAACCAAGTTAGAAAATACACATGGCTACGGTATAGGAGTACTAATACAAATATTTTGAAGCAGAAAGTTTATATCAGGAGAACGTAAAAGTGAGAAAGTGCATGTCAATGAATTTTTCACCTTCTTATACTCTCAATACAGCTATTTATAATAAAATTGGTGTCAGGAAAACATAAAACGTAAGAAAATGTGTCAGTCAATTTTTCAATTTTGTGTGCTCCTAATATAGCTATTTTCCAAGACTCAATTTGTATCAGGTATTACCTAATAAATTCTTTTACTTTTTGCCCTCCTAATACGGTTATTTTTAAAATAAAACATTGTATCAGAAGAACATAAAATAAGAGAAAGCCTGTTACTCAATCTTTCACCTTCTAATGCAGCTATTTTGAAAACAGACTTTTACATCAACGTATATAAAACGTATTGAAGTGTACTAATTTTACATCACGAGAGCATAAAGCGCGAGAAAGTACGTTTCTCAATTTTTTACCTTCTTGTGCTCCTCTTACTGCTATTTTTAAAAAAGAAATTCCTATCAAGAAAACATAAAACGTGAGAAGGTGCGTTGATCAAATTTTTACCTTCTTGCGCTCCTAATACAGCTGTATTTCAAAACGAAATTTGTACCAGGAGAACAGAAATCGCGAAAATGTGTTTATTGATTTTTTGATTTCTTCCACATCTAACACAGCTATTTTTGAAACCAAAAATTATATCGGGAGAATATAAAACGTGCCAATCCATTTCTCACCTTCTTATACTCTTAATACAGCTATTAAAATAGAAAATGCGAAGAAGCGCACAAAACGTGCGAAAGGGTTGATCAAATTTTTACCTTCTTGCGAAGGGGGCGAAAGTTCAGACTGGTGGGCACCTAAGAGGGTACCACACTGTCTGTTCTACTACTTAACCCTGTTCAGAAAGTGTGTTTAGGATTATTTCGACAAAAGTTAATAAAACATATTTGCGAGACCCGATTGTGTCTACGTTACTTTTTGATTACTACGAAGATCCATTCTGTTGGTTTCATTACATTGTATCTTCAGATTAGACGTGTTATTTGCGATATTAGCTACCGTTGCTTTGTAAATTAGGTTTTGAAGTTAGCGAGACTTTGCCAGAAGCCGATATCTACAATTTTTGGTTACGTTATTTGTTTTACTCTGAAGAATTTGTTCATGCTACCTGATTTGCATTTTGAATTAATTAGATTACATTGCTGTCATATAGAAATTTTAGTTGTGCATCGTAAAGTATTTGTCTTGAATTGAACGTCACGTTTATGCTTTTATACATATGATGATACAGATAATTCGTGGTCAGACCAAAATTTTGCTTTTGCTAGTGTAAAGTCATTCGAATTATTGATTCATATTGATTACAAATAATTACGGTTTAGTATACTGATCAGCTATATTTTATGTGCAGCGCGATTCACTACCCCTTTTATTTGTTTGTTTGTGTTGCCTGTTACAGATTAGGCTGAACGCGCCCTTTTGAGCACAAAAGGTTGCGACCTGAATTTGAAAGGCAATTTTTATTTTTCGACGACTCCTTGATATAACGGTTCATTATACACTGGTTTTCGATACAATCGAATTGTAACTATTACATTTGCTTGGTATTCACTTAACGATTAGGTACCGCTCCGTTGTTTTCTGCGAAAAACCTGTTTTGATATGAATACTTTCTCCTCGACTTTCTCCGACTACGTGTTGATCCTCTTTTTACTAAAAAATAATTTAAATTTGAATGTCGATATCGCAAATCTATATATTACAGTGTCCTATTTGTAATATTTTTGTTTTCATTGATTAAATCACCCTCGATTGTGACGTTAATTATTGTTATCTACTATCAAGTATTTAATTTCCCTCTATTGGTAAGTATTCTCCTATTTTGACATTTACTAAAGACTAAGTGCCTATCCGGTTTACTATTAGCTTACCGTGCGCCTAATAGACGTGTAATTTTGTTACGTTTGCTTAAAGTGAACGTAACAATACGTAAACGAAAACGTTGATAGTTTAACCATAGATTTAAAATATTTAAATGTGTGGCTTAACGTTTGTCCATCTATTGACAGGGTATTGACCAATACCATTTAACCAATATTCAAAACGTTTTCATTACATTAATGATAATCAGCCCTATGATGTATCACTAACGTTAAACTTAACGTGCAGGTTTACTGTAAAAACGTCATTTTGCCCATGCCAAATAATGCAGAATAACGTTTTTTGGCAGACAACCTGCACGTTAAGTTTGAAGTTTCTGATACATCACAAAGGCTGAATAACTATGTATACGTGAAATTCAGAATTGTAACATTTAAACAAAAGATTAATTAGAGGTAGAAACCGGCCACTTCTCAGCTCAACTTCGGTCCAAAAACTAAAAGCTAGCGCTAGCGGATTGTTTCGTAAGCGGTAACATGGGTTTCTACTTCTATTTATCGAAAAATATTGGCCTTCTATGGGTCCTTAAGGCTTATCGCCAGAGTAATAGGCGGCTCAGGAACGTTCCCAAACGCTGCCTACCTCCCTTGACCCGTCAGTCGCTTTTAATGTGCCTTTTCCAAGTGTTTTTCTATACGGTATTACTTTTATAGTTTAGCTTTAGACTTTAGACAACGTAAGTGCAATAGGCACGGAAATTTCTCAACCACTAAACCTGATATTCCGGGGTTCTCATCACTTTCTGCAATGGATACTCATTGGAACATTCCTGAAAAAAAGTTCAGGGTTTTGCGATTTGATATCGTGTATCTGGATCATTAACTAAGCCAGAAGTCATAGCAAAAACAAAAATGTCGCGCAATAGTGTCAAAACAGAAAGGTAAATCCCATGGAAATCAGCATTACATTGCTGCACTAAGACGACAAAAAATCTTAAAAACCTTGACATACGATTACACAAATGGTCAACATTAGTCATAAAATAACTAGTTGACGAAACGCAGATAATGACAGATAATAAAGGTTGGGCATTCCCCAAGTGCACTGAATGAAGAAAATCATCACGATCGTGCTCTAATCCGTCACTAATAAGATATAAATTGTGGTTCAGTATGCAATAGTTACTCAACAAAAATTAAAGATGAAAGAAAAAATCAACGAAAATATAGAGCGACCTCATTCTGATTACGTTAGAGCACCGATTTAAAGCAGTTTCCGCATGATAGTTTAATTGCGAAAAGGCAAATGAGTCGCGCGTTTCCTGGCAATTTGCTCTGACCAATTACACCTAATTAATATAGCCTTACCCTTTCCACCAACGTTTCTGTTCGGAGAACGGTCTGAAGAATCCTCCTAGGCCGAAGAAGTTGTCCGGATTTCTGTTGCCAAAGGAGGAGGAGAATCCAAACGTGTCCGGAAAATCGGGGAAACCGTCGGGCAGCCCGATTCCGCCGGCGTCGACGTCGACGACGCCGCCCGGTATGACCGAAGGATTGTAGGGCGCCGGAGACAATTTCGTCGGTTCATCCTTCGGTTTTACCGGATCTTTGTAATCGGGACCCAGCTGTTCGCGTTCCTCCGAATCTTCGATTGATCTGTCTTCAGCGGAAAACTCCTTCTTAGATTCGGATGCGTACAGTTCCGGAAACAATCTTAGATTCCATTGGGAGGGTGAGAAGGGATTTTCGGGCACGTTGCCATAATCTCTGAAAATGAGAAATCTATTATTTATATGTAAATCAGGAATTGTGTGAGAATTACAACTTTCTAAGTTTGGCAATAGGATAAGTAGTTCAATCACGTTCTTTGGACGAATCTCATCAATTACGTTAGCTTAAATAATTAGATGAGCATCTCACTGTAAATGCTCTATTTGTTTTAGTAAATGTCAAATTTGGGCCATATCAATTTAAAGAAAAGGATTATCTTGTTTTCGAAATGAATGGTATCGACTGGAAATACATACACATTTGCGCAATATCACTGTTATTTTCGTTTGCGAACGAAATTATGGTTATTTGTGATTATTGAGCACTGATTTTTGTACCCAGTGTATCGTAATAAAATAAGTAATACGATTCGAGCATTTCGCAAAAAAGGAAACCGTGCATAGTTCAAAGACTTTCTTCCAGCTCGTAATAAAAGCTTCACTTGCATATAAATTTGTAATTGACTTAACGGAACATAAGCACATTTTTCTTAATTATTGGCGTAATCGTGGCTATTAATTATCATTAAGGAAACAATCGTGTCAACTCTTCCCTTTGCGATTGTCAACACCTACAAATACCACCGTTACGAGAAAATTGGACCATCTCCATTCCATGTAACTGTACTCAGGTGTGTATCATCTTAATATTGTCCTCTTCGCGAAAATGGATTAAACGAGAGTAATTAAAGTACAATTACGAAAGAGCGTGATTGTATGTGTTAATCACAAGAACCGTTGTTTAAAATTATGTACAGACACGAAAAACAGTTCGCGTTACTGTATTCCATGCACTTCCTGAAATAAATCTGAAAACGCACAAAAAGGGTCATAAAAATGATTGGAGTTACGTGCATATAATGTACTCCATGTGTAATTATCTCACGCCTAAATCAAGTTCGGCGTACACACACGCAATAAAATCGGCCATAAAAATTGAACAATACAGTCGTAAGGAACATGTTTTCGGAAAGTGTCAGATTAAAAATCACGCAGGATGAAGCGTCTTCGAGTTTACAATCCTGATTTTTACTTCATCGGGCCATTTGGCATGCTGCACAAGGTTAATTGTCCCACAAATCAAAATTTATGACAGCAAAACATGACTTTTTTACTCGAGAATAGGCACGTTTCAGGCGTCTCGCGAAGAATGAATTGTCTTGGTTCAAAGTTTAGCGACTTCAGTTAGGTATCTGTGGGAAAGCCTGTTCAGATTTTAGTTATTTTTATCTATCCTTCAATTCAGATGTTTTGAGCATTATCAATCTTAAAATTACGCAGGATTGACAACAAAAAAATGAGAAACACTATGTAACGGTAGCTCTAAATTTGCATTTAATTTTTTTTTGTAATTAATTCGCGATAAAGAATGGTATCGAGGTTTCCTAGTAAAATGAGACCCTTAATACAGTTTTGAACCATATTCGATTTTTGGACCACCGTCACGCCCGCTGATTGTATTTGGAACGTAAAATATAACAGCGCGAGTTCCGGTAGTTATCGTTAAAAGAGAAGAAAGTTTGAAGTTAATAAATTCTAACGTGTCCGTTTTATATACGTAGCAAAAATCAGATTATCGCGAAACCATTGATAAAACTGCTGTGTATATGTTTGGTGCCGAGAACCAAAATAAAAAGGAATTGAACTCTGGTTATTCGTATCCTAATTGGCGCATTAGAACAAATTCAATAGAACACTAACGTGCAAATGTCTACGTAGTGAAGCTTTCTCCTACTTGCGAGAATCTAACCAAGTGTTTCCAAATTTTGTGTCAAACTCGTTAACCCCAAATCGTTATATTAATAAAATGGTGGTTTGCTCGTAACTTTTAAAATACAAGGATACACCAGAAACGACAGCGTTCCAATACATGTTGACTCATTTCAAAATTCAAAGAAGTGTTGTGTTTACCGTCGACAAGATTCTAATGCATACCAACCGTCGCCTATTTTTATTATCACTGAAGGAGGATTGTACTATGCGATCAGAAATGAGTTGCTGTCGAGGAACCTTTGGAATTTTTGTTTACACGGGAAATCGTACTTTAACATGAACTTCCAAAGGCGACCGTCTGTCCATCCGTCTGTGAACACGATAACTGTCAAACGCTTGGACCGATTTGATTCAAACTTTGCACAGCATGCCACATGTAATAAGCCTATTAAAAATGGGTCAAATCCAATGACCCTGTAGGGTCACACCGAGGTGGTCTGCTGCTATTTTAGATCCGATTTAGGGGTTTATTCAACGTATTTCTGTAGCAACATTGTCATCTGCAAAAGGACCATCGTATACGAGGTGCCATTTTTTTTTAAATTTATTGAGGTTCAAAAGTTACTTGAAAATTTTGTGATTTGAAAATTCTTAGAGCTCAACCTTATAGGCAGTTAAAGCCATTTTGCCTTTTATGCATTTTTTTCCGTTATAATAATATTTTTAGATAAAACTGTGTATATAAAATGGTCCAAAAATTATCCAAGTCCTCGTGTGAGATCGAAGGGACTTCAGCGCATTTGTGTATGACAGATCAGTATTTTATTAGCCACCATCAATATGATCTTGTCGAAGGCTACCACATTCCCTTTGTCGGTACCTACTCAGTCCAAAACTGTAGAATAGTAAAAAAAACTGAACAATTACCACGTGGAAAAGATAATCACACGCTCGGTGAAGACGCCCATATGTCGTCGAGTGCACATCATATGTTACCCCGTCCCTAAACTTGTTAATTACACGGCCCCGGTAGGTACGAGCCCGAATTTGCTGCTAGCCAGCCAGCCAGCCGACCAAAGTTAGATTAAAATTAGTCGTGATCCCCGGTATAAGTATAATTTTTTACATCTAACTCACAAATAGCAATCAGGACGTCTGGTCGAAATATATCCATTGGTGGTGTCAAAACTTCAAGAGCGAATATCTCGAAAACGGCTTGTCTGAGGAAAGTACATACGCGACTATCTTGAATACGAAGTGTCGAAAGAGGGTACTCATAAAGACGAGGTAGAACGACAGGACGAGACATATCTATTGGTGGTGTCAAAACTTAATTGTGAATATCTCGAAAATCTTGTGGGAAGGTACCTACAAAGGGAAAATGCAAAATTTCGAAAAATTTCTCCAAAGGGCTTGATCCTTCTTGCATTATATAAGGTAGATTTTGAATGTATGCCAAGCGTCCTTTAAATGTTTATGTGCGAAGAGCCCCCTCCACATTAATCATCAACCAAGAAAGTACACATCGATAAATATAGCATGCTACTACCAAAGAGTAACCACTCTTTGCTACTACCTTATAATCCAACCTTAAACCCAACCATTTACTAAACTATTTCGATTTAAAAATACCCTTTATCTGCACAAGAGTTGTGCACAATTTACACTTGTTTCACATGTACCGCTCCATGCGACTGGTAATGTCGACGATTAATGACAACAGCTAGACGGGTTTGAATAGATAGCAAATCGCTGCGATGAGACAGACGCGAGTGATCAAATTTGCGTTGGTTCCATTTCAGTTTTCCTGACCGGGCACGATAAAAAAAATAGTAGATTGTGGTTGGTGGAGAACGTGGCGGAGGGGTGCCGAATGTGCGGGCGCTAACGATTTTCCGGTCCCATTTCACGTCTTCTAAACTCCTACCTTTACAGATCAGACAAAGCAATTTAAATGGTTTCAAAAATCTTGAAAACGCTTCCTAGAACATTGAACGGCTTTCCAAAGCAATAAAAAGTCCTTCAGGCCCATTCCTGGATGTTTAAAACCCTCGTCAGATTTCGACTCCCCTTCAAAGGCTACTATAGTGCATTTCACAGTGACCTTTCAGTGCAGGCTCTTATGGAGAACAGTGATGCCAGACATATATTTTCAGCTTATGGATATTATTTTACCTGAAAGACCTAAACATCAGTTTCGTTTAACTGACAGATTTCAGAAACAGCAGTGGCCAACTTAAAACACGCAACACTGAGCTCCATTGTGTCATAAGATTTACATAGCCCTATCCTGTCTGTACTGAAAGGTCACTGTGGAATGCACTATAGCGCACAGAGAACGCCGAAAGTTTTGAAAAACAAATGTTTTGGAAATGTATTTAAGAAACTTGAGAAAATTCGAAATGCTTAAAAAATTATGAAGGGGGAAAGAAGAAAATCGAGTAAGGAAATCTACTTCCCTTATTCGCCGAAAAATGGCAACACCGCGCGCGTTGCAAAACCCATTTTTTATGATAGTGATAATTTTTTGTCGATTCGTAAAATTGGATTCATATTCGAATAAATCCATGTTAAGTAGAATTGACTCCTACACTAATTATATTTTCATTTTAATTAAAATTAAATTGTTTAATATAATTAAACAATAATTTTAATATTAACAATAAATTCGAAGTATTTAAAAAGCACGTGTAACAGTAAACAATTTATTTTCGTATTGTTTAATTAATTTTGCATTAAACCCCACGCAAGCATTTTTTGTGAAACAAAAAAAGATTACCTATATACAGGATGTCTAGAACAAAATCTAGACTTGCATCACAGTTAATTTAAAGAATGTGTCAGTTACCTTCGGGAGTTTACGAATCCTAACACTCAAAAACCGAACTACAAAGTATCTACCAGGTATATTTTTGATCCCTGGTGAATTAGAGCTTTATGAAGTAAACTTTCAATTCAATTGTACATTTTTTCTTCTCTTCCGAGGGGAGTTGAACGTGGGGGGGTTACAAACAATTGCATTGTAAAAGTAGCTTTAAATCAAATAATTTGATCCAGTCGCCTCTCACAGCAGAGTTCTATTTTCAAAAACTCCATTGACAGACTTCAAAAATTTAAAAAAAACCGCATAAAAGTGTTAACAATATTGTTAGAAATAATCAAATTCCTATCCCAGTGTATAATATCGGAAAACCTATTTAATTAAATATTGGACAAAAATTTGAAGAGTACTGTACAATTGACAATCGGGGATTGTGGTATTCGCCATTGAAGAGAAGAAGTCGAAGGATTCAAAATAGGCGAAAAATTGATCGCTCACTTTTTGCGAGTTTTCAGGATCTTAAAGAATCTTAAACTTATAAGGAGTCTTTTCAAGTTTTTTTTAGAAATTTGATAAGAATACGTGGAGACGGTATCTTGCAGCTTGTATTTACCCTCGTATTTACCCAACCCCTAAGCATAACGCAAGGCATAAAGTCTTGGTGGCAAGAGCATTGATCAGCAGATTACACTGCATCAAAAAAAATATTCCTCCTATGCTCGCAAATAGTGTACGCGAATTCCTTTGGGAACCCCCCCCCCTCCCAAACACAGGTTGTGATTCCATATACCCCCCGGTTAAATCGACGCCTGCATACCCTTACGGTAATTTACCAATACACCACTGCATAGATACGTATACAGGCTGATTCAAATTCGAGGGCCACCACGGGGATCTCTAAGAGATAGGTAGATAGTTTAAATTTGGCAAACTTGCGTATTTTAATGCTTAACAAATTGCAGTTTTGAAACTGAAAAAATTCCGGCTACTTTCGGAGATATCCGGAAAAAATCGTCCGCCCACAAAACACCTGCCCAGCTAGCCCAAGCAAATCAAAATTAAAACTTAGAATTTTTATAATCCCTCCTCGTACACTTCCGGCAACTGATACAAAGAAAAATCCCAATATTAACCTAAATGCCCATTTGCGAGACCAAGTATCCTCTATCAACTTCCGAAGATTCCAAAGGATTAACTGGACAAATGTTAATTACCACCTGACACAATTCTTGGACACGAGAAGAAAAAAACTGACATGAAAACTCTATCCGGAAGGGTTCGAATAAACACACAATTAATTGAATGACAATGGCAAAATTTATTCCGAAATACTCGTACATGAAATAAAAAATTAAAACAAAATTCCTGAAAGAAACCTTGTTTGGACATATTACCCCGCACTCAGGTGGTCGATAGTTACAGACCATCGCGGTTTTACCCTTAACGCCAGCTTCGAAAGAACGCGCCAAACGTTCTAACTCACGCGGAAATAATGCGCAATAATTCGAATCACCTACGACCTTGTTACCAGCACCAGATGTGCATTTTCTTTGAAATTAATTAACTTTCACCTTATATCAAAAGTTTTTATCGCAAACCTTAAATGAACCTATTAAAAAATACGCAAATTCGACCACAAGTGTATTGCATTAAAGGCAATTGAATTGAATTACAAACAATTCTAAAACGAACAACAAATACGAAAATTCAAATTCAAATAAAATCACCTCTGTGCCTATTCGTAAATAATCCTCCGATTTACACTTGTAAAATCCGATACAACTGAATACCGAACCATCCTCGAGATCTTCACACATTTTTACAACACATCGTAATATCTTAAAAAATGAAAAAAATTGAGATTCCGCAAATACAAAAATTGTGTTGCGCATGCGCAACTTTTATTTACTTATCTGCATAGTTTCCCGAGGCTTAAGGAATATTTACTAACACAGAAAACCGGACAGTCATATGTTCTTTGTAACAAGAAAGAAGAATTATAAAATGAGGAACCATTTTTTGGAGATTTGGGCAATTTTTGGGCTGTAACCTTTTGGCCCGTTAGTTTACGTAGCCGAAAAATAATAGCGATCCTGATGAACATGTGTATCAATTTTCAAAGCGATCAGATTCAGAAGTTTCTACACAACGTTATCGTGCACACGGACAGACGGACAGCAATACAAAATTATAAACGTTAATAAATTGAAATATTGTTATATACAGGATGTCCCATCTCGGTCTTTAGACCGGAATAACGTCTACATGACGTTGTTATTTTCAAAATGTACTATATTTTTGAATATGTTATGGTGATTCTTCAAATGAACAAAACACGTAAAAATAATTAATTTCGGTGTTTGGTAATTTAGCTTCGGGCCATCATGCATTGTGTGCGTATTTTCGTCATTGAGGGTTTTCGATATTTGTGCGTAACATATACATTATACATCATACATACAATAATACTTTCCGAACGGATGCGCCAATCCCCATCATCTGTCTCTTTATGCCTTTAAATTTAAGTCCTATCGTTGAGTGAAAAGTCCTATACAGAGTAGTGATAAAAGTCGTTTAATATTGAGAGCGAAAAAAAAATAGTAGACTTCTACTTTGGAATTGAATACTAAAATAGTTATTTACAAAATACAAAAAAGTAAGGAAAATGCACATTACTGGTGAGAAAATATTGAAGTGCGAGGTTGGGACCGAGTCCTTTAATTTCCGAGTCAAGTAGTGATTTTACTGACGAGTTTTGTATTAAATTTACCCGAAATCATATCTTAATATAAAATTTCAATTTTCATATAGAACTTTTGATTTATGTCAATATGTCAGTGATGACGGGAGTCATTATAGGGTACGTTCCACTTAACGCCCGTAACGATCACGACCACGACCGCTGTTTTGTCGTTCCACTAGCTTAGAGGCGTTGTGGGCGAAACCTTAAGTGGAACGCTTTTGAGTACTGTGTGACGTCACGCGTGAGTGAACAGTTTTCCAACATGGATGCCGTTGAGGAGATCGTAATGCGTAAAGGATACAAAGTGGGGTGGATTATGAATTCAAAAATCACATTAAGTTAGTAAATATTTTTTTATTTTTCAGTACCAATTATTGACACATACTTCTTCGCTTTACACAAGATATTGCTTCTTGTTAATAAAATATTGAAGACGACTTTTGAATTTCTATCATAAATGCTGCGGCCATACTTAATACGATGATAATGAACACTTCTCCCCAGAATTTCTTGTGGGAATGCTGCTTCGAAAACAATTTCTCTTCTTCATTCAAAACTAACGTGCATTCTCATTTTCATCAATCGTTGCATTACCATTTATGTCTCATTCGCATTCCCTGGTAAAGCACTTTGCAGCAAACTACTTGTGTTAAAGCAGAATGTTCCTTAACAAATAACTTTAACATTCAGGAATCAGCAGATATACTTACCAGTTTGTGCATGTAGAACATCCATAGTGTAATGTCCACCACAAGGTTACGTTCTGAAACACGTAATTATATTTTCTCCATAGCGAAAACGAAAAATTTGTAACGCATGCGTGTTCAAACTATCATTGTCTGACAGTTAAATGTCTCTAGAAATGTCTCCTGTCAAGAATGTAAGGTTATAAAATTAGAACGCCCACGCTGACCCAGGCACGATAGGCGAGCGCCGTGGGCTCGTTGCGGTCGCTAGTAATGACGTCATATCTGACGTCGCGATTGCGACCATAACGACTGTGGTCGTTATGTGGAACGGCTGCCGGGCGTCGTAGTCGTTGCGGGCGTTAAGTGGAACGTACCCATAGACATTACCAATGTGACAGGTGTGGCCAGAAACTTAACAGAGGCGCTCCATAAAGTGGCAGATGACAGGAAAAGTACCTAATCTGGTAAATGAAGGTTTCATGACGATTTTGGGTATTTTATTTTTTCTGGCATGAGCTTGTCGTCAAAAACTAGGTCAAAAATGTTACAGGGTTGGATACAGAATTGTAAGACCTTTCAAATAAGGTGTCACTCTTATTTCAATTTGAATTTTTTGACATTGGAGGTTGTTGTGGGGAGGGGGTGACTGACAAGGAGTTGATTTTTACGTATAGGAATGTCCCATTGAAAACCAAAGTTGACGTGTTTCACAATTCTTTAGTCAATTGGCAGGAGCTGAGCTCAGTTGTCTCCGATGATGACAGCCTTGCTAATGAAAAATATATTGTTGTGTATGCTTATAAAACACCTTTTATAGGAAACTAACTCATTGATCATCTGCTTTTTACCATGCGATTTTGAGTGTGTGGTACCCACAATAAATTAGAAGATAAAACGAGAAAGCTCTAAATACAGAATAATAAAACAAACATCTGGTTCACAGTCAGGAGACGTTTCTAAAAAAAGTAGGAAACTCCCACAGCGAAATTGTAATGCAAATGAAAATAAAGTCTTCGCACACTGTGCCATTGACCGGTAAGGTCGATAAAGAAACCACGAACAATAAGCTATTAAACAAGTTTACGTTTGTAATGAAATCAAATCTAATTATTGTGAGTCACCATTTTTACTGTAACGAAACATTTAGCAAACCGGCACGAAGAGCTTTATTTCGTATTGAGTACAAAGCCGGCAGAAAATAATGCAGTTCAAGTATTGCAGTCAAAAACTTAATTTTTATGCTCCCATTTATGTTTCTCACGCATATCGTCGGCCTTGCTCCAATTGACACGGAAAATTGTCTTTTCTGATAACCCATTCCCAAATTCGCCACGGTATTACCTTGCGTAGGTACCCTATAATTATTGTACAAACGCAAATCCGGCTAACTCGGCAAAGTTGTTGAGAAATGAAAATGCAATTCTGGTGAAAGGTGCAAGCGCATACAAAAATCAAAGTTCTAAATTTCTAACGGTTGTTTATACAATTAACATGACATACATTTTACTTTCGAAGTCTTTATTATGGTTACTTACCTACAATGAATTAAAAGTTGATACTATTAAACGACTGCCTATGTAGGTAAATAACAATTAGTGTCAATTCTTTATATCCAATCGTGCCGGTCCAATTTTGAGAGCAATCATCAGTGTTACATAAAGTACACTTCAAAATAGCGTTGCGATACCAAAATGAGATTGAAGCTTCTTTGTGATCTAACACGATTGTTTACAAGAAACAATAAAATTGAAACTAGAAGAGCAGAACCTTTGCTTTTTTTATTGAGAAAATTTCGTTTTAACAATGCCATGCAATTTTTAAAAAAATCCAAAATTTTGAGTAGCAAAAATATTCAAAAAACTTACTCAAAATAGCAATGTCCTATTGTAAAAAGTACGCAGACTAGCAACGAACGGGTTAACATTGTAAACAACCGTAACAGTCTTACTCGAGATTATAATGTTGACTAAATGATTCTTTGCAAAACTCTATATTTATAGACACGGTTCGTTGAAGTGGGGGAGGCTGTAGCTACATCTTCACCAGGGCCAGATGATTATCACCGTTAGGTCAGCTTTTTCAATTGTTTGCTTTTTTAACTGTCCCGGCCAACAATTTCCATTAAAAAGGTAACGAATTCATAAATTATAGATCAAAGATGAAAGTAAGGCAATAGGTATACCGAAGTAACTGGTGATATTTCTTCAATTCCATGTTTTTTCTCGATTTCAACAGTGCATTATATCTAATATCTAATACTACACTTTATAGGTGCAAGAATACGAAATTCTGCACGAGTTTTTGATAATCGGTCAACGGAAGTAGATGTACCATGCCAATATAATGATTGCGTGTAGCATTGTCCCAAAAGTCGAAAACATTAATTACATTTAATTATGTTTTACAGTATCGTATCGTGCCTCGTTTCAATTGCAATGGTAAAAGGAATTCTTCCACTGGTTTTTTTCCAATCCTGGAATCTACGACATAAAAAAATGAGGATAACGGGCCGATTTTTTCGTAAAATTTTCATATACCTACACCCAGAACCTTGTGTATTTGTATTAGGTGGGTACTCTTGTTGGCGTGATAATAAAAACATAGAAATCAACTGACCATGAACTAATTCTTTCAAATAGATTAGAGTTTGAGATCATTTACCTTTTAGTGCATACCTTTTGAGATCACTAAACAAGATTGAAATTAGTTAGTTCAAGGGTTGTAGCCACAATATTTTGCACTTTTAACTTCTTTATTATTGAAGTGATTAGTGGAAAAAGTTTTCACGTTCGTGGTAGGTTTTTTTTATAAAAATTGTAATTAATTTATTGCAATCTGAAGCAGTGGTGTTACAGCGTTTTTTGATCAGTTTACCTATGTACTGTAATATCAATCAAAATTCGACAAAATTGTCACAATCAAAGAATTTTACTAGAATCTTTAATACAGTGAACTCTCCGAAAATCAGTAGCATTTGGTTCTTCGAAAGGGATTTTTTCGGAATACAGAACTGTTTTTACATGTTTTATTAAGCTTTTGGTATACCCGCAAATTAAAAAATAAATTTTAACATTTCTGTTATTAGTAGCAATTCATAAAACCACAAAAGTCATGGCTATTGCTACTAACAGAAATGTTGAAATTTATTTTTAAATTTGCGGGTATACCAAAAGCTTAATAAAACATGTAAAAACAGTTTTGTGTGCACCTTTTAATTCTGAACAACTTTAAATTCGACAGTTTTTTCTGTAAAATGTACAGGAGGGCAGGATATTGCATAAAACTAATGTGTTAAATCCCTATGTTCCTACTTACGGTGCACCACCCGGTATATTAAAAAATCGATTGAAAATTGAAATAAATTCCATATACACTGTTTCACGCAAACCGTTTTCCTAAAAAGTATTTAGAGTTCCATTAATAAATTTAAAATCTGAAAATTTGCTACCAAACATAGTTTTTCATGATGCTATCGAAAGAAAATTATTATCATTCTGACCGCAATCACTTCCGGTTGTACCAGAAGTGGATGGCAAAACTGTCTGTATTTTAAATATAAAGCTATAACGTGAGGTTAGTTCGGCGCTGTAAAACTCAAACCCCGCCGCATAAACGGCCAGCTAGCTCAGATTCTTAATTAAAAGAAGGGCTCGAGATGAGAATCTTCCACAGCGGTTTGTTCGTTTGGGCATATAACATAAGTTCTGATCTTTGGTAGTTACTAGAAATGATTAGTTGAGCGCCACCCAATTTTGCACAAATTCTGACCTCTCCTGTATAGAAATTGGGAAAACACAAGAGAGCCAAATAATAAATTCACTACGAGCAATTCTGATTTATTAATCCTGGCAAAACGGTGCAGGATCGGCAAATAAAATGTATCTTCAATACGACAATAACAAATACTTTAAATGACAAAAATAATCCCCAAATAAATTCATGAACACTTCCCTAATAATTACGTTACCAGACCCCTACAACAATGATCGAGCAAAAATGTAGTTAAGATTTCAATGGATTCCAAGATTGAATTAAGTTAACCCGAATAACAACTCATATAGGCAACACTGGGTACAAGTAAATTAAAAATCTTACCTTGAATAACACATACGCTGTCTTCTCCGAAAAAGAGCTCTCCTTCGAAGTTCCAGTTCTGTAACACAAAAACAAACCCCAAGCTACAACGCTCGGAACGATTATATGAGCCGGAAGGGCCAAAAATAGCTTACTCGTAGCCGGCTCGTTTACCCATACGTTAAATACAGGTGCGTTGCTCTTGAAGAGAGCCACGACCTCAAACACTAGACGCGAACAAAATACAAAGCTCCAATCATAAATCGTCGGAAGGTTACACTAGATTAACGGTATTGAAGCAAATAAAAAAAAAGGTTGTGTAAAAGATCGTATCTTCCGAAAATTCCACAATCAGCTGGTCGCTGCCGGTATCGTTTAGGTGTTCGCGCTTATCTACTCGGTGGTACGCCGGATAGCTGCCGGCAATCAACAGGTGTTCGTACTCCGGAATATTCGCAAGATGCAAATTCATTTACTATCCCAAAATTATGCCAGGTCAATGTCCTCCGCACACAAGAATGTGCAAGGATATACTATAAACTATACCATACAAGGATTCGTCTGTACAAGGATTGACCGGTACAAGAATTCATCTACTACATGGACCCCCCTAAAAGTAATGAAGATGTAACACTTCCTTAACGAGATTTTTAATAACATACCTGAAATCGTCAGGAGGGTAATGAAAAATACTTAAATCAATGAAATATGGAAATTATCCAACCTCAAATTGTGAATATGTAGGTAGGGCGATGAACTTCAACCAGATATAGCCTCGCAATGGAGAAAACGGCTTCTGAGTTACACTACTCGACAACGCCAATAAAAAGGTAAAATTGCCAGAGATTTCACGTGAATGATGGCAAATATTACCCACTGGTTTAAGAAGAATTCACAATGCCACGCTCTACAACAAGTACAACCTCGTTGGCTTTAAAACGGAAATGAAGTGAAAAAATAACGCGATTCTGCGCGAGGAAAGAAACACGCGTACAAGTGACGCCATCTCACCTATATCCTACCTAACCTAGCAAGCGGTAATTTTTGAAATTTGAATATGAATAAACTAAACTGTTACAAACTGGTAACAAGTGGCCATTTTGCTGTGAAATAGGTCACCGGGTCAAAAAGCAGATTTAACATCGAGGATCGACCCTCATATGGGAGAAGTTCCGTACCTTTTTAGCGTTTCAGTTGATAACTTTTTTTCCAATTCGGGGTTATATGCGTGTATGTTTAAGTAATTTGTGAACATGAGTACAGGCTCAGCATCTCGATTAAGTTATGATCGAGTTTGAAACGCGAATGTTGAACTTCCTTCTGAAGGGGGTAGCCAATTAAATATCTTACCCGATATAGCAGCAGATTGCGAGCAGATCGAGGCCCTTCAGGCATTAATCCACTAAAGATATACCGAGCACTGCGGTTTGGGACGTTTTTCTTTGCTTGATACTTGCGAATTTTTGCCCCAAAGATCAAGTTATTTGTGGAAAATCGTTTTAAGATTCAGTAATTAGTTTAATCGATCATTACTTATTGACCCGGGATTTATTCTTTTGGGGGCTGTTGATTGTCAGTTTTATGGGAAGTTTAACATACACGTTTGGGAAAATTCATACGCGAGAATATTTTGTGTAATTAACGTGATTCAGTTGATATAATATCAATTCAAAGTGTCTCCAAAATTGAATCACGTAGAATAAACCAATATTATCTTTCATTAATTCGATTTCACTATTATTACTACCCTCGTACCTTCTCAGTTTCATAGTGGAGAGTTAATATAGAAATTGAGTGGCGCTCAACCCTATTGGTAAGTTGTGACGAAGTGTCGAAGATTGAAATTAAAATGAATTTCTGTGTGTATTAGGCCGACACAGCAAATTTGTCCGGTTCTACCGCGTCCTACCCGGCCCTATAGATGTACGGTCTTGTGCTTATCTGTTTCTAAGGTTTCTACAATCAAATTGGAATATACATTGCTGTGTGGACCACCTTGTCGCCCAGTATCACCCACACAGAAATACTGAAATATCACGCGGAACTTCAGGGCTAGCGCTTAGAAAATAAATAAGGCAGCCCACTATCTCTCACTGAAAATGACTGCACTCGCTTGCCAAAATTACACAAGACACTAAATTTACTGGGTTCGTAAACACACGCCACACAATTTAAAAGTTCTTACAAACATCTTAAATCTAAAATTAAACCATATCTCTCCTCAATACTACCGTGTGGAAGAAGCGGAAAGTCTGGACGAGACACATCTATTGGTGTGGTGGTCAAATTTTCGGTGAATCAATAATGCTGTATTCTTCTACCTCTACCTCAGCCAATGATTTACGAAGCTATTTCGGTTGCGTTTAAGATGCACAGAGTTGGGCACAATTTATACTTGTCGAAAATGAACTAAAAAGTAATAATTGGCAATAATTATATCTACTAGGATGCGGTGTACGTAAAACTAGGACTTGGTAGATAGATTATTTCTGCTGCTACAAATACCTAACGGAGATTAATAAAAATTGATACTAGGACAATTTGTAAATAAAATTAATTTGATTTTATGATAAAAAGTTCGATACCCTCCCGGGAGAAGATATCGAGATATTGCAGTGAGGCAACGGTATATTCCATGTACATTATAAGTTAATAGTCGATAACCTATTCCATACGGTTAATTAATATCGAAGTCATGATGGAGAAATTGTAATACTAATTATTCATTAATTTGCGATGCACGATCGTGCCCCATACGCCTACTCACTGCCGAAATTCGCATGAATGCAGCAAAACTGCACACTCATAATTGAGGTAGCTGTAGATTTATTACGTTTATTGGAACTGGAACATTACATGAAGAAAGAAACCTATACCAATTAAAGTAGACATTGAACATCCAACA